GTTGGGAAGAGCTGGTTAGTGCTGGGGAGAGTGGTCCATTAGGGCAAACAGGATGCTGTCCCACCAACCTCAGCATGCTCTCACCTGGGGACATTCTTATTTCAGTTGGACCAGGGGGTGTCTATTGTTGTCAGCTACCTCCTCCTTAGTCTCAGTGATCTCCTACTTGTACAGTTCAGCAAGGAGGAGGATGGGGCTGTTATGTACTAAGCTTGGATCCTAGAACAATAGGCAGGTAGGATCCTAGAATGCAACAACTGATTGGCTTGCAGGAGAAGACCAATCAGGCTCCAGGAGGAAGTTAATCAGCCTATTAGGCTGGTAGGATTGTAGAATGCAACAACTGATTGGCCTGCAGGAGAAGACCAATTAGGCTCCAGGAGGAAAGCAGAATCAGCGAATCAGACGGGACTCGTTGTGTAAATAATGTATATAAAAGCCTGAGGTTTTGGGGGAAATTCAATCACTGTTTTACAAGCTGCAATAAAGAGCATGAAATCACTGCAGGGCTCCAAGTATATTTCAGGGGCAAAACGGTTGGTTCTGCCTATCACTCTCTTCGGCTCCAGCTCCTGGCGGCGCCCCCTCCCCTGGCCTGCCGCTACTGAATTAACAATGTTCTGGATCCTTGCACTAAGGAAAAGATGACGCATAATTGGTGGAACATCTTTTAACAGCTGCACACTCCCATGACACAACTTTACTTTGGAATGCTCTCCCCAGAGAGGCTTGCCTGGTGCTTTCATGACATATCTTTAGATGCCAGGCAAAAGCATTCCTCTTCTCCCAGGTCTTTGGCTCATTGATTTTTGTGTGATCTTCAGATGAAAATTAATAAATGATAATAATGATAATATTTTTCTTAGCAATGACCTTATATTATCTGGGTTTCATCAGCTGCTGGATTTCCTTGTTAATTTTTTCCTCCCTTTTGCGGTGTTGGTTCCAGGGAGCCTGCCCCCCCTGTTGTTCCATGGTGGGGTTCAGTGGGCTTACCTAGTACTGGTGGACCAATTGCAGAAACAACTAACAGCAGTGCTGCAATCTGTGTTGGCCGGGCTGAGTCTGAGCTGTCATTTCAGCTTCCAAGAATGCCCTGGTGTGATGCTACATCAGGGCATCGTGGGAAGTGTAAATGGGGTTATACTCAACCAATCAGTACATGGGCCTAGGGCAGTCATGAGGGGCCTGGGCCCCCAGCAGCTGTCCATGGGTGTCTGTGCTGACTCTAAGCCTGTCTCTTTTCCTTCTGTTTCTTTTCCTTGCAGTATCTGGCTATTTATTCTAGAAGCCTACAATTCCCCTCTCCTTTCCCTGGGAAAGAGTTAGTAGGCAGATTATGTGGGCATTTCTACTGCTGTCTGGTTATATTTTCATTAAATGCAATACAAATCTCTGTATTTAACTTTTTTATAAATGAAATAATAATACTAAGTTTTCTAGATAGATAGAATCCATTAGGAAAGAATTAAATTGCAACTTTTCAGATGTCTAACGTATTTCTTGGTCATGTGCTCTTCTTAAAAGCAGGGGAAAACAATCAATGAAATGCCCAGAGCCCTAACAGCAGAAACATCTGTTTGATTCAACTTTCTTGGATGAATGAGCAGAAGGAAAAGCTCAACTGATTAACTCTGCAATTTATCCAATGTGGTTTTGGGGTAAACAGAAATCCCAGAAAGGGCTTTTAAGGACACTGAAATTATCCTGCTGGCAACAGACCAGTCAGGCATGGCACACACCAGATTCTTAGGCATGTTATCTGTCACTTGAAGTAGGAATATATGCCAAAGGGGGCATAGAGAAATTAAAAGCATGCAAATACTGATAATTTATCTATGGGTGATGCCTTTTACTGCCTTAGTTTAGCATAGGACTATGAAGTTTGTTGTCAGATGAAACAAGCTGGGAACATGCAAGGAATCGTAGCAGAGGATGATTGGAAAATCTCCCCACTTTTTCCATGCCTGCTGAGCTGTGGGTTGGAATACTAGCTTCCTGCTCACTTAGCTTGAACTAGCTTAATGGTTAAAAAAAAGATAGGAGAAAACAATATTCCCTTAAGTAGGTGTATGTGAGTGAATTAACTTCAACACAGCAAACAAAGATGCTCGCCACATCTGGACAAGGTTGGTATCATTAAAGCAATGATGGGGAATCTATAGGATGCTGCGACCCACACTCTAGGAATTGTACGCTGTGCAACAGAAAACGTGGGAGGACAAAGCTCCGACTCCGTCCTTGAGAGAAGAAAAGCTAGGACATGCATAGGCAAACTCAGCCCTCCAGATGTTTTGGGACTACAACTCCCATCATCCCTAGCTAACAGGACCAGTGATCAGGGATGATGGGAATTGTAGTCTCAAAACATCTGGAGAGCCGAGTTTGCCTATGCCTGAGCTGGGACATTATTCAGGACCCTCCTAGATAGAGAACACAGCCTTTCTACTCTTTCATTCAAAGGAGATGCCCACCTCCTCAGCTCCACAGGATGAAAAGACTGCGCAATAAGGTCAAGGTCATTTAACAGTCAACCACCTTCTCTAGGGAAGTGGAGTTTACTACATTACAGGTCCACTTAACATATGGAAAGCTGACCATTGGCCATGCTGGCTGGGGCTGATGGGAGCAGGAATCACACAAACATCTGGATGGTGATGGATCCCTACATTAAAGAGAATTAAGAACAACTCACTGTATTCTGGAACTATCCATTTCCCCACAAAAGAGTTTCTAAGGGAAATTCCAGTGTGAAGTTGCTGAATTATAAATAATCTGGAAATCTGATTTCCTGTCTGATTATAGGAGTTGATTAACAAAGGAGAGCTAGGATGGTTATGTTTTTACCAATTATTGCTGGATGGCCACTTTTCCTTTCTTAAGCTAAACACAGAATTGCAATAGTTGCCTCTTAGCTGTAACACTGGGAAGCCCAGTCTGTTTTAGAGCTGCTCTTTATCACCCTGACAAACCTGAACTGTTAAATCAAGGTCCATAAATAGCAACGCCCTAGTGGTCCCAGGCCCTAAATTAGATTAGCTTCAACCAGAGCCAGGACCTTTTCAACACTGGCTCCGGCCTGGTGGAACGCTCTGCCTCATGAGACCAGAGCCCTGCAGGATCTGATTTCTTTCCGCAGGGCCTGTAAGACAGAGTTGTTCCGCCTGGCCTTTGGCTTGGAGCCAATTTGATTCCCTTCCCTTCCCTCCCCCTCTTTCTTTTTTCTTTTTCCTTTCTGCTCCTGTGATGAGGTTGCATTTTAATATTTTAATGTTTCAATATTTTAATGTATTTTAATCTTGTTTTTAAGTTGTATTCATTCAACTTGTTTTTATTATTGCTTGTTAGCCGCCCTGAGCCCGGCCTTGGCTGGGGAGGGCGGGGTATAAATAAAAAATTATTATTATTATTATTCCCTTCCTCAGTGACTATAATGGGGAATCTAAAAGTAGCTGTAACTTTTACCAAAGTTCCCTGAAAAATAATTCGCTATGATTAAAACTTGATTAAAATCTGCTCAACAAAAGATCCCACCCACTTCCCTTCAACATTTCCCCATTCAGCTTGTTGTCATTTCTCAAAAAAGCAAAGTGGCAGAAAAGATTGAGTATTAAACTTTGTAGAAAACTGAAGCAACACAGCTGCTAAAAAAATTAGGCACCACGTGATCAACCATGTTAACGGGAGGGGGCACCAACTCATCTCAATTTGTTTCGTAATTCAGTGTGCACATAGAGTTACCAACCTTCAGCATAGTAAGACTCAAATGGCATATGCCTTGGAGCATGATTGGAGAGTTTATGGGCTGTATTATGGCCTGCAAGGGTGGCTACTCTATGGCCCTCCATATTTGCTATATGCAGTTGCTTGACCATTGGTCATGTTGTCTATCTGAGGCTAGCAAGAGTTGGGAGTCCCCTGTAAAGACACTCCTTCCTTTCCTGCTTATTTATGCTAAGAACTATTAAAAGAAAACGAACTGTTAAAAGTAAAATCCTGCTCCTTTTCCCTTATGGGGTATCCAAGAGCCCGTATAGTGTCCTTAAGTGGGTTCCCTATTGGTAGGAGAAAATAACAGAGGCCAACCAGAGTATAATGAGAAGCAAAGCGGCTAGTAAGCCTGATCTTTATTAACTGTTGCAACAGGGTCCCCACTCACCACACACAGAAGGGAGGAGAGAACCCAGAACAGTTGCGCGCAAGCCCCTATATAGACTTTTGAAACTGCCCACCCTGTAGCTCAAGACCACCCCCAAAAACATACATACATCACAGAAGGAGGCGGTCTACATCAGACTCCTGTCTGCCAGGATACCCGATAATGCTCACTGATTGCTTTACCTGGGCATTCTTTTGTGATGGTAAATACTTTTAGTTCCTGAATCCAGGTCACAGGCTCACTCTACTCATACACAAATATGCCCTTAAGACAGCATTTGTACGCAAAAAGACAAAGGGAAGGCTTTCCCCATTTCCTCCCTCCTTGCAGAGATATACATTGAAGTCATTTTGGGAGTTAAAATAGCTTCAGGATTGCTCTCCTGTGCTATTTCAGACATGTGGTTTATATACTTATGTGTTTGCCTTGTGTTTATGAACATTTATTTTATATTTAGGAACTTTAAATTCTTATAACAGAACCTCTTAAAATTCTAGCTATTAAAATAAATTTGGATTTCAGAACAAGTGCTCCAGTTTACTCCTCCCTCCCATCCCCTTTTCCTTTTGTGTCATGTCCTTTACGCTCTCTTTGCCTTCAAATCAAAATAAAAAAATTTTAAAATCCTTACAGTAGCACCTTAGAGACCAACTAAGTTAGTTATTGGTATGAGCTTTCGTGTGCATGCACTTCTTCAGATGCGCACACGAAAGCTCATACCAATAACCAACTTAGTTGGTCTCTAAGGTGCTACTGGAAAGAATTTTTTATATTTTATTTTATTTATTTTATTTTGTTTCGACTACGGCAGACCAACACGGCTACCTACCTGTAACTTTGCCTTCAAATGTAATGCACATTTATCAGATATGTATATACATTTCATATAAGCGCAATACAAGATTTTGGGGAAATAACCCGAGTTGTGTGTTTTTTATTCGGCAGACTCCGCCCACCCAGAGCGCGACCTTATTGCGCAATCGCGGATGCAGCTGTCTCTTCTCAGGCAAACTCCAGCGAGGGGTTTCTCTCCGTCTTGCCCCGCCCCGTGGCAGGACGGTGGGCGGGAAGGGACAAATTAAGGATGGAGAAGCTTGGAGGGGCGGGGCTCCAGCGCTACCACGTGGTGCGCCGCCGCTCCAAGAATGGCCGGAGAGGAGTCTGCCGTCGAAGAGAAAGATGCCGCCGTCTCCTCCGATAGACGCAAGCTCAGCGCTTCTCGCCACCGCCCGCCTCCGGCGCTCCTGAGGAAAGCCTTCATTTGCTCCTTCCCGGACTGCGACGCCATTTACAACAGGGCCTGGAAGCTGGACGCGCACCTGTGCCGGCACACGGGAGAGGTCAGTTGGGCGGGACTAAGGGGGAGGGGGAATAAGGGGAGCGGCCATTGGGCGAAAGCGTGTCCGCAAGAGACCAGCCGAGAGGCCAGGTGTGCTGACGGGCAGCAAAAGGGAATCGAACCTTGGGGCGCGCGAGCGCGAACGCTGCGGCTGCTATTGGAGCGCGGCCTCCCTCGCATAGCCAATCGAGGGGAAGCGGGTCGTCATTGGCCGGTCGGGGGTGACGCGCTTGTTCGGGGCGGGGCTCCATGGAGATGACGCGTTTCCGGATAGGGGCATGAGGGCTTTTTTGAGTGGCTGTCAAAACCTGCAGTGGTGTGTACGGCGCTCATGTGAGATTATCATTCATATACTGTGTGTGTGTGTGTGTATATATATACACACACACACACACACACACATATATATACACACACAGAGTATATTAATATATATGTATAAATAAATATATGCATATATATATATATATATATATATGTATGTATTTATACGTTTCCTTTTTCCCTGAAGGGACTCAAGGAGGCTTACAGATAAAAAAACAAAATAACCACTAAAAACATAGGCACACCCATTAAGAAAACCATTAAGTATTGATAAAAAAACTATGAAAGGGGGGGTTTACTCCTGAGTAAATGCAAATGAAAATCTCTCAAGAATATTGGCCAACCTTCTAACTAGTAAAGGGGTGAAACTGGCCCTAGACAGTGACTGGGGGAGTTTCTGTTACGGGAAGTAGTAGGTCAAATACTTGGGGTGTATTGGACAAAAAGTTAATATGGGGTACTTTTTTAAAACCTTTGTCAAATGTAAGTCAAATAGACATGCTACATTTGCTCATCAGAAAATTGTCCTATGTAAATTAGGGTAATTTGTATAGAGAAAATCTCTGGAAACTTTTCCAGTTATTTTTTTAAAAAAGAAATCCCCCATCTGCTAAGTATGGTATTCGGTGTGCAAGAGGAACTGTTTTGGGAAATTGGTAGGATGTGTAAGATGATGAGTAAAGCAAATAAATTTGTGATATAAAATCAGCTGTTTTTCTCCTTATCAGCTGCCTTTCATTTGCGATTATGAAGGCTGTGGTAAAGGCTTCACTAGACTCTACCATCTTAAGCGCCATTTTCTTACGCACACTGGAGAAAAGCAATTTGTGTAAGTATACTATGGCTGTGGGTGGGGAAGGTGCTGGAATTGTTAGAACAACAAAAATCCCAACAGATGTTAAGATTTGCAGGTTTGCTGCCACAGGAATAGGATTGGGTGAAGCTGGCAGTTGTATGTTTGCATAACTAATAGGATTAACATATTTTGTTGAGGTTTGGCTAAATGAAAAACTCCAGCCTTATGGGTGAAGTGGAGGATATGAAATGAAAAACTTTTAAAACAAGTATGGTTCTGGAACATAGGATATTGTAGTTGGGACACCAGTTTCAGCTTTTAAGTCAGTGGTGGGCAACTTTTTCTCTTTTGAGGTCTGCATTTCCCTCCAAGGCAATCTGTCAGGGGCTTCATAGAACGCTGCATTACACTGAGTCAGGCCTTTGATCCAGCCAGCTCAGTATCGTCTATAGTGACTTGCAATGGCTGTTCAGGATTTCAGGAAGGGTTCTCTGCCAGGTGTACTTGGAGATGCCAGATATGGAACCTGAGCCCTTCTGCATGCAAAGCAGATGCTCTATCACTGAGCTACAGCCTTTTCCTAGCATGCTGACTGTGGGCAGAGCCAAAGCCAGCAGGGGCTAGAGAGAAGGACCCTATATGCATTTAAAGTAGCATCATACACCTTTGAATAACAACACTCTGCTCCCTTAATAAACTGGTTCTTTGTGGGAAGCCATGGCTATTCAAGTGGTATTATAGTGTTTTAAATATATAGTGCAGATGAGGCCTAGGTTGAGCCACCCCCTTTTCTTTCTCCTAATGATAATCCCCATTTCTCTCTTCCTGGCACCCATTTTTTTCCTCTCAGCCCAATGACTAGCTTGAGAGGGGAGTGGCATATGACTCTTTCCAGAGGTGGGAATAGTTTACCCACCACTGTGATATATTATGTTATTTCCCCCCCCTCCTCTGTGTGTGGTGTTTCTTTTTACTGAGATTCTTCATAACATACTTATTTTAACTGTAATATATTTATGAGAGAAAAACAATTAGGGGGGAACCCTGTACTGACTAAAACACTGGTGTGTTTATTTTTAAGATTCGTTTATAAAAAATGTGTGGTGCATCATCTTAGGAGAGCTTCCTCCTTCTTTCTCACACAAGGAGGAATAATTCTTCTAAGATTCTAAGTGCGTGTTGCAACGTATGCCTGCAGCCCCTGAGAACCAAGAAAGTATTCCCTTTTACCCTCTGAACAATTATTGTTTTATTCATTAGCCAATGTATACACCTTTAACCAATTAATTTGGCCAATTCAATGATTTGACTAAGGTTTCTTTAATTAGCTGACATCTGGAAAGGCCAGTTGCACCTGCTTGTATTCTTTCATATTCTTTATAGAGAACATACGCTTGTGTATTTGTAGGTGCAAGGTGGAGGGCTGCAACGAGAGATTTACAACAAAATCAAACTTGAACAAACACATTGGTCGCAAACATTTACAGCATTGTAAGGAATACATAGTAAGTGGCCTTCTTTGTTTGCCCAAATAGGCTTCTAATAGGTTATAAATGAATAATGATAAATAATCCTTTGCTCAGTGTTAGGAAATAATTCATTAAATGTGCTTGACTTATTAACTCTTTTATCAATGTTAGAGCTTAGCCTGTGCATCTAGGTTGTGATTAAGCGGTACAATTGCCGTATTTTTCGCTCCATTGGACGCACCTGACCATAGGGCGCATCTAGTTTTTAGAGGAGGAAAACAAGGAAAAAATATTCTGAATCAAATGTTGTATAAACTACTGTATTTAATAAACAACCGGTATATCAGAATCACATTACAGCCATGTAAAGTGAACAGCAGTCAACAATGGCATTAAGAACCATCATCACTGTCATTAACAAATGAAGAGAGACTTTAAGGTTTGAGTACTCTTCTAGTCTTCTGTGAACCCCAAGAACTCATCACTGCTAAAGTCAGAGTTTATGAAGCTCAGTTGCTCACAGTCACTGACATCACTTGCTTCGCTATCTTCATGTAAAATACCATCTTCGTATCCATCCAAAGCATTGCTAATGCCACATTTTTTCCTCTCAATCCTCTTCCTCCCCTCTCTCAGCGAACAGCCTGCCAGCTGCTCGCAAACATTCCCTTTACTTGAATTACAGTCAAGAAACAGCCAAGCAGAGCTTCTCAGCGGCAGGCTTGGGAGGCTTTCCTTTTCCCCACTTTTTTCTCCCCCCCCCCAAGCAGAACAGTCCCCTTTTCCAGCCTCCTCTTCTCCATCCCTTTCACCCAAACTCCTCAGGTGACGTCTACAATTTCTCCCCTTCACTGCTCCCTCTCCTTTGCCCTCTACCATGACTCTCCACTCACGGCAACCTATGGTACCTCATCTCCCTTCACCCAGCTTCTTGGTCCCCCTCCTCTCCGTCCTCTTCCTCCCCTCTCTCAGTGAACAGCCTGCCCACTGCTCCAAACCTTGAGGGGAAGGGCAGGCTGCTGGCAGAGCAGCACCCCCCCAACCCCATTCAGCAGCCCAGGAGTGCGGGGCATGGGCGCACAGCCCTCCCGTTCCTCCAAAGCTTCCCAGGGCTGCAGGCGGAAGCCGAGGCTGCCGGCAGGGGAGCGCGGCTCCACCACCACTACCAAAGACCAGTCCAAGAGTGTGCCACACTCCGGCAATTTGGCTCCAGGGACCACACATTTGCTCCATAGGACGCACAGACATTTCCCCTTACTTTTTAAGAGTAAAAAAGTGCGTCCAATGGTGCGAAAAATACAGTATCTGTATACACATGGTCAGCTTTTACCCATTGACAGATATGGCAGGGGGACATACCCTGCTTACTTGCAGGGTGCTATTTGCTTGTAGCTAGCAGTGGGAGCCCAGTCTGTGCTGACTGAGGACTCTAACCAACGCTTTGTTACATGCTGTGTGCAGGTAAGATACTAGTGTGCATTACTGGATCAAGTGACTGCATTAAACCCCAAAAGTCCTGGGTCCTTTCCTCAGCTTTGCCATGGTGAGCTTTATGGCATGATGTAAAATTGAGCATATGCTAGTACTTTACGTTAGCCTGCCTCTAACAGTAACTGTCTTGATTTTTCCAAACAGTGTGACTTTGAAGGATGTGGGAAATCCTTTAAAAAACACCAGCAGTTGAAAATTCATCAGTCTGAACACACTGGTGAACCACCGTTCAAGTAGGTGAATATTCCTGTTTTTTCATGAAAATAAGTAGGGAGGTTTTCAGGGTGCTTGTAGACAGGAATTTTAAATGGTTGCCCTGAGGAAGATGATGTTTTTATTTAACAGAGCCTGAAGACCAAAATTAAAGGCCCTGGGAGAATAAAAAGGTATTTACCAGGCACTTAAAATAGGATGCCATCTCCAACAAGGCCTTCTCCTTACGCAGCTCTGTTAAGCATCACATATGATGGCACTGTGAAAATAAAACAAAAGCCATCATGATCAGTTAGCTGCCATTCAGGACTTGAAAGTGGAAGATGTAACCTAAAAATGTGGCACATTGCACTTCCAACCGGAGAACTCTTCTTTCAGAACAGTAATTGGAGCATCACGTTAATTTGGGGTGGGTGAGTGATGGAAGTAAAGGAAAAGTCCACTTTCACTTACACGGTTTATGAACTGGGATTTTTATTTGTGTTTTGAGTGATGTGTGTTTTGTTTTTGTCACGTAGATGCAGCCACGAAGGATGCGAAATGCGCTTTTCCATGCGTGCCCATCTGAAGCGTCATGAGAAGATTCACGAAGGTAAATTATTCCTCTTGCTTCGGCTGTGTAAAACCCAGCGCTGTTGTTGCTTTAACGGGTTGCCTTCAAATATAAGGCTCAAAACTGGAAGTTATGGAAGCAGGTCTGCTGGTTTTAAATCAGATTGACATCAGTCACAGTGCAGGATGTGTGTCATTTCAATTAGCAAATGACATGTAGGGCAGGAGTGTGCGAAAAGTCTTTTTTGAGCCTACATTAGGGCTGGCTTTGAGGATAATGCTCCTCTTAAAGGTGGTTTGTAAAAAGCCTCTTCCCCATTGATGCCATGCTGGGTTAACATTTCATTGAGGAATACTATACAAGTCACTGTTAAGAGCAGTGGGGCTAGCCCTTACTGTACCAGAAACTCAGCTTCAAATTGAGGTAATTTGTTTACTCTCTCCTTAGACAGCAGAGCGTGATAAGAGATGCCCTATAGGAGGGGAAAGAGAACCTGTGGCCTTCCAGCTGTGGATGACAGCTCTCACCATCCTATTAAGGACTGCCTTACTCCTTATGTTCGGTCTCGACCACTGAGATCTTCTGATAGGGCACTTTTCATTGGTCCCACATACCTCTGAGGTTCAGCTGGCTATTACCATGGGCTGAGGCTGTAGTGTGGCAGGTCTTGTCCTGTGGAACTCCTTGCTAGTAGACGTTCAGCAGGAGTTGTCATTCCTGCTGGTTTTAGATGATTTCCTAAAGACTGAGTTATTCAGACAGGCCTTTCAAACTTGAGGTGCTTTGCCAAAAACCTTTTACTGTTGTGTTTGAAATGGTTAATGTTTTTACTTAATACTGTGCTTTTTATGTTGTATGCTGCCTTGTGATATATACGAGAGTGTGGTTTGTAAATAAGACAATCTGTCTCTGCCCATTGGCTGGGGATGATGGGAGTTGGGAATCCAACAAACGTTTGAGGGCTGCAAGCTCCCCATCCATGCCCTACAGCATGTGGCTTTGCATTTATTTACTTTTATATATATATATATGGCTGTTTAAACTGTTTTTCGTAATAGGCTATGCATGCAAAAAGGATGGCTGTTCGTTTGTTGGGAAAACCTGGTCAGAGCTTCTGAAACATATGCGACAAAGTCATGTCGGTAAGTACTATCAGAACTTTTACACATTGATTCAGCTTGAACGATTTCTAACGTTGGAAGCCCATTATGTACTATTTTTTTCTTTCCTTCAAAAAATAGCAATCATTTCTTCTACTAATAATACTTTCTTGACTTTGTTTGCTTTATAGCAATACAATATGCTGTGCATGCAACTAGTTTCAGATGTGCATTTGTAAGCATGGCTATAATTGTATATCTGTACACAAACAGCAATTGCACAACTCTCTTCAGTGGGTTAAAAGCCTGTCATGTATACTCTTGACAGTCATCATCATAACCCTAATGCAGGTCAATATTATTCCTTTTCACAGATGGGGGATTTGAGACTTGGGGGATTGTAGCTTGTTCAAAGCCACCAAGTGTGTTCATTGCAGTGATAAGATTTGAACCAGGAACTACTTGGTCCACAGTTCTGGACTTTTGGCCACTCTGCTACAATATCTCATATGTAGGGTGCAAGGAGTATGTGTGTACAGCTGATGGATGTGAGTAAAAAGTACAGGGATGGGGAACCTTTTGCTTATAGGTCAGACCTGCCAGGTGGCCCAATTCAGCCCTCACAGTTGTTTTTTGCCAGCTACACCCACCTGCCAGTTACCTGACATGTGACAGACATGGGGAATCGTTGGCCTACCGGATGTTGCTGAAATACAACTCCCATCATCTTTGGTCATGTTTGCTGGGGTTGATGTGAGTTGTAGTTTGGCAGCTTCAGCAGAGGGCAAAGATCACTCCAACCTGTCATACAGTGTCAGCTGCAGCTGCCCTTTTGTAGGGAGGCTTGCCTTTGGTGTCCTTTAAATTCAGCAATGAGTGCAAGCTTTGCTGCTTTCCAGTGGAATTGGGTTCAGCTTAGGTCGTATGATATATCAGGTGATTGATGGGTAGATGCAGCCACCCAACAAACATAGCCTGCAAAAGTTTGCCCACTTTTCCATCTGGCCTGCTAGATGGAACTGGTTCCCCATGCCTGCTTTAGCAGAAGGCTGTGAGTGCTTGCTGGATTGTACCAGTGCAGGTGATACTCTGTTATTATATTCTGCTGCTGAAAATAGTACGCACGTAAATTGTTCCTTGCCTTTGAAAAAACGAGGTGTCACTGTTTAAATCCTGTTTAGAATTTTTTTTTATTTCAGGTTTTACATTGCGTTCTCCCCCCCGCCCACTCCCATTTCATTTTCTCTTTCATCTCCAGAACCGATAACCTGCAGCGTGTGTGGCAAAATATTCCGCCGCAAAGATTACCTCAAGTGCCACCAGAAGATCCACGCTGCCGAGAGAGAGGTGCTTAAATGCCCAAGGGAGGGCTGTGGCAGAACGTACACAACCCTGTTCAATCTTCAAAGCCACATTGTCTCATTTCATGAGGCAAGAAGATCGTTCACTTGCGACCACCCTGGCTGTGGGAGAGTCTTTGCCATGAAAGTAGGCGTTCTCAAGTTAACTTTAACGTGCACATTTTTCTTCCTCCTCTCTTGGTCGCCTATGTATAAACTTTTAATTTTTGTTCTTTGCAGCAAAGTCTTGTAAGGCATGGTGTTGTACATGACCCTGACAAGAGAAAGTTGAATTCAAAAGTAAGTCAGAGGTTTCAGTTTGCTTTCCCCATGCAGTTTTAGGAGTGTGAACCCGCTTTGAATTGCAGGGCCTGAGTGGAGGATGTGACAGGTTTATTACTGAACAGGGGTAATCTGAACACAGGGGGTCTACATCAGTGTTTATCAAACCTGGGTCTTTGGACTACAATTCCCATCATCCTTGACCACTGGTCCTGTAAGCTAGGGATATTCGGAGTTGTAGTCCAAAGGGGGGGGGGAGTGGGTGACCCAAGTTTGGGAAACTCTGGTCTACATGATGGAACTAGTTTCTTGAACTTTGCTATTAGCCATTTCTTTGTGCGCTGCTAATAGCTCATGTTGTTGTTTAGTCGTGTCCGACTCTTTGTGACCCCATGGACCAGAGCACCCCAGGCACTCCTGTCTTCCACTGCCTCCCGCAGTTTGGTCAAACTCATGCTGGTAGCTTCAAGAACACTATACAACCATCTCATCCTCTGTCGTCCCCTTCTCCTTGTGCCCTCCATCTTTCCCAACATCAGGGTCTTCTCCAGGGAGTCTTCTCATGAGGTGGCCAAAGTATTAGAGCCTCAGCTTCACGATCTGTCCTTCCAGTGAGCACTCAGGGCTGATTTCCTTAAGAATGGACAGGTTTGATCTTCTTGCAGTCCATGGGACTCTCAAGTCTCCTCCAGCACCATAATTCAAAAGCATCAATTCTTCAGTGATCAGCCTTCTTTATGGTCTAGCTCTCACTTCCATACATCACTACTGGGAAAACCATAGCTTTAACTATACGAACCTTTGTTGGCAAGGCAACCTTTGTTACCAACCACTATGAACTTTGTTGGCAAAGCTCATAGTGGTTGGCAAATGGGAGCTTATGATTAGGTGATAACTTTAAATGAAATATCCATCAGAGCTTCTTTGTGAAGGTGACCTATATGCACAGGGCTGGGGTGCGTATCTACATTGGCTTGAAGGACCTTGGAGGTGCAGGGTTGATCTGATGTTTTGTATTGAACCTGCTGGCTTTTAGGAGTGCCTGCTCTTTGCCGCCTCCTGCTTACACCTACTTCTGCATTTAAATATCAGAGCAAATATCACAAAAATACAGTTAAGTTGGATCCAGAAATAAGCCAGCTATAAAAGAGGCTGACAGAAACATATTCTCCCGACCCCACCCCATCCTGAAAAATCTCCCAAAGAGAGGGAGAAACTCATTGAAGGGAATATGGGGCAAACGTTGAGGGGAACCCTGAAAACTGGGCAGAGGCAACTTCCATGAGTAAGATTTCCACTTGTGAAAAGGGCCTCCACCAAAATTTCAGGGATTTCCTCACCCCCAGTGCCAATCCCATTCAATAAAGTCCCCAGGCCCCAGGAAACTTATCAGGGAAGTCAGGGGGAACTTATCTCTGGATCCAGGGCTCTTTTCTGCAAATGGAAACCAAACCCTGAACCTTCTTGCCACTTAGGAAATCAGACAAGAGCGGACAACAACACTTTACGATCATTTCCCACTGGTTAGCTGCCAAGATTGCTGACCACAAAACGTATACGTACTTTTTTTAAAGCTTTATTGTTTATATGTTTATCCCAATCTGTGAACCACAAATCTATGTGTTTCCTTTCAAAGGTTAAAAAGCCACGTCCTAAGCGGAGTTTGGCCTCACGTCTGAGTGGATTCATCCCACCTAAAGCATGTCGAAGAAATGTTTCCTCTGCAGATGAGGCTCTGATCACACCTGACGCGAGCGCCACGTTGCCTACTGTGGAAACACTCTCCCTTGGCTAGAGTATCAGATGAACGTGGACAATATATTCATGCATATGAAGTTGAAAATGGCTTTATGAAGTAGCTGTTACTGGCAAGTCTATGGAGTCTGTAAAGAAAACTGGAGAGACATTCAATTTTTTTAATAAAAAAAATATTAAATCACTGCTTGAGGGTTTCTGATTCAGTGCTGTCCTTTCTCTTCTCCTTCTCATCTCCTTTGTTCTTCTCCGTTCTTTTGTATTCCTGGATTTCTTTGTTCGACATATGCCTCAGTACACACGTGCTCCTTCCTTCTTTGACAGTGCGGGGCTCAGAGAGGTAAGTCGCTTTCCCAGGCATCGTATCCAAAATCTGACCAAAGAATGCCAGCTGAAAAGGAAAAGATGCACTGGCATTATGTATGTATTACCTGAGCCTTAAAAAAAAAAAAGGTTTAGTGAAAGGACTTGACTGAAGTGTAAAAAAAGCAGACATAGGCTGTTGCTGTAGGAACGTCTACTAAATTAATGTGCAACGAACGCTGTTGGTGGTGAGCAGAAATTCAATCATTTTACAGATTCTGACTTGAGTCAGTTAGAAATGCCTGACAAAGCACAGCCTCCTCCATCTTGTGTGTTAGTTTAGTGCACTGGTGAGCACCCTGATTGGGGTTGAAGACTTGCCCATCCCCCATTACGATATTCTCATTATCGTTCTGGCAGGTTCTATTGGGACAGATGCCACTTCACTCTGCATGCTTATTTTCCTTATTTGATTGACAACTGCACTGGGGAAAGATAAGTAGTACCCTGTACTGGCTCTGAGGCAGGGATCTCCAGCTCCTGACCCCAAATCTCTTCATAGAGGTCAAAATTAGTTTACCTTCACCCTGATTTCAACAGGAATTACTTTCATATAACTATGCTGCTAAGGATTGTAGCGAACATTAAAACGTAAGCCTGTATTCCTTATGCTGGAATGTGTGACATGCTTTAAAGCAGGGATGGGAAACCTGTGGCCCCCCCAGGTGCATTGTGGCTAGAGATGTAAAGGCCTTCAAATTTCTAATTGTGGACTACAACTCCCATCATTCATGACGGCTGGCCAAGCTAGCTGGGGCGATGGCTACTGGGAGTCATAACATCTGCAGAGTTTCAGGTTCTCCAAAGCACTTCACTCATCAAGGTTATGGGCAAGAAAGAGGGTCTGGCTGTTTGAATTTTTTTTAAAGTATCTAACAAAAAATAATGCTCCAAATAGTGTTGGCAGAAACGTAAGTCATACTAAAGGTCAGTTCGCAATACTGGCCAACTTGACTGTGAGAGGCCCTCCATGAAAACTTTGGTTGTAATTTACCATATTTTTCTGTCCATCACCACCCCTCTTCTGCTGCAGTGTAACCCGGACATGGTGCTTCTTGTCAATCCACTGCTGAATCTGTTTTATCTTTGTGTCTAAATCGTGCTGCTCAATTGCTGTGGAAAAGGTTAGCTCCTTCTGCTGAATGGGGCCTGTTGAAATGATAAGCAAAGAGATTGTTAGGATTTGTTTTAAAGCAGCTGTGTTCCAAACTAGCTCAGATTTAATTATGTATGGGGGTTTCTTTGGAGGGGGGGGGAATCGCAGCATGAATTTCACATGGCAGAAGTATATGAAGTAGCTCCTTATTTACAGAGGCCCAAATATCCTTAAGAGGGCAAGAAATGTACAGAAAATGGTTTGTCCTGCTCTCCCTGCATAAAACAAGATACACTGCTCTTCCTTGCTCCCAAGTTATTGTTGTTTTAATATGGCTAATAAATTGGCAAAGCATATGCTTTTATTCTTTTTAGAGCATGACTTTGTGTGATGTAGCGATTTGGATCTATGCTCAAGTGGCAATTAAGGAGAGCTCTTTTTTGTAGTCTTAAGAAGTGTGCCTTCTGCCAACAGTGTTGTAGTTATGATAAAGAGCTATGTAGGGCATTAAAATCCCCAAAGCTAGTGGTGGTTCTGGGAACATCTACTTATTCTCTCCCCTCCACTTTCTGCAGTTGTGAACTAAAGCGGTAATATACGAGAGCCTGCAATCTCTGTTTAAAAAATGGTGCTATCCCTGAATGAAATCCGGGAGCAGATGCAGATCAGCATATTTCCCATTATTTTGATAACCAACTAGGCTAATAAATACGCATTTAGAAACTGGCTCTTAAAAAATATATGCAGCGAAAAAACAAAGGACTAGAGCCTAATCCATCTTTTAAAAAGCTTTTTAGAATTATGGACTGAATAAATGCTATACATACCATTTTTAGCACTAGCTTTCTGCTTATCTCTAAGTCTGAGCCGCTCTTCGAGGATCTGCTGCCCAGACATTAGTCTGTACACTGGAGGGTCTGCTTTCTCTTTCAGAAGAACAAGCTTCACTGCTCTTTCATCCATGATTCGAATCACATCTGCCCTGTGGATGTTTCCCTGGTTTTCGCCATTCTCATCAATCAGCTGAATAATCCGATGGGGGATTTTCCTCCCAACGCTTTCAATTGTATTTTTGAAACTGGTGGTTCTTTGCTTTGCTTTTAGATTCTCCTTGGTATCTTCATGAGTACAGAATGCTCGTGTAGGGACAGGCAGAAGTCCTTTTTGAGAATCCCTCTTTATCCAAGTTTCCGAGGCTGTAGTCCTTTTTACTGGTTGCACCAAGAAACTGGCGAAATACTTAGTGATGTGATTCACTTCCTTCCTTCTGGCCTGATCCAATAGTTTCTTTAGACACAAGCCAGCCATTCTGGATACATGGGGGTGGGGGGATGCCCAGAAACCTTAAAAACAATATTTAAAAATGAGAAAACCTTGTGAAATAGAGTTTCATAAACTGCTTTGAGGTTTTATTACAGCTGAGGTATATATGTCTTTTGAAATAAATAAAATAATATTTTTTTAAATGCACTGAAGTTGCTTGCTTAAATTATCAAGCTATCCTTTCCTATGTAAACACCTGTAAAATTATATTGTATACAAGTTTTAAGGTGCCCAGAAATATCGACATACCCAGGCCTTTGCTGCTGCTTCATTACAATATGTTATTTTTAAAAATTCCTGCCTGTGTTCAGATGTATTGCATCGCATTCTCATTAACATATGACAGGACTTATTTTTAAATTGCACACCCCCTTGGAACTGCTGTGGGAGGCAGCAGAATGATACCTTAATGGTATACAACGCTTTCTTATCAGTTGGACCCTGTAGTAGCGGAAGAGAGTGTGCGCACGCCTGCAGTCCGGCCCGCCACAAGGTCTGAGGGACAGTGAACCAGCCCCCTGCTTAAAAAGTTTGCTGACCCCTGCCTTAATAAATATATAACCCTTTGCATGTATTGGAGGTGCATCCCATTGAGTTCAATTGGGACATTCTTCCTGGCAAGCGTTTTGCAGCCTAGGGGTGCAATCCTATTCCTACTCACCTCAGAGTAGGCCTGATTGAACTCTGTGGGGTTTCCTTCTGAGCAGACATGCCTAGGATTGCTCTGTAATTAGGTTGCATGAACATATTTGCTTAAGATTTTGGACAAATAATGTGGAATTTTTTTTGCAAAAGCATGAACGGCCAGATTTGATACACGTGTATGTGTGCATATGTAGGCATGCGTGTGTAAGAATCTTGCACCCCTTATGACAATGCCAGAGCATAATGTGTTGGGAGGAGATTTTGCTCTGTAGAGACTGCAGGGGCTACAAATGCACACACCCCTTTCGGAATATCTATGCATGAAACATTTGCCTGCTTAACGAGTGGGCCCAAATCGGAGTAGGCCTCCTGAAACAAATGGACCCGTTAAGTCATGCCCATTCATTTTAATGAGTCTTCTCTGAGAAGGCCCTACATTGGATACAAAACAATATTTTTATCATTTTCAAATTTTTGCAGATTTGCACATTTCCAACTGTCTGCACACCTGCATTTTGCCAGATTATGTTCCACTGAAGGGAGGATGGTTGTAGTCATAAATCACAAGTTTTTCATGCTGCCTATGTGTGGTGCTTTATTGACCAATATTATGCGTGCTTGTTTCTATCAAATGTAGTAATCTGCCATGGTATTGCTTGGCAATGGAGAGTGGGAAAGAAAGAAAACAGGAGATTTATAAAGTGGAAAAAACTGGAGAGGATGAAAAGAAGCAATTTACAGTTCCTGCTCTGGAGTCATCCAGTGAAGCAAGCTGTTTAGGGAAACACAAGAAAGGACTTCATGAAACAGTGCATCATACAATTCTTATAAAAATGCATTGCAATGTGATGTTTGCTCTGTAACTTTGCTTTAGTGGAGTGGTGGCGAACTTGCTGTGGGCCTCAGAACGTGGCTGGACTGCAAGTCCCATGGTTGGAATCCAACAACATCCATTGGGACATTAAAGAAAGACTCATTCAAATGAGCATAATATATCGCAGCAACTGGTGAATGTCAACACTCCTGCTTTCTATCAGCGCATTAGGTCCTCTGCAAATCCTCATGTATCAGGTGCTTGAAAAAGTGTGCATTTCACCCTGTGTGCACGCCAGATATTTGGGGTGGAATCTCATAAAACTGACTGGCAACTTAATGGGGTACAGCAAAAGGCTTTATATGCAGTATATACATACAACCCGCTGTACCACGCAAGGCTGCTGGAACTTGGGAGACCTGCCCGTCATCCCTGGTGTGGTTTCGACTTCTGGCATTGCGCTCTCTCCGAAGCGCCCTGTTCTCGCGCGTCCCCATTTGGCGCGAGGGCTCGATCCGAAGCCGCGCCTCGAGGCTCAGCCCTTCTCCGGAGCAGAAAGGGGGGCGATCGTTCACTCCGGCCGCGGGTTCAAAGGCCTCCTGCAGGGCGAGCCCCTCGGCTTACCTGTCAGTCCCCCGGGGGCCGTCGGCAGCTCCAGCGCCCAGGAACGGGGGACAGGAAGCCAAACGACCCGTCGGAGGGGAAGAGGAAGGGCTTGCGGAGGAAGCGGGGCGGGGAAAGGCCCAGCCGGTCTTCCGAGAGTGCCTGGCTGGCTGAGCAGGGGAAAGGAAGGGAAGGATGAAGGGACTAGCCTCTGGCAGCAGGTGCCTCGATCCCGGCTCTGCGTCCTAGCGCGCGGCTGGGGCAGAGCGCGCCACTCGCGGGTGCTCCTTTTGCTCCCTGAAATAGCAGAGCAAATGTTACATTGGAGGCGAGGTTTCGCAGCTAAGGAGGGTCAGCACTTTTCCAGTTTGCCTGGACTACAACTCCCATCACCCCAGATCACTGGCCCTGGTTGCTAGGGCTGATGGGAGTTGCAGTCCAGCAAAAGCACGTGGCAGGCCAAAGGTTCCCCCAATCCTGTTGTTATAGCATCGTGTGCACGCAGAGGGTGCCATCTAGCTATCTAACTCAACTACATCTGATTTTGGGAATCATGAGGTAGGTGCAGATGTTTTGCCCACAAGATGACTCATATAAACCTTTCTGTGCTGTGAAGGGCGGCACAGAAATTAAGTAAACAAATAACTAATGAATAAGGGTTTGCAGGGCTTGCATTCTTACATCTATTGTCAGTGACAGTACATTTATTGCTACGTTTATTTCTCAGCTTTCCTGAAAGGAGCTCAAGGTGGCGTACATAGTTCTCCCTCCTTATTCTACGCAACAACAGGGTGACTCGCCCAAAGGCACACAATGAGCTTCACAGCTGAGGAGATTTTAACCCTGTTAGTGCAGTTCCTAGGCCAGCACTCTTGAGTGTTAAACCACACTAGCTCTCAAACAATTAAGTATATGTTTTAAGCAGGCACAGCCTGTTAGATTAGTGTAGATATCCATGATGTACCAATTGATTTAATAAACATTCAGCTAAGATTGGATTGATGAACACGTTAGCTTTTAAACATCAGGTTACCTTTGCCCTTTAAACTTGGATTTGTCTGTTATGTTTTCTTTTTTCTAAAAAAAAGCTTTTCCAAGCAAGTTCAATTCTGGGTATCTTCAGGTTGAATTGGGAAAGGCTCCTGAGGTTCTGGAGAGACTCTGAGAGACTCCTAGGAGTTTTGGCAGTGTTGTGGTGCACACACACCAGTTACCGAATTATAAAAACCTTCTCTTGCTGCTTACTGCTTATGGGTAGGTCAAAATAACTGAAGAGTTACTTTGAAGTACACATCCAGAGTCTCTTCAAATTGGTGCATAAATCTACACCACAAATTAAAGGACAGTTCTCTTGTTATACCAACAAAAATTTTGCACATACACGCAGGAAGTCACAATGCCTACAGCTGTCTGTTTCAAGTTTTGCGCTTTTAAAAGTTAATGTGCAAATTAATCCGGACAATTGGGGCAAGGGGGGTGGGAGCTGAACAAATTAACTGTTTATTGTATCTGATCTGGTGGTTTATGCAAATAATGAAAACGTGTGCAGCAAGATGAATTAAAGTTGGGGGGGGCAGAGAATACATCTTTTTGGAACTTTTGAAAAACTATTCTGAAGAAGCACATTCCACCATAATGTTGCCCAAGACAGGCTTTTAAAGGAAGTTTCATTGAATGGTGATTCTAAAAACAAGCTCTGTGTGTTTTTTGGTAGCAAATGAATGAAAAATCAGAGAGAGAAAACACCACATCAAAAAAACAAAACATTGCCAATGTAACAAGTGTATTAAATGTCTAGTTAAACATGGCAACTGTATGGCGCGGGCCTTTCCGCTGTACATCTGAGACATTGTTCTGTAGCTTTTGCAAGCTGATGGGTTCAGCTGCAAAGATTCTGAAGGCTGCTTTGTTGCCAGCCTGGGACACATCCGTGACCTTATTAGAGTGGAAGTGAATGCTCTCCTTTTTTGCAACAGTAAATCTACTAATTTTACAGTCAGTTGAACAGCAATAGATTAATTTGTTTAAAGTCCGCATTCACAAAGCCAACGCGAACTTCACTGCCTTGAATACCCTAAACTACAGTGTGGATTTTCTTCTCTCTCTTTTTCTCGGAAGGGTAGACACTATTACAGCTTGCCCCTAGAATGGTCTGCGCAGTTCACTGTCACCTGCTTCTCAGCACAGGTGCTGACCTCTCCGTCTATTCTCTACCTCCTGACAGACTAACAACTAGACTGATCCTTTGTGTGGAGCAGCGAACGCTTTCCAAGCGACTGGACCAGTTCTCTTCAGCATTCCACAGGAAGCAGGAGAAAGGCAAGGTTAAGGGGGCATTCCGAGGGTCAGAACGGGTTAAATTTAGTTAACATCAGAGGTTATAGCTTTTAACAAGGAGTTTGAAGGAAACTTATTTGAAGATGCAATTTGTTTCTTCTTTGTCAATCATTTTCCTCCCCTGAATCTCTATTGATAGTGACAGCTTAACAAAGTTTTTATACGCTGGCTCCCCCCCAAGTCCCCACCCGCCGACCAGCATCCTTTATGCAGGATAAAGGGGCTGGAATGCTCAGAAAGAGATGCAGGTGGAAAACGACTTTATAAAGCTTCCATGATTTTGAAATTGAGGGTTGAAAGTAGGTCCCCTGCTTGGCTAAGTCAAAATTAATTTGTAGATGTTAAGAAGACGGACACATTATTGGCAGAAGAGGGAGCTGCCGGCGGCAGGCTGTTCTATGGGCCGCATTTTAACAGCCTGGTCTTTGTGTAGGGGGGTCTCTCCACATACATATCCCACTCTCCACGGAGAGGGAACTCAGTGAAATCATCTATATTATGGTTACCAGATTTTTTTCAGTGAATCTGGGGAGACTTTTTTTTTGGAAGCTGAGCAGCAATAGGGAGTTAGTAGTGGTGGGGATGGTGAGGCAAAAGACCCTGGGCCAAGCACATATGCATATTGTATAAAGGTGCAAAGCCCTTCTTTTGCACGCTGTGAAACATAAATGCGCAGAGTTTTTTAAAAACTGGGCAACGGAGCGCCGCCTGTCCGTGACTCCCAAGCCTTCCCCGATCTCCTGCCCCCTTCCCCCTTTGTTTTGACAGATTGGGGGAGGCTCGGGAGTCACAGGTGGGCGGCCGTTGCCCAGGAGGGGCGCAAGGAGCGCAGTTTCTCTGCCAGGCAAGGTGCAAAGCCCTTCTTTTGCACCCTGTGAAACATAAATGCGCAGAGTTTTTTTTTAAAAAAACTGGGCAACGCCAGCCCGCCCGAGACTCCTGAGCCTCCCCCGATCTGTCAAAACAAAGCAGGAAGAGGGCAAGAGATCTGTACCGCTGGACATTCCTGGTTCCCTTTCGGCAGTGGCTGCAGCAGTGAGCAGCTCCTGAAGCCAGCCAGAGCTACCAGGCTGGCTCCAGGCTACTGAGGCTGCCACTGCCACGTTTCCCAGGGACAGATTTGCAAATCTGGGGACATTCCGGGGACGAAATTTGTCCGGGGGCAGATTTGCAAATCCAGGGACTGTTCCTGGGAACCGGGGATGTCTGGTAACCCTAATCTATATGGGATTCCTGTTGGTGGTTTATTTTGTGGGGAGCTACTTAGCATAGAAACAAAGCACATGTAGCTGAGAGGTTGTGATGCTACAAAATGTGCCACCCGAATATTCCTCGACTGGCTCCTTTTGTCTTTCCAAAATGTAAAAATTCTGGGTAGGCTGTTCTAGAAAGCACAGTTTAGCACATTGTTTTAAAAGGAGTTATTAAAGTAAAATCCTTTGATTTAGTCGCATTAGAGCCAGCGTTGTGTAGTGGTTAGAGGGCTGGACTAGGACCTGGGAAACAAGGATTCAGGTCCCTACCCAGCCATGAAGCTCACCAGGTGACTTTGGGCCTCTCACACACGCTCTCATTATAGCATGGTTTTCGTGAGGACAAAAGGAGGAGGAGGAGGAAACCCTGGAGCTCCTTGGAGGAACGGTGGGATATAAATGTAATAGTAAATACCTAAAATAAAACATAAGAAAAAGCTTTTGCAGGTTAGAGTAACAATTCGTGGTGCTGACGTACCACCCCACTCCTCCTGCATTGGGCATCCCATTTTACCACCACCCCACTGCCCATCTTTATATGAAGACATATTATTTAATGAAAGCCATGCCTAGAATGCCTTTCCCTTGCAACTTTAACAACAGCACCCTCCACCTCAGACAACCCGAGATGCGTAATTAGGGAGCGTGCCACGGAGGCTGCAGTGCACCATGAGGTTTAACCCTTCCTTCCCTAGCTTGATCCCAATTAAAAGCATCCTCCCGCTGCTGATGTTTGCTTAAGAACAGGAACCAGTGGGGAATTAGGACTGAATAAGAGCCTGCTGGCTCAAGCCAGTGACCCATCTAGTCCAGCATCCAAACCTGAGTGCAGTAGCATCCCTCTCCTTACCTGTGGCTCCCTCCAACTGGCCTTCAGAGACACACTGCCTCCGACAATGGATGAAGAACATAGCCATCGTGACTAGTCGCCATGGATAGCATTAGCCTCTAAAAATTTGCCTAATCCTCTTTTAAGGTCATCCAAGTTGTTTTCTGCTGCTCCAGAGAAGCGGACACGGAGCAATGGATCCAAACTACAAGAAAGAAGATTCCACCTAAACATTAGGAAGAACTTCCTGACAGTAAGAGCTGTTCGACAGTGGAATTTGCTGCCAAGGAGTGTGGTGGAGTCTCCTTCTTTGGAGGTCTTTAAGCAGAGGCTTGACAACCATATGTCAGGAGTGCTCTGATGGTGTTTCCTGCTTGGCAGGGGGTTGGACTTGATGGCCCTTGTGGTCTCTTCCAACTCTATGATTCTATGATTCTAAGTTGGTTGCCATCACTCCTTCCATGGTTTCTTCAGTAAATTCCATAGTTGAATTATATGCTGTGTTGAAAAGTTCAATTTTTGAACTTTGAAGGCAGTCCTGTTTAGGGAAGTTTCCAACATTTGATGTTTTATCGTGTTTTTAATATTCTGTTGGGAGCCGCCCAGAGTGGTTGGGGAAACCCAGCCAGATGGGTGGGGTATAAATAATAAACTATCATTATTATTCATCTTAAACTCACAATATTGAGCTTCACTGGATGTCCACAAGTGTTAGGGTTTATGAGAGAGGGAGGGGGAAAATATATGTGTCCACTTTCTCCACGTATTACATAATTTTATACACCTCTACAGTCTCCTCTTGCTCACCCTTTCGCTGAACTGAAAAGTCCCAAATACTGCAACGTTTCCTCATGGGGAAGTGGCTCCATCCCATTCATCATTTTGGTATCCCCTTTTGGAACCTTTTCCAACCCCACAATAACCTTTTTGAGACGAGGTGACCATAGCCAAACCAAGTATTCCAAGTGTGGCTGCACCATAGGTGTGTATAATAGCATTCTGATATTGACAGGTTTGTTTTCAACTCCTTTCCGCATGATGCCTAGCATGAAATTTGCCTTTCTCACATCACTCTGGGTCGTCATCTACTCTAAGGTTTTGTCTGTCACTGCCAGTTCAGACCCCATAAGCGCATATGTGAAATTAAGATTTTCTGCACCAATGTGTATCACAGGTTTACATTACATTTGCCTTTTTACTGCCCATTCACTCAATTTGGAGAGGTCCTTTGGAGAGCTCTTCACTATCTCTTTTTGTTTTATTCACCCTGAACAATTTGGTATCATCAAACTTGACTACATTACTGCTCACTCTAAACCATTTAGGAACAATTTTAAAAGTGCATGTTCCAGTACTGAACCTTGGAGGATCAGTTAGAGCAGATCCTTGGAGCTACTTTCGACACCCCTGCATTGGGAGAACTTTCCATTTATTCCATTTATTCCCACGAGTTACTGATCCATAAGGGGACCTCTCATCTTATTCCATGACTGAGAAGCTTACTCAGGAGCCTTTAGTGAGGTACTTTGTCAAAAGCCTTTTGACAGCAAGTATACACTCTATAGGCAAATCACTTCTATCTACATGTTTGTTGACACTCTGAAAGAACTCTGACCGGTTAGGGAGAGAAGACTTACTCTTGCAGGGCATCTGTAAGGCATGTCCTAACTGTCGAAAGCCTAACAGCTCAGCCATTTTCACACTGCATGGGGCATCCAACAGGGTCAAAGTTGGTGCTGGGGAATGTGGTCTCCTCCTCCATGCAAAGAGAACCGATGCACTTACAGTAAGGTACCTTTCCTGAGACCCACCTGGAGCTAATTCTGCCTCTGTACATATCAACATGATGTTACGCCCTGGTGTAAACCTGTTGACTACAAAATACACGGGTTTGTGTCTCACATGCCCTCCAAGGGTTCAAGGCGATGTATAAGAGGGAGGTAGTGATGTATGGAAGTGAGAGCTGGACCATAAAGAAGGCTGATCGCCGAAGAATTGATGCTTTTGAATTATGGTGTTGGAGGAGACTCTTGAGAGCCCCATGGACTGCAAGGAGATCAAACCTCTCCATTCTTAAGGAAATCAGCCCTGAGTGCTCACTGGAAGGACAGATCCTGAAGCTGAGGCTCCAATACTTTGGCCACCTCATGAGAAGAGAAGACTCCCTGGGAAAGACCCTGATGTTGGGAAAGATTGAGGGCACAAGGAGAAGGGGACGACAGAGGGCGAGATGGTTGGATAGTGTTCTCGAAGCTACGAACATAAGTTTGACCAAACTGCGGGAGGCAGTGGAAGACAGGAGTGCCTGGCGTGCTCTGGTCCATGGGGTCACAAAGAGTCGGACACAACTAAACAACAACAATTCCATTTTATCTTCACAACACCCCTATGAGGTAGGCTAGGCTGCGAGAGAGTTAACTGGCCCAGAGTCATCCAGTGAGCTTCATGGTTTGGTGGTGATTTAAGCCCAGGTCTCCCTAATCCATCCAACACTCTTATCACATTGGATCAGGATACACTCGGGTGTATTTGGCTCATTTATTTAGAAAGGGGAAGGGGGAATGCCTGTTACATTTTCTAACAAACTCCTCTCGCCCCCTCCCTCCTTGCTCTCACACATCTATTATGAGAAATGTCCAGGATCAGGTAATAGCTGCCTTAGGTAACAGATGATATTATGTTAATGAAGAGTGGGATAAATGCTGTGGCAGATTTGCATATAATGATCACGGCCATAGCCTTTCCTGAAGTGCATATCCCAGTGTGGCTGCCCCCAAACAACAGACCTTTTCCGTACCAGCCATAAAACTCGGGGAAGAGTCTGTTAGAGAGACAGAACGGCATTTTCTAATTTCTGTCCTACATTTAACGGTGCTACTGTTGCGGCTCCGAAGGCATCAAGTAATTACGAGCATGAGAGTGGTTACACAAATGAAATATGCGGTATAATGTGGCTGTGACAGAAACGGGTATTCGGCTTGCAACAAGCATGCCCAGTTATAATCAATCTGTCGCATCTTGTCTATAGAGAAAGAAAGCAGGGAGGACACACAGAATTGGGCCTAGGTGTTGGGGCATCTCACACGGGATGCTTGTCTTTATGCCCCCTTCCTTTAAACATGTTACTCTGAAAGCTGTGCACATGACGCAGACCTGAGACTTGGTCAGTGACGCAAAGAAACTTTAATCCCAGCCAGTGGGATTAAAACCCATCCTTTTCATTGTAGAACTAACACATGAGGAGCAAATTGAGAACAGTGGTGGTAATAATAATAATAATAATAATAATAATAAAATAAAATAAAAATTTATTTGTACCCCGCCCTTCCCGGTTCAAAAACCGGGCTCAGGGCGGCTAACAACAAATTTAAAACACTTTAGAACACTTAATTATAAAAGCTGCATAAAATACGGTATAAAAACATGAATAACAATAAAATTCAAGAATCAAAAATCAAGTAGATAATCCCCCGGGCTAGCTGGCTGAATTGGTCCTGCTTGGGCCAGCGAGGAGGCCAGGGGAGAATTAGCTGTGGGGTCTCAGAGCGGGTGATCTTCATAAAAGGGGAGGGGGAGGGAAGAGAAGAGAAGGGAAATAAAAGATCAGGCTGAATTCAAATTAAAGGCCAGGCGGAATAGCTCTGTCTTACAGTCCCGACGGAAGGAGGTTAAATCCTGCAGGGCCCTAGTCTCATGGGACAGAGCATTCCACCAGGTCGGAGCCATCACTGAAAAGGCCCTGGCCCTGGGGGAGGATAGTCTGACTTCCTTAGGGCCCAGGACCTCTAAACTATGGTTATGCATGGACCTTAAGGTCCTTTGTGGGGCATACCAGGAGAGGCGGTCCTGTAAATATTCTCCCGTAGAGAACCAAATGCAGCCCTCTGAGCCTCTCTACCTGGTACTTGAGACTCTCTCCCTGTTCCACCCCTTCCCCACCCTCTCCCCAGGCCATACCTCTCACAAGCCCTGCTTTGCAGCCTGCTGTAGTGCTTTTTCCTGGCTGGAATGGGCCCTTGGCCCTTTTGCTTGCTTGGCTGGAGAATCGAGAAGTAAACATTTGACCACCTACTTTTGCTCCTGGCCCCACCTTCTGCTGGTTGGCAGCTCCCTGAAGGTGGCCCAGAAGGCAGTGTGGCCCTTGCCCCCCCCATTCCGACTCAGAACATAGTCGTTCAAAGATATTTTCACTGGCGCGGTAGTAAACAGTGTCCCCAAATTTCAGGCACCTACAGTCTAGAGCGGGGTTTCCAAAATGCGGGTCTCCAGCTGTTTTTTGGACTACAACTAGCAAGACCAGCAGTCAGGGATGATGGTAATTGTAGTCTGAAAACAGCTGGAGACCCAAATTTGGGAAACGCTGATCTAGAGGTCCCCCGCTACACAAAAAGCGCCCAAAATATTCCCTAAATGTCCAACAGACTCTCTATATATGGGGCATTTTTCACCCTAGCCAATGCAACATGCTGAGGTAAAAAAGTTTCCAGCTAAACTGATTGAGAAGAGCAGATTTAAAAGCCTGGGATAAAAAAAAAGTCCCAAGAAATATGAAGTGTTGTTAGTTTGCCTGCTGCCTTACTGCTTGTTCTGAGGTGAGATTTGAAGGAAGGCAGAGCAGTATCACCCAATAGGGAATCCAAGCATAAAGGGCAGCCAAGGAGAATAGGTGGAGTCATGAAAATGGACAGGAAATTTTGGGAGGATGAAGGCAGGGACTGACACAACCACGGCCTGTAGTGTTGTGCTGAAATCTTTTGAAAGGTAGGAGCTTGGGCACTGTGCTTCTGCTGCAGAGTTGGCACTTAGAAGAGAGAAGCATATACAGTTTTACGCAGTGCTATTTTTCTAGAAAAATAATTCACCATGACTGCCTCCCTTGTTCTCTTAAGAATGGCAATGGCGCCCACCTGAGAGGTGGTGGAACGTGAGTTCCAGCTGAAAAAAGCCCTGGTTTTTATGGGGGTATAGGAAAGAGCTAGGAAAGCCAGGTTCTGTCAGTGGACCTGGTGAGGACTAACTTCCATTTGGTTCCCCCCCCCCCCTTTCTGCAACCGTTTCTCATGGTTTCTCCACCGTTTCTCCACCGGGATATTCTGTAACTTTATCATTGAACATTACAATACTCCAAAAGGGCTGTAGGTTTGAAAAACCAACAGTAGCCTCTGGAGAGCTCCTCTGCTGCCTTGTCGGTTTACCTAGTCTCCTACTGAGGGCGGCCTTCTTTATTTCCCACAGTGCCCCAAAGAATACGACTACATTTTGGGGGCAGGGTAATGTGTTATATTAAAATCGAGGTTCTCTGACTCAACCACTATGATGGATGGCATGTGCTGATGTTGGGCCTGACAGTCTGAAAGTGTTTTATTTATATGTTTATTGCTCCATTCCGTTCATGAATCACTTCCTATGAGACATCCTGAAGTGACAAACAACAACAAAATACACGATCAACACTGGAAACGTATATGAAACAATTTCATATATAAAAGCAATTAAAGAAGGTATGGGTTAGGGTATTTTTTTTGTATATGTTCATATAATGTCCCCCCTTTACACAGTTGTGTGTTCTCTTCCCCCCTTTTTTGTATCATTTTACTTCTTTATATTTGAAAAAATTTCAATAAAATATATTTTTAAAAAGTTTTTAAAAAACAATTTCATACATAAAAGCAATTTCAAATTTGAGACAGCTGCTGACTGGGATAAAAACCTCCACTTAAAAGGCTTGTTGGAAAAGAAAGGCCTTCAACAGGTGCTGAAAAGATAATAGAAACCATGCCTGTCTGATTTGTAATAGGAGGCAGTTCCAAGGGGCAGGTTCTGCCACACTAAAAGCCCTATTCCTACATGTATGGAAGAGACTTCCTGATGAGATCCTATCTTTAGGGGACCCCACCCCTGGCAAAGCACAGTGATCCATTGTTTATATATCGGGTGAGACAATCTCGAGTTGGTTTCCAAATATGTTTATTTTCCCCCTCTTCCTTTTATTCCTTATCTATTAAACTGTAAGCCATTATTTTAAACTGTGAACTGCCTTGATCATATTTATATGAAAGCAGCCTCTAGTAAAAATAAAATAAAATAAAGGCATACATAATAGCTGGACCCAAAGGTCTACTTTAGACTTGCCGGAGGGCTCGGGAGCACACCCAATCAGATTTTTGAACTTTTCATGTTATTGAAGCAGCACACTGCTCTTCAGCTTTTTGTCACTTGAAGCAATTAAGTCTACATGATGGCTATAACTGATATTTTATTCTTTTTCTATTAAAAAAGGAGAAAGAAATATCAGTTATAACCATCATGTAGACTTAATTGTTTAAGTGACAAAGTCAAGTTCTGCCCTCCCACACGGCTGAAGTTTTATTCTTTTTCTAACTTCAGCAATGTGGGAGAGTAGAGCTTGACTCAGTTTTACCAATGGATTTTGGGTTTTCTCCGTTGGTTGGGTTACAATTGATAGGAAAGAAATTGTAACATTTATATTGAGTTCAGCTTTCTGAAAGCCGCCCCCCCCCCATACACACACTTTCCCAATTCCACACGCTTATGCCTCTGGTGGCAGTAATTAGCTCAATGTGCTAATGAGGACCCTTGGAGGAAAGACTGACAGGACTAATTAGTGGGTGAATTTCACTTTAATAAATGTATGGGCAATTTTCTAAATGCAGATGGCCCAGTCCATCCTGGTGGGAGTTCTGCCCAGAGCCACTTCATATGGTAAGTGTCTGAGAGAAGTGGTTAATTGGTAAAATGCTACATGATACTGATTAGAAGAGAGCTAATGGCTGCCTTTGCTTCCCAATGTATTATTCATTGCCAGACAATGTGAAAACCTCGTATCCTTCAAGAGGTCCACCACAGCCAGGTATTTTCAGCAAATTGGATGGGGGTTACGAGAAGCACCTACCTGTGCTGTGACAAGAGCTCAAGTCATGGATTTCTTGCCCCAAAAGAGACTTCCGTGTTGGAAGCAGCATGGAACACACATGCGTTCATGTTCCTGTGGACATACACATGTCCTGGGAAGCCATGGCCAGCCAAAGCTTACAAAACACACCTTCTGAGCCAACAAAGTGCCACTTTATGCTGAGTCAAAGCAATGGTTCGTGTTGCCCAATGCAGCCTTTCCTGGTGGGTTGCATCTCACCAGCATCTCAAGCAAAAGCTCTTTCCAGAGATTGTTCTAACTAGAGAACCTGGGGTTGTATCTGTCACCTTCCACATGCATTCAGTGCTAAAGCAATGGGCTCTTTCCCTTCATAGGTAGGTAAGTAGATTTGAAAATATATTTTTTTCATTTTCACAACAACCAAATACATTGGTTCGTAAGTTGACTTCCCACCCTCATTTCTCAAATCCTGCCCACGAATTCGTTTGACTGTAATATTCTTTTAAATAGTCCACGAAAGGCCTCCATTCTTCTCTTAAAAGTTCGTCATTCTGATCTCTTAATTTCGCTGTCAGCTTTGCCATTTCTGCCATAGTCCATGACTTTCAAAAGCCACTCCTCCTTCTCCTTCGTTGGAACCTTCTCTTCTTTCCATTTCTGTGCATGTACTATTCTAGATGCTGTTGTCACATACATAAATAGTTTGGGCATCTTCTTTGGCACACCTGTCCCTAGTATACCTATAAGAAAGGCTTCTGGTCTTTGGGGAATAGACAACTTTTATTCTAGCTTTTGCCTTTCATGACTTGGAATTTGTTACTTAGCCAATATGTACCAGTAACTGTACTGATTGTCTATGTGCCCATGTTATGGTTTTCATAAAATCATAGAACTGAAGAGATGGAAGGGACCCTGAAGGTCATCCACACCAACCCCCTGCAATTGCAGGAATATTTTTTCATCTTTAAATTTTAATCTGTTGTATTATATAATTGTCTTGTTTTATATACTTTATAAAATAACAAATCTTTTAATAAAAGTACATAGGCAGGGACACGCAAGAGCATGCTCTGTTATAAATCTCAATCTGGATTTCAAGCCAGGATTTCTGGGAGCTGAATAATTTTTGAGTTTAGCAGCTTCTAAATATCAAATAACTTTTGCTGTCGCTCCCATCAGTTCCAATGGACAGGCATTTCAGGAGAGTGCAGTTGGTTGACAGATTCAGACCAAGTTTGGGGGGCTGAATTAGTGTTAGGACACATGTACTGATTATTGCGCAAGGATTTATGACACCTATTTACACCCTCCTTGTTAACCCCTTACAGAGGGTCAGTCTTCAGCATCTGGTTGGTCACTGTGAGAACAAGGATGCAGGACTAATGGTCCATTGGCAGGAGCAACCAGTGGGGCTGAACAGGTGGGGCTCCCACCTTCCAGAGGTGCTGGGTTCCTGCTGCTTCCTGAGAGGGGGCTCTCACTCTTCTCCATCTGGTCCTCTTTTTAATAAACAGAAACAAATACCCAGCAGAAACCACATCGTAAAATTATTGAAGTAAGGGTATTGTTGCCCTGTTTCAGCATTTCTTTGCATTTTAGACAGCACAAGAGCTGTGCTTATACAGCACAGAAAAGCATGCAGGCTTTCCCCAGATTAATGAATAAATTAAAACCGTTGCCAACCTGTGGGGCTAAATTCAGGCCTGGTGTAAGAGGCTGCGGCCCCTGTGTCATAGGACTCACTTAGGCACCCAGAGCTCAGCTCGGACCACAGTCTCTTTATTTTATAATAAATTACCACATGGATCATCAAATTTGATATTCTCTCATAAAGGTTTAATTAAGAAAAAAAGCCAAATCCCCTGACACAGAAAGCCTCTGACTAATAGTACTAATAAAATGCTCTGAAATGTTTGATAGAGCTTTCACATACTAATTGGCTTTCATTAACTTTAACACTGGCTGAACTGATCAGAGGAGCTCTGGCTGGGCTCACATACTCCAGTAACTGCTGCTGCTGCAGATTATTATTATAGTAAGTAAAAAAGGGAAAGGCAGATGTCCCATTTTTCATATTTGGGTCTGTAAGCGGGTTTTTCTCCAACTCTAGTTGGCCAGTGAGCCTTGGATATTTTGTTTTCCACACTAATGTGTGGTTTTGGCTCACTTGCTAAATCAGGTAGGGGAAATTTTTGGCCCTCCAGATGTTGCTGATCTACAACTTCCACCATTCCTGGCCAATGGAAATTATAGTTCAGCAACATCTGGAGGGTCAAAAAATTCCCCATACCTGATCTAAATAATGAATTTCCAAATTCTTAAGTCTGGGAAGGGGCGAAGGGAATACACTTACATTGGAAGCAGGTCTCACCAATCTTTTGGAATTTTGAGGAACTGCTGTGGGCACCAGTCACAGAATGATTGTTGTGAGGGACAAGACATAAAACAAAATTTCTGCCATGGAGGATTACACAAAATGGCGTTCTTTCTCTTAGCTGGGGCTAGCCAGATATCCCCAGAAGCTCGCAGAGCAGGGCACGACGACAATGGCCATCCATTGTTGGTTACTTATGGCATCTGGCGGTCAGAGGAACATAGAAAGTGGCGCTTATACAGTGGTACCTCGGGTTAAGTACTTAATTCGTTCTGGAGGTCCATTCTTAACCTGAAACTGTTCTTAACCTGAAGCACCACTTTAGCTAATGGGGCCTCCCGCTGCTGCCGCGCCGCCGGAGCATGATTTCTGTTCTCATCCTGAAGCAAAGTTCTTAACCTGAAGCACTATTTCTGGGTTAGCGGAGTCTAACCTGAAGCGTATGTAACCCGAGGTACCACTGTACTCAGAAGTACACTGCTTCTGACCACACGCACAAACAAACATGCATTTTCTTTCTCCTCTTATACATGTATTTATCTATCTATCTATCTATCTATCTATATATACACAAAGGGAAGGCAAGGCAAGAAAATTGTGAACAGACCTGTGCATCTTATGATTGGGCCTGACACAAACAGGGAGAATATGCAGGCAGGTTCTAGTGCCCCAGAGCCTTGCCAGGACTACCACTGCTGGTGTTTCTACGTGGCAGCCCAGCAGTGGCACTCAGCAGGTCTCTTTTGACAGCAGCAGTAGTGTATCTTGACAGATTTACCCAGCAGTTTTCACACACACTTGTCTTAATCTTGGGATAAAGTCATCCTAGTGGTGCAGGATTAAAACTGCTAGCACGTTTGCAAAGCTAAGCAGGGCCTGGTCTGGTTTCAAATTGGATGGGGGACCTCATGTTAAGATTCTCATGCTACATTCTCATGTTCTCTGGGCTCACATTGCAGACTAAGCCTCAATTGTGTGCAGCTGGCATAAACTTAGTGGAAAGCTAAGCGGCCAAAAGACATATTGGAGTGTGAAAGGGATGTTAGAAATCAGAACAGAAGGGTTACGGTTCTAATCAGTAAAACTAATGCAACAAACCTCATGTGTGAATACATCCTTAGTTTCTTTTATGGAGACCAGATGTGTTAATCACTCCTTAGTTAGTATGATCAGATTTAGGCTCTTGTGTGATGGGCCCAATCTCCAGAGGGGAATGCTTTTGCAATCTTGGCTTGATGATTTCATTGCATTGCCCTAGGTACGTCCTGCACACATGACTTGCGCCATCAGTTTCCACTAGGCAAGCCTCCAGCAGCCTCGTTGCTTTTACTGCAAAGTACGCCATACTAAAGCCATTGTAAAATCATATAGTCAATACTGGAGTGGAGTGCCTACCAGGCTCTTGCGGACAGCAGCTTGCCAACAGCACTGGTATCTTAATTAGACTGGCCCCTCTTCTGGCATATTTGTGCCAGGGCTGGCATAATTAGCATGCTGGCACCAGTGAGCCCCAGAGCTTTATGCTGGCATATGGACCCAGAGCTGAGGTGAGCACCAGTGCCAGGCAAGCAGTTTGCCTGCCAGCTAGAAAGCCACAGGGAATAGGAACCAAGAGGGGGAAACAAGTTCCAGTGGTGGAGAATCCATTACAGCAGATTGCACAGGGTCTTCCAAAATGGACTTGCTCTTGAGGCAGTGACTGCAGCTTTGATTCAGAGATGCTCTAGGTTGTGCTAGCCACTGTGTTCCAGACTAGTCTTCTGTCCTGGTGCCCTCTAGGTGTCTGGGGCAAAATTTTGGCTAAGGCTGATGGGAGTTATAGTGCAACACATCTGGAGGGCGCTAGGTTGACAATAGCAAATTTAGTCGGTAATGTGAATTTTCTTGCTTCCAAATGTGGTAATGCAGTGCTTTTGCATTTGGGTTTCCTGATGCTTATTCTGCTAAATGGGGCCACAGACCTCTCTCTGTCCCTACATTCCGCCCTGACAATCCCACAATCCTGGGGGAGAGGGAAGCTGGAGAAGGTGGAAAAAGACACTCCAGCTCTATCTAACAGGCACCAAAGTCAATTCTCATCCTGAGGAATTTAAAATTTGCATTGGAGATAGGACATTGAAAATATGCCAAACACCTGTAGAGATTCTGCATGTATAATCCTTGCAAAAGCCCAACGTGCATTCAGAGAAACAAAAGGGATATGTGGGAGATTGCAGTAAAATTCAACAATGCATATTCTTGCTAGTTAATAAGTTTAGGGGCTAATGACCATAGAGCTAATAGGCCTTAGAAATGTAATTGGTAGAGAGGGCTTTGTGTGATGTCATTTCCTCTCCTCTCTTGAGCAGGACTCAAAGAAGCATTTCCTGTTCCTTCACCCAGCAATGAGTGCAGCTACACCTTCCGCTTGCTCTGGCTCAGGCACATGTCTGAGACTGGTTTTACTAGAAATATATGTATTTTACCTGCATTGTTTTTCCTGCTGAGAACCAATGCAAGACTGTGAGTAAGCAAATCGTATTTTAAACTTCCCAGTCTGTTGTCTGAATCTTCGTTAAACAGGGTAAGAAAAAGGTCAGTCAGCTTGCTTCGTTTTCAGAATTTGGCCAGCGGTAAAAGTCATTTAGAGGCTGGTGTCAGCAACAATGTCTCTTGAGTCTTCAGAAACTGTCGACAAGCACCATTAAGACCCCAGTGTAAACATCAGCATTTCCATATATAATAAGATCCCCTTGATCAAGGCAACAATTTCATTTTAAAGTTCACCCTGCCTCTGGTTTTTCTGTCCAGTTCATGTCTAATCCTACTATACCAGCTACTAAGACGTTTTGAAAGCATTCTGAGTGAATGGGTGGCAACGTAAAATTAAACAAGTACAGAAGCCGAAAGAAAGTGAAGCTGTATCCCTGACAGAGAGGCAGCAGGAATAGATCACTTTCTAACAGAGCTAAGGCAAAAACTTCAAGATTGTGAATTTGAAGCTGTAGGAAACGTCATGTTCTTAACGAGGCTGCCCTGTTCTTGAGTTTAAAATCTAAAACAGCTTATCTTGTATTCCTTTCTTTGAATTTGTGCCATCTAGGTTTTTTAAACCTTTGTGTAAAGGCAATACTAGAACTTTCACAGCTGAGTCCTCAACTCTTTATTACTGTGTTTGGCTTTCTTTAAGTTGGGCTGTGTCTAAAACTTGCCATTTAGGTTTTCAAACTTTTTTTTGTAAACTTAGTATTGGAAACTGTACCTTTGAGTCCTTAATCCTTTATTACTGAGCTTTGCTTCACCCTAGGTTGAGCTAGGATTATAATACTTCAGAATTTTTGGGAGTTTTAACCCCCTTTTTTGAATTTTGGTCATTTAAGGTTTATGATTTTTCTATTTCCTTCTGAGGAAACTGAATAGTTCAGTGAAACAAGGTTTGTAGCCGGCATCCCGTTAAGGCTTTGTACAATTCTAGGTTTTTCTAATTTTTTCCTTAAACTTTTTGATTTTTATTATTTAGTTTATTTCTATAAGATAATATTTCTAGTCAATTACTTCTCGTTTCAGGGATTTTCACGGTATTTCATTTGTTTTGTGTAAAGTCCCCAAAAAGATAGCAGCACAGCACAGAATAAACAGGGTGTGGGCACATTCTCAAGCCTAGAGCATGCCCAGCCTGAGGTGCCATGCGCCACAAGGGCTCATTTTGCCTAGATGTGCACAACAGAGAGAACAGAAGCAACTCCAAAATTGGAGAAGGAAGGTACACTGTTGGAAAAGTGTGGTATGCTACTATTGATGTTGTGGGGGCGCTTGAAGCTAGATAATGGATCTGAGGTGATGCCAGACAATTTTTGCAGTGAGCCTGCAAGGTGTGCGCAAAGAGATTGCACTAGTGGCTTTGGAAAGCTTTGGAATTAACTAAAGGGTGCGATGATAGCACAGCTGGACTGAACAAAGCAGATCTTAGGACGGGTGAATCTGTGTGTTGTGTTGAGTTCCCTTTGGCTCAAGAACTTCTCTGTTAAAGGGTAGTGACCACAACTTCCCTGACTATTGTGACAGTCTTCGCTTGCAGAGCACATGTGACACCGTGTGAACCTCGGCTTTCAATGCTGGATATCTTTGAAATACCTTGTGACCTAAGAAGAACCCGAAAGCTATTGTACTGGTATCTTAAGATAGGCTTGCTTTGGCAAAGATATTTGCCGCAGTGCCCTGTGTTTCTCTCTGTGTGTGATCAATTAGATTGTTGAATAAAGCACCTCATGTGTGTGTTGCTTTAGGTGAAGCATTTGATTTGCACTTTGTTCCTCGTTCTACTTTGTATTCCCTTAAACTTGGACAATCTTGGCCTGTGTGGTACTGTTATTGTTGCCTGGAGAACGTCTACTCCCCACTCTCTTTAGGACTTAAAAGGATGGGAACTGCCTCCTAATTGCCCAATTAGTCCTAATGCCACGTAGTGTTGACTATTTAGTTACCACGTATTGTGTACAGAACTAATTGTGGTGAAAGCCAAATGAATAGGAAGGAAACAAACAAGCTACTAGAAAATAATTACATGGAGTGTTTCTTTTTAGTACCTCTAGAGCAGATTTCATTATAGTCAACAGCTTCTAAAGCTGCTCGAAATAGCAGTATTTGTCATTTTCATAGAAACTTGATAATGACATTAATTTATCTTAATGGTCTGTTCTATTGTTATAAATAGTAAAATTAGCTCAAATTGTCTTGCTTTTGCTGGTTTTGGATAGCTCCAAAGGGCCCCACAACAGCAGATGAGTAGGTAATTTGGTGTGCTTGACAGACTTCCAATAATTTGTTATGTGGAACATGAGTAATGTTAGTGCCATTAATGTTCATTTTCCTCTAAATTCATTACTGCCCTTTTCCCTTTTATCTTTTTTAATGTCTGGGCCATTTTTCTATATTTCAAGTGGCTGCACCAAGCCTATTCATATTCCGCTGTAGTAGCTATTAACATTCTGAACATAGCGAACATCAGGTAGAAAAACAACTCTTTATGAAATGATGAGTTTGGTGGCTATTTATGACCCAAAGCAGGTAAAACAAGGTGGTATTAAACAATGGTCATAATTAAGTCAAATCTAATTGCAAAGAAATTTAAATGTTTTCATGTTTCTTGCAAAGATTAAGAAAACAAAATGCTTCACGAAATGTCTAGGAAAGTGCAAATGCTTTAATATATAATAATCAAGAAGGAGAGGGGGGAACCTACCAGCACAACCTATTTCCCCGAGTATCATCTGTGTTTAAAGTTCACAAGATATTTTCATCCGAAGTGATAGCTGAATACACAGGATGTTCTACTGCATTTAATTCTTATTAGCTCTGGGAAATGGTCCTTTTGATTGAGGTTTGTTGACATGATTATCATCTAAACAAATGAGAGAGCATTTATAAGGGTAAAAATGAGTATTTGTAAATGTGTTTACTTTTCGATTGTGGTTGCCTTCAATTCCTGCCTCTTTTACTTCCCATGACGCTGTGCCTGGGTTTTGTACTGCTATTGAGATGAGGTATAATACTTTGCTTTATGAAGTCTCACTAAGATAAATACAGCATGAGCAAGTTGCAGTGTACACCAGTGTATACTGGTGTATCTGAAGAAGTGTGCAAGCACACAAAAGCTTATAACCAGAACAAACGTAGTTGGTCTCTAAGGTGCTACTGCACAATTTATTTATTTATTTTATTTATTTCGACTGATTTATTTTATTTATTTCAGACCAACACGACTACCTATCTGAGTGTACACCAAATTCAGTTGTCAGTCTCAAGACAATGTGATATAATAAGAGAATGCCTCTGGACATGTGGAAAGTTTATTTTTACTCCCTGAAAGATAATAGCCTATTACACACATTTCTGATAAAGGATCAAGGCTTCTAGGAAACGGAGTGTTATTTGTAAGCATGCTGAGATTAACTTTCACTGAGAAAAATGAAGTGTTCACATTTACAAAGGAATTTTGGATTAGCTTGAAACCCTCCTTGTCTTTTTGTGGACCATTTTCCAGTGGTATTTTGGGGGTGGTGATATTTGGAAGAGCTAAACCAGCTTGTAGCAGTGGAAACAGAATTCTGTGGGTTAATGAGGGCTGCCAGGGGCTGCCTTCAGAACTGTCATTGGATTAGTGCTTCATAATGACATATACTGTACTTTTCCGTGTATAAGACGAGTTTTTCTTTACTGTAAAATGATGTTTAAAAACTGGGGGCGTCTTATATGGTAAATAGGAGTGTGATTGGCTGTCGCTGCGACAATTTAGCTTGCAATTTCCTGCTGCTATTATTTATTGGACTGGCGCTTGTAGCAGATGCGAGCGGTTTTTAGCGAGCGGTGCGAGTGGTTGTAACCGTCGGGTTAGTGATTGACTGCATTCCTCCCCAAAAATCATGAACAACCTCTGGCAATCCTCCCCCCAAAAAGCTCAACAACTTTGGGCCATTTTCTTAAATTTGTGTTCCCGCAAATAGGAGGCGTTTTATACATGGGGGGGTGTTATACACAGAAAAGTATGGTAATAATCTTAGAAAGGGAGCTGTGGGAACATTGCTGGGTCAAATGCTGCGGCTGCCACTTCAGAACAGGCAGCAGTAAGACAACAGCAAAAGGAGGGACACTCCCCCCCCATTGCAACTCTAGATTTTGTTGAGAAGTTCGCCCACCTTGGCCCTGACTCAGAGAAAGGTAGTTGCATTTTACGTCCTATTAAACTGAATGGGACAGGTTCGTGGCAGCTAAGTTGATTTTCAATGGGATGTAAGGCCCTTTCACATATCATACAAATCATCCATCACCAGGGAGCTGCAGCCAATCTTATTTCATTCATTTGAGATAGATTAATGATTTGCCCTTCATTGGTGCAGATGCTAGGGCAGCGTACAGAACACAAAAATAAAAACAACCCCTCCAAATCATAAAATAAGCAACAAGACTTACAAAATACACAAAATCATTTTAGGTATATACCTAAAAAAATAAAAAATAAAAAGGTAGTCAAGGCCCTCAAGCATGACTAATTTCTTCAGGTCAGGAGTCTTGAATGATACGTTCCATATGTGCTGTTAACAAACTCAATTTCTCAAATGTTATGCATTCAGTTTCTGTTTCCAAGTATAAGAAAAAGTTTCTTTTACAGTGGTACCTCGGTTTGTGAACTTAATCTGTTCCGGAAGTCCGTTCTTAAACTGAAACCGTTCTTAAACTGAGGCGCGCTTTCCCTAATGAGGCCTCCAACCACCGGTGCCCTTCCACTGTTTGGATTCTGTTCTTAGACCGAGGTAAAGTTCTCAAACCGGGACACTACTTCCAGTTTTGCAGAGTTCTTAAATCAAATTGTTCATAAACAGGACGGTTCTTAAACCGAGGTACCACTGTATAAGATTAATGCCATGAGAAAAACAGTGACTTGATGTTCTTTTTCAACGAGGTAACAGATACTGGTTTTCTTCTGTAGACCCACGCATAGTAGCAAAGTATGCTGATCACATTTGGTTAATTAAATATTTTCACACATGCTTGGAGATAGAAATGGAAAGTTATTAGTTTGAGGGTTTGTTTTTAAAATGGTGTCACAATATGCTAGCTTTCAGTCTTTGTTTCTCAACAGCACCTTCCTTGCTTGCATAAGGGGGGGGGAGAGAAAAAAACACAGCAAGCATTCATTTCTAAGATCATGCTATTTTGTGGCTTTGTGTAAGGAGCACCATAATCAATATCCTAATCAAAATATACTTGGGCATGGATTGTTCTTTGTATTTTATTTTTTTAATATGGAAGATAATGTTTTTGTAATGCAGGGTATCAGTGATAACAGTTCATAAATATTTATCCTAATAACGTAAATGCATCCACCTGCCTTCATTTATAAAATAATAGCCTTTGAGAGTAAGGCACAAACCTTATTCCATTTAACTGACTTTCCCTGCAGTCCATTAGACTCGGCTGTGTATTCTGCTAAGGAAGCTGCAGCGTGTCAGCAGCCCATAATGGTTCATGGAAGATAAATGGAATTAGGCAATTGAATAATTACAGGGGCACTCTCTATAGCGCTATAAGTAAAGGTCTGTCAGCATTTCCATTAGGAAACCCAGTCCCCCAGCTTCAGCAGCATACATCTGTAAAGTTTGACTGGGGACAAAATTCAACAAACAGAAACTCATTGTGGGGGGGAGATATATTTCCATGTTTGCTTCAAAACCTGGTGACTAACTTCTAAAAAGTGCTCAAGTGGCGCCTCAGCACGCACAGAGCCTCTACTTGCACACCATAATGAGCAGAGTTGTTTGCAATTTATATGCCAAAAATCAGCACGTTAAAGCTGCAATCGTTTGGGACCTACCAATAAATAGGATTGCAATCCTAAATACTCTTAAGGATGTGGAACACACCACCATACCTTTAAAACACACACGCCACTGGGAGGGGGGTGAGAAAAAGAATCCTACAAAATCTACAGCCATTCTGTTTTGTTCTTTTTGAAAATCAGTACTGATAGAAATTGTGTGGGGTTTTTTTAATAAAAAAAGAATAGTATTATTATAACGTTATGCATTGCCTTATGCCAAAAGCTACTTAAACAAATAAATATTAAAACAATGCAACGATAACAACCAAAAGTGACCATACTCAGCATCCCACCCCCGAGTACACATTTCCCACCATAAAATCATCATAAGCAATAATCATAATTCTTTCTCTTTTTGGTAGGTGGGTGCTTTAAAAGTATAGTGGTATGTACCCATACCCTTAAGTGTGTCTAGGATTGCAATTTGTCAATTGCAATTGTTTATGTTTACTTGGAGGTAAGTCCCATAGGATTGCAGCTTTAATGTGCTACTTGTTTACATATAAATGCAAACAGCTCATTATGGTGTTCAAGTGGAGGCTGTGTGTGTGTGTGTGTGTGTGTGTGTGTGTGTCTGTGTGGAGGGGGTATTTGAGCACTTTAAATAAGTTAGTCACCAGGCTTTGAAGCCAACGTGGAAATATATTTGCCCTTAACTTTTATGGCCAATACAGGTTGCATGCATCATATCCAGTCATAGATGGCACAAACTTATGTGCATCCCCTATGGGAGAAGTGGAGACACTACGGGGGATATCTTGTGTGACCAAGAGAATGGCAATCAACTGGACTTTGTATATATGACACTACGTTAAGAAACATGCTAAAATGCAGAAATCTTAGGTGCAAGATCCTAAATGCCATTAGGCGCACTCTTATTAGGCTGTCTCTTTAAACCTCAGCATGCATGAAGGGAGACGTTCCCAAGTATGCAAGGTAAGGAAGATTAGACTCAAGCAGGTAATGATTGTCAAACCATTAATAACATTAACAAACATTAATAACCATTAAATTCTGGACATATCTGGGATAGATTTTGTAGAATCCCAAATAAGAGTTTGTACCGTATGAATTATTATCCTATTTGAAGCACAGAATATATCTCAAATGGCTTTAAAACCATATTGTAGCGAAATATGCAGTTTATTCCATTAACTACTCACTGAGTCAATTGGAGAAGTGCTGTTATTAATTTCAATGGAAAGCTAAAATGCAGTTCATTTTCTGTAATTGCAGGCCCATGGCCTAAAGAGACCGTAAAAGCTTTTAATCCAAGGCATTTTTAGAAGGGCATGATCAGAATTACGTTTAGCATCATCATAAGGTATGTAATTATGAAAGCCTCTGTAAAATACGAATGAAAAGAGCTGCGCTTGGTATGATCTAAATCTCCAGTGTTGCAAACTAGACAGGTATCTGATGCTGAGCCCCATCTAAACACAGTTTAAAAAAGGTGGTTAGACAAACAAATATTTGCATCTCAATCCTAAATGCATTTCTTTGGAAGTACCAGGATAATTGATCACATTTGTAAGCCTCTGCCTTCATCTGAGCAGCTCAAATAAGCAAAGGGGGTTATTATATTATTATACATTTATGGATTGCATTTCACATGAGTCACAAGGTGATTTACAAACATACAATCCAATTATCCACAGTTAGCCTATTTTATTTTCACAGCAACCTTTCGGGATGGGTTAGACTGCAAGATAGTGACTTACCCAGGGAGCACTGAACCCAGGTTTCTTTAGTCCAATGGAAGCCATGTGGTGCCCTCAAGATGTTGTTGGGAGTTGGAGTCTGACAGTCTCTGGAGAGCAACACATTGTCTATTCCTGCCTTATTCCGACAAATGGTCTAGTACATCACACTGGCCTACAGCTCTCCCCTTCTTCCTGTGGTTATCCCACAATTCATTCTCTTGTCTTCTCCCTCTGGGCCCAATCAGCACCACAGACTAGGAGGAGAGGGCAAGACAAAGGTTGTTGCTCCTCCATGTTCTTGACGCTGCTCAAATACTTTGAATGGGCAGGTAAAACAGGCAGAACTTTGGGGTTTGAGCATTGGCATGCAGTGCTTAATCTGGGAATGGCACTTGCTTTTAAGGCAAGTGGAGATTTACTCTAATCCTAAACCCTATGACTCCACTTTGGGGTAGGTCCAAAGCAACCCTCCCCCAAATGTTTTGGGCTACAACTCCCATCATCCCCGAGCAGTGGGCATGCTGCCTGCAGCTGATGGTACTTTCAGGCTTTTGGTGAGCCCCCTTGGTAAACACCTTTTCCACTAACACACATTCTAAGAATCTCGTATTGAGCAGCGACAATCCTGCATCTCAGATTTGTCCAGGAACTTACATAAGTTATAAAGCAAAATGTTAATTGGTGACACACGAAATCAGAATATGCAACCGCAGTGGGGAAAAGCTCAGGAAAATCTGCACATTTACTACAGCAATGGGGAGTAGCTCAGCAGAAACAAAGCATACAATTTCTTTGGTTTGAAAAAGAAGAAGAAGAAGAAAAGGAGGAGGAGTTTGGATTTGATACCCCGCTTTATCACTACCCTGAGGAGTCTCAAAGCAGCTAACAATCTCCTTTCCCTTCCTCCCCCACAACAAACACTCTGTGAGGTGAGTGAGGCTGAGAGACTTCAGAGAAGTGTGACTAGCCCAAGGTCACCCAGCAGTTGCATGTGGAGGAGTGGGGAAGCGAACCCGGTTCACCAGATTACGATTCCACCGCACTGGCTCCCAGTGAGAGAGTTAACTAAATAATTCTAGCCATGATTAAACTAATACATGCATTGCAGACACAGAAGAAGGAACAAGCACACATGGCACGAGAAGAGGCAGACGAAGGGCACAAAAATGGGCTAAAAAGGATGCTGGACAAAGTGGACCTTTGGTTGGATCCAAAAGGGCTCGTCTAATACTTACTTATATTGAGAATGAATGCTCTGTTTCTTCCTGGCTACATTTTACAAGAATGCACTCTCTCTCTGCATTCCTTCCGGTGGAGAGAGATTGCACCCAGGCAAGTGTAGCCTCCAAGTTTTCCTCGTTGCTTTTGCACCAAGGCATTGAAGTGCTTTATTTTTAGCTAAAACTGCCTATGGTTGCTTAGGGAACCCGTTACTCAGTGTACCTTATTTTCACAGAATCCCGTGGCTTGAGCAGCTGATACATGGGTGTTCTTATGCCATTGTATTTCCTAGTGGAAATAAATTAGAATCTAGACTGGATGTTCTCCCGAGAGAAGCAATATTGAATTTTATACTTGCACTGGGCATGTGGCAGCTGCTGCTGTATGAGTTGGTGGTTGGAGTGGCAGAGAGGCTAAGGCCAAAGTCCTAAGTGGGGTTATTTGGGAGTAAATCCTACTGCAATGAATTGGGTTGCCTTCTGATGCAGTCCTTAGTTACAGAGATCATCAGGTTACTATTAGTTGTTTAGGGGGAAAGATAGGTCTAATACAGCCTCCTCTGTGTAATGGTGGTTAGTGGCATGGCTTTGAGGATGGATTTGGGAAAGGACCAAACCACCTGGATAGCTCAGTTGGAGAGACCATGCGGCAGATAATGCCAAGGTTGCAAGTTCGATCCCCATATGGGACAACTGCATATTCCTGCATTGCAGGGGGTTGGACTAGATGATCCTCAGGGTCTCTTCCAACTATTCTGCACACGTCCCCAGTGCTGTGGTCCTGATCCACATCACACAGCTGATGCAGTTGTTTTTAAGGTCATAAGATGAGATTGGGAGATAGGATTGCTGATCCCTTGCACCATACAGTGGTACCTCGGGTTACATACGCTTCAGGTTACATACGCTTCAGGTTACATACACTTCAGGTTACAGACTCTGCTAACCCAGAAATAGTGCTTCAGGTTAAGAACTTTGCTTCAGGATGAGAACAGAAATTGTGCTCTGGCGGCGCGGCAGCAGCAGGAGGCCCCATTAGCTAAAGTGGTGCTTCAGGTTAAGAGCAGTTTCAGGTTAAGAACGGACCTCCGGAACGAATTAAGTACTTAACCCGAGGTACCACTGTATATTGTTTGGCCCTTTGACATGCAGTTGGGTTAAAAACAAGAGCAAGAAATCTGCAAGACCAGAGAGTGTTGTCACCATGTGTGTTCAGGGAAGAGTACTCATAGATCTCTGAGGATCAGTCTCCATGAGCGGAGCTCTCTAATTTAGTAGCATATCCTGCTCACAGAAGCCAGGCTGCAGAATAGTGCCCTTCAGCATTCTCATCATGATTTCCCATACATCGAGTTTGCTTCTTAACTGGTCAAGACAAAACCAGGGAGTGCACCGCAAGAACCAATTCTTTGCCTCATTGGGTTTTTCTGTGGCTAAATGGACCAATTTGTACAATAAAAGTGCTCTAGATGGAAATGGTGGATAATGATAGCAGGAAACATATGAGATTGCACAGGGCATGATGAGCACTTTAAAACAACTGAGACTCACCTAACCGTTTTGTGGCCTGATTCACCAGGTAACGTGACAACATAGTCTTTTCCCAGAACAGAGACAATGCAAAAGCCAAAACCAGGCACCAATAAAAAGGGAGAATGGGGAACAAGTATCATGAAGCAAAGAATACAGGTCAGTCCTTAAGAACTTTTCAAGCAGGAATGTAATTTGGAGTAGTGAAATAATAAACACTAATGCTTAATTTCTGGGCTAGATGCCAGGCCTGGGCCAGATGCCAAACTTATCGGCTGGAAAAGAATCTAAAGCAAAGGGCTTGTGAAGACAAAAAATGGACAATTAGAAATGATTGGACATCTTACATTTAAATAGTAGAAGGGGGAAAAGAAAGGATCAATAGCCAGGACAGCAAAATATTTGGAAATCTTGGAGTAAATAATTGAATATAATTAATTGCTCTTACTTCTGGTCTTCAGGCCTGAAGCCTGATCGTGTCTTGGAGACTAGATTGAATTGAAGCAAAAGAACTTGAAAGGGAAAAACAACAATAAATACTACAAAGATAACAGAAGCGGGTAAAATCCAAGCCGAGACATTCGCATTAAACTATTAAGGAAATTATTGTGACTTTAAGGCACTGTAAATAGCAACTCGGTGAAGCAGTTGAGTTGGCTAGATGCCAATAGACAATTCCCATGAGGCAAAGCAATCCAAAATAAATTGGGGGGGGGGGAGGAAGCACCCATCATATCGAAGTGTCCAGTGATTAACCAGAGCCCAATCAACAGAAGCAATTATGGCAAGTAGACAAGAGAAACAAAGTGGAGATGGAAGTAAGAAAAACAGGAAAAATGGAACTCAGAGGGGGAGCAAGGAGGAGTTGGGGGCGAAATCTAAAGAAAAAAGGCATCAAGAACAAGTAGATATCTTGGATAAAATAAAAGAAATGATGCAGAAAGGCAACGAGATTCTCAGAAACCAGATAGTGACAGGCATTACCACTCAAATAGAAAAAGCAATTTCAGAGATCAAAGTAAGATAAAGTAGATAAAGTAGAAGCAAAGATGGACCAAATCCAAGAAAGAGCGCAAAACAATGATGAAAAGATAAAGCAACATAATGTGAAAATTGAGCAATGGGAGCTGAGAATGATGAGAGTATTTCAGGAGTTTTACCAAGAGTTATATCCAGCAGGTAACAATTCTATGGGGAAGATGAAAGAATATACTGAGAGACACTGGAAGATAAAGCTAGAAAGGAAGGATAATGAGGTTATGGAACAACCAATTTCAGAAAAAGATATAGAGGAAGTTATAGGGAAACTGAAATAGGCGAAAAGCCCAGGAGCAGATGGATTGGGAACAGTAAATTATAAGGTATTTTTAAAAATATTGGTTCCTAAATTAAAAATATTATATAATTCAGTAATAGAGGTTGAGAGGATCCCACCATGATGGAACAATCAATGATTATCTTAATTCCAAAACCAGGTAAAGATTTGAAGGACTCAGGATTATATAGACCGATTTCCCTAATAAATCAAGATGCTAAAATATTGACTGCAATAATGGCAAAAAGGATGAATAATTTCATGTGTAAATATATAAATAAAAACCAATGTGGCTTTGTATCAGGAAGACAGATGTCTAGTTTAATAGCAAGAGTGTTGAATAAAATAGATATAATAAGAAAAAATAAATTGAAACTGGTATAGTAGTACTGGATATCTTTAAGGCTTTTGACAGTGTAGAATGGCCGGTGTTAAAAATAATGACAGAAAGTTTAGGATTTGGAGAAGGATCGAAAGGATTACTAGATCAATTATACTTGAGGCATATGTCTTATTGAACAATGGTATAACAGAACAAATAACACTAGCCTGAGATAGAAGACAAGGGTGTCCCTTTCCCCAATTTTATTTGTATTGGTCATTGAAACTCTGGCCAATGTAATTAGAGAAGATGGAAATATAAAAGGAATAAGTAATAATGGAAAAGAGAAAATAAGCTTATTTGCAGATGACATCTTGCAAACAATCAACAATCCGTTGGAAAATATGCGGGTAATAGAGCCAAATTTGAATTTTTTTTTGAGAAATAGCAGGGTTGCGAATTAATTGGTCCAAATCAGAGATTATGAGATTTAATTATGATGAAGATGGAAAAAAAAAACTTTTGAAGGAAAAAAATAGATATAAAATTAAGAAATGTAATAAAGTACTTGGGAATAAATATAACAAGAAACTTAGAAAATTTAGAACAAGAGAATTTTAACAAATTAAAAAGGGAAATTAAGGGGAAACTGGAGGAATATAATAAAATTAAGCTTTCATGGTTTGGAAGAACAGTGATAATTAAAATGAAAATTTTGTCTAGAATAATTTTATTATTTAGAATGTTACCAATTAAGATATCAGGGACAGAGATAAAAGGTTGGCAAAGTATGATTAATAAATTTTGTAATGGGGATCAGAAATTAATCAAAGAAAAAATCCCAGAAATCCCAGAAAATATGTGGACTTGGTCTCCACAACATAAAGTTATATTATATAGCATATAAGATATATTGTAGATGGGATAACACAACAAGGAGAGTTAGCATGGTTAAAGAGTGGTACACAGAAAATGAGGGAGAAATTAGTGAATATATTTTCTGTCAAACAGAATAGGCAGTGGTGGCAGAATATTGAAAATCCCTTATTAAGAAACATCATTGAGATACAGGCAAAATATAATAGAAACTTGATACCAATAAATTCCCCACTAACCCCGGTGGTGATGATAGAAGATTTCCCAGTAAATTTTAAGAAAGACATTGAAAAAGAAATGAAAGAGAAGAAAATACTTAAAATAAAGGAATGGGTGGAGAAAATGAGAAGCAAAGAACAAATAAGAGAATCTCTAACAGGAAGTAAAATAACTTGGTTTAACTGTATACAACTGGAGCAATGGACAAAGAAGTGGTTAAGGGAAAACAAGAAATGCAAGGTGGTGTCATTTTGGGAGGTTGGGTAATTATAATGGAATGGTCTTGGGGGTGGGGTGCACATTTTTATTTCTATTTATTTATTAATATAAATAATTGAATTAATATAAATAAATATAATATTTTTGTTAAGGGAGAATGGGTTTTTTAAAAATCTCCAGTCCTTCAATTTATATATGACACTGTTGAATCTCATCATTTGAGACGCAAGGCACAGCAGAACAAAGCCAATCATATAGACTACAACACTATAAAGGAAGGAAATTTGTCTATGTATCAACAGGGCAAGGGAGGGAGAACCCACACCAAACTATTTTTCATCACCAAAGATCATGAACAATAGCAGTAGCTCTCCTAAACGGGAAGTCTAGCTGCATTGCTTGCAATTACTAGATCAAGCATTCAGAGGAAGGAACTTTGGTTTTGTCTGTATAAGAGGACATTTTACTGGGGCAACCCAGTCAAATGGGCGGAAGAAGAAGAAATAATAATGAATTCAGTGTGATGCCCCCGCTTCACATAGAATGTATCAGGTGGAGCGGGTATGCTTCCTCACCTGTTAGGCTTTATCGTAGCCTGCAGTGAAATGTAATACACTTTTATTTGCAAAGTGTTGCATTAAACCTCAAAGGTTACTTCACCACACCCACAAGCTTTTCGGAAGATGATGGGATGACACTCATTCACCCTAGTTAATGGCTATGGATTTTTTGGAATATGAGTGAAAGTCAGTACACCAGCGGCTGCAAAATAGAAGAAAGGATCAAGATCGGAATTGCTGTATTTGGATTATATATGAGACTATGCGCAGGACCTAGAAATAATTATCTCTGGACGATCAGTACACGGGAAGTCACCAAATTGTTTAATTTGGAATGTATAATTTGCTTTATAAATTGTATTATGATTTGGTATGATTTGACATTGTAAGAATGTGGCCCATATTGAAGTGTTATTAATGAAAAATTTAAAAATATATATTAAAAAAAGAGGGCTTTACCCTGTTCTCAAACCTTGGTGCCTCCATACCTGCCCATAATGGCTGTGCAACGGTGATACCTTGTCATTCCATGTAATTGTTGTACTGGCTTTGTTTCATCCACAGCCATGATGTACCCTCTCACTTGCCTGCTGCCAAGCCAGATATTTACTGTGGACAAGGGATCCTGAGGTGCACCATGCATTTAAGGTGCTCCCTAACACTTACATAGAAAGCTGTGTTATACTGAGATCAGGCTATTGGTCTATGTAGCTCTGCAAAGGACTGGCCTCAGTTCTCCAGGGTTTTAGGCAGGGGTATTCTCAGCCTTACCTGGAGCTTTGGGGGAGTGAGCTTGGAACTTTTCCCAAGGAAAGCCGATGCTCTGCTGCTGTGCTACAGCCCTACACAGGATGCAGAGGACCATTAAGCTGAAATTGGATGGCTCCACAAGAAGCTTTGCTAATATTGACCTTGCAACAAGAGCACGCACCCCTCCGTGCACCATCGTGGCAAACTGCTTTTGAAATTGAGGGGAAATTCAGAAGCAGCTTCCAATCAAGTAGAGTGGGGAAATGTTTTCCACCCAAGAGTAGCATTCCTTTCTACTCAACCTTCTGGGGACCACAAGCCAGTGGCGGGCAGGGCCAGAGGCAAAGGTAAGCCTGAGAATGAATGCAAATTTTACCTTTGCACAGCAAAGTTTCCGTGCACACCTGCTTGTTCTCCATCCAGGCAGGCAAACAAACAAACAAACAAACAAACAAACAAACGAGAGGCATCATCAGAGTTCAAGGACATATTCCAGCAAGCTAAAAACACTCAAGGACAGTGCAAAGCAGAGCCAGTAATGGGTGTGACTGAGAAGGGTGTGTTACATGAGAGCCTGATAAGGTAAAGGTAAAAGATCCCTGGACGGTTAAATCCAGTCAAAGGCGACTATGGGGTTGCAGTGTTCATTTTGCTTTCAGGCTGAGGGAGCCGCCGTTTATCCACAGATAGCTTTCCAGGTCGTGTGGCCAGCATGACTAAATGCTTCTGGTGCAAAGGGACACCGTGGCAGAAACCAGAGCACACGGAAATGCTGTTTACCTTCCCGCTGCAGCAATACCTATTTATCTACTTGCACTGGTGTGCTTTCAAACTGTTAATTTGGCAGGAGCTGGGACACAGCAACGGGAGCTCACTCTGTCACGGGGATTCGAACTGCCAACCTTCTGATTGGCAAGCCCAAGAGGCTCAGTGGTTTAGACCACAGCACCACCCGTGTCCCCATGAGAGCCTGATAATGAGTCTTGAAGGGCCACATTTTCCCCCACCCTGTCATCAAGCGTGGGAATTGGCTGTTCAGAGAAAGCATTCCAGAGAGAGTGCCAATACCTTTTGCAAGCCAAAGTAACTGTGGATCCTGTCCTATGGAGGAGGTCTACCTTTGTAAGCATCTGGTTAAATACATTCACAAATGCGTGATCTTAGCACAGTATTATACTGCATGAATCTACTGTATTAAAGCGAAATAATTTCCTATTATACAGAGAAGTGGGCTTTTCTTTCTTTAAAAAAATCAAAGGTCTGTAGCTTTATTATGAACAAAGGTACTTTCGGGGGGTGGAAATGACATGCTGTAATATCCTGCATTACATAGCTTCTAAATTGGGAGGGGGGGGGAGAAAAAAAGTGGGTGGGGGGGAATCTCATGCCTCACAATGGATAGATGTAATGGGATTGAAATACATTCTCCGATCATTAATACAAGCTTCATATAATACAGAGATAACTGATGAAATCGGCTGACCGTTTTTGGACCTTGGTTGCATTTTTAAAGCAGGCAAAACCCCGGACCCAAGCAAAAATCTAGATCCAGTCAGCAGCAAACAAAAGGGTGTCCTTTGTGTCCAAGTCACACAGACTGACTGAAACATGCGAGAAGTTATCAGTTTGGTTTAGAAATGTAAACGTGAGTCAACTCTAGGTAGAAATTAAGGTAGCTGTCATCGGCTCAATGACAGGCGATTCGCCGATAAAATTATTCTGCAAAAAGACGACAGATTGTTTTCCAGCAGTTCACGTGAAGGCATTTGGGCTTTTGTCAGCAGATGACAGAGCAAGGGGTTGGGGGATGCAGTTCCTTCTCTCAGCTTGGGGGGGAAAGCAAGATAGAAAAAAATCTCTCCTTTGGACTTCCTGAAATTGTAGTAACGTAGAACACTTAGCAACAGCTTCCCCCTTTGCTTAAATCATGTCTCTGGTTTTGTATACAATCCACTCAAGAGAGCTAAAGACAGCTGCAGTATAAACTGTAAAAATGGTTTTTAGAAAAAAGCGTTTCATCAAAATTCTTACATAGCAAAACATTCACTTTGGAACAGTAATTATTAGTAGACACTAACAGATCAAAGGTCACCTCCCCCCTTTTTTAAAATAATTGCCAGCATTCTTAGTAATCACATCAACGTTAAGCTTTCATTGTAGGGTACAAACCTTTTCATATACTAAATAGTTTGCTAAGAAATAATCTAATTATTGCACTTCATTATTATTTTCTTTTTAAAAAATCCAGGCTTTTGTCCTACTTCATGAGAACGGATGACCTGCAAATAAAACTATGGGATGAAAATGGCTTCTTACAAAAAGACACACTTTTAGAAGATTATGGAAGAATATGGTAGGTGAATATGACAATGTTTGTAAGTGTCTGCCCCTTTGTTTTATGTTTAACTTGTATTACGAATTACAAAAAGATACTGGTTGCTGCATCTTGTTGTCAAATCTGGTTCTGCAGAAAAGGGAACTAGAGGATCATTTGTTTGAGATATATGTAAATCTCACCGATTTTGCCAGGATGCCACCTACCTATCCTAATAACATGTATACGTCCAATACAGTGGGGAGGTGGGAGGTTGCAAGATACCCTCTCCCACTCACATCATGAATGGGGTGACCTGGTGCAGACACTGATCTTAACCCAGAACAGCCACGTTTATAGTGGTTGCACCAGCACTTATCTGCAATCAAAAGCTGAATATTGGAAACCACCCAATGTAATCACAACCAGGCCTGTGTCAATTCTGAGCATCCTGCAACAGCGTTGCGTAGGAATGAGAAGGGGCATTGTGTATTAGCATCACAGAAATCTCACCTTTCATTTAAAGAAAGCAAAAGGCAAGTTTCTAAGCCTTATGACTGAAGATATTAATTTGAATTGGTGTTGAGTGAATCCTGGAAGTCTGGGGAGAACTTCTAGCGGCACTGACCTGGAGCTTCATTCTGCTGCATGGCTCCCCATCTCACCATATGACTAGCAAGGCAGAATAAATTATGCAAAGCACAGACATATACTTGCAAGTTTTCATAATTTATTCAGATTACAGGATTTTGGTTTATCACAGCGGGTTCACAACCTTGTCCGTAGCACAGCGCAGACGATGCATGGAGAATGTGTGCACGGTTACGCATTTGATGCAGAAACAACTCGGGACACAGTGCAGATCTCACTGACCGGTGGCGCACTGATGCGTTCATGACTTAAATCAAATAGCCGCAGCCTTGGGGCCGATACTAACTGGGTGGCAAACTCCGGCTGCCATGCTTGACAGTGAAACATGGGCCTGCTGGCCGCATGGAACTAGGGACAGGTTCATACACTACAACGGTGATGTGGAGTTTCTGGGCACAAATGATTTTGTGGGACAACACGCACTTCATGGTCTTCCCCTGCCCCCCATCTTGGACTTCCATGCCAGCGCTGCATCTCATGGTGGTGGCAGGTGACATGGTGCTGTGCTAGCGGAAGGCAGTGCAATGAGTCCCACTAGCGCAACAGGATTTCCCTCCTCCCAGAATCTACTTGGGACGGTCAGGAGAATGGCCGGGAGAGCACACAGAGGGAGGAAAAGGGAGATTGTTCTGTCTAGCAAGCAGAAATGCTTGTGCTGACAGAATGATCTGCTCGGTGCAACTTTGAATACCACCCTAAATTTCCTGATGGGGCTTCTCCAGCCTTATCGGGAGATGCAAGGCTTTGAACCTGGGTTTGTTTGCATGCAAGGCATCTGCTCTGCCACCGAGCTATGGCCCCTCCCCCTGTTGGCTGCAGCTTGTTTGCTAGAGCCATGATTAGCTGTGGCCAGCGTGACACCAACCTCCCAACAGCTGAGTTGCCTACTGGGATGGGGAAGGGCTGAGCCAGTGTAACCAATGCAGTGCTTCCACCAGTGTGGTTGCACAATCCCAAGCCTGCCTCCACCTTGTCTAGGTAAGCAGCAACGGCACCATGGCCAGCAGGGCGGCTCCATGCCGCCATAATACAAGGAATTGCCCCCTTCTGATAGAGACATAGGGATTGTAAGACATAGGATTCAACTTGTACGACCGTTCTCTGGTTGAATGATCAAGAGCACACGTTAACCACAGGAAAGGATGCTTCTTAAAAGCTTCTTTCCCAAGTGATGGTGTCCACAACATGGGGAAGCAAAATCGGATATATTTTATAGGAGTTGGGGGCTACCATTAAGAGTCCTGCGTGACAAGAGTCTGCTTGCACATTTCATCCTGCCTAGTTCAAGCCCTCAGATCCAGCTTGCAGATTTGATCCTGCCAGGATCCTGCTTGTACACTTGGGTCAACACTTAGCAGCAGCAGGATCAGAGAAGCTGGCCTTGGACATGCAATATAAACACTAGGGTCGCTGGGGAAAGCTGTCCTCTGCAAGCAACCCCTCCATGGCCCTAAAGCAGGCATAGGCAAACTTGGCCCTCCAGCTGTTTTGGGACTACAGCTCCCATCATCCCTGACCACGGGTCCTGTTAGCTAGGGATGATGGGAGTTGTAGTCCCAAAACATCTGGAGGGCCAAGTTTGCCTATGCCTGCCCTAAAGTGTGTTGTGCACGTGGATGCTTAGATGGGACAACTTGTGGAAAAACAAAGCAAAAACACAACAAACATGGCAGAAATGGTGGTTTCGAGATGGAAAGAGACACACAGTGAGGTTGAGAGTCTTCCTTTCCCATCCCTAGCTCCCCCGCAAGGTATGAATGTAGCAGTTTTTGGCCCAGCTTATTACCAGCTGCATAAGTAGTAGAAAGGGAGGGGGGAGAGAAAACACAGCTTGAAGATTTTGAACCAGCCATCTAGAAAAATTAAGCTGCTTGAATCAAAGTGGTGTTTGTTTTCCTTTTGTTTTCCTTTTTTTTGCAAGTCTATACAAGACTTCCTGGCCAGCAGATAACTGTCAATGTTACTTTGTTCCTCTGTTCCTTCAGCATAGGAACCAGTGCTGAGTGGCTCATGCCCACGGTTGAAAGTCCGTTGACCGCAACAATCATATCACCGCATCTAAAAGACAGAGATAGAAGCTAGTGAGGGCTAGTAACATGACAAAGTTGCGGTAGCCTAACCCTGGGATCATTCACAACCCTGGGATGTACTACTGAACAGGCACACACAGGAATGCGCTGTGACGGATTAATTCTATGGCTTAAATCTCTATACATTTGCCTAAGAGAAAACAACTGCTCTAAAGAACGATTGGGTGCTGTGTGCTAGTTCACAGCTTCTGCACGCTATGGTTTATTAAGACAAGGTTCCTGGCTTACCTTCACTCACAAGGTTGTTATTTCCAGCTAGTTTACTTGAAATCAACCCTAACCTTGGTGGATAAGCTTTTTCATTTTTTAAAAAACTATCAATTTTGAAAGGTGACTATGTTGTGTACAAAAAAAAAAAAAAGAATGGACATGCAAATAAGCTCAGTATGACCACATTATAAATTTACAGGGGAATACGTTTAGAGCACACAATTTAAACATACTATAGAATGTCACAAAGAATTTGCAGAATCACATACAAGCGCTAGCTATTGTCCTTCCTTGTTTCAGATACACATAAAAAGAAAGAACCAGAACAGCTTACTTGAGTCTTCCGTCGAAATACGCTGGTGTTCCCAGGACAATTGTTTTTATGAAGAAAGGCTGATTTGTGTGATTTTCCTCATAGCCGCCGACAATGCTAAAGCCCCAGCTTGCTAAATTGCTCCTCCGTAGCACCACATCATGGCAACTATGCAGGCAGCTGTGAAAATAATATTATTATAAAATTTCTATACCACCCTTCATGTGAGGATCACAGGGCAATTTACAATATGAAAATGCAAAAACACATAACATAGTAACAAACAACAATTATACCCCCTTCCATGCACAGTTTAAAAGGTCATTAATTGTTTAATTAGCAAAAGGCTTGGGTGAAGAGGAATTGTTTTGCCTGGTGTCTAAAGATTCCACCTAAACATTAGGAAGAACTTCCTGACAGTAAGAGCTGTTCGACAGTGGAATTTGCTGCCAAGGAGTGTGGTGGAGTCTCCTTCTTTGGAGGTCTTTAAGCAGAGGCTTGACAACCATATGTCAGGAGTGCTCTGATGGTGTTTCCTGCTTGGCTGGGGGTTGGACTCAATGGCCCTTGTGGTCTCTTCCAACTCTATGATTCTATGATTCTATGATTTAACAAAGGTGCCACCTGGGGAGAGCTTCCCACAAGCAGGGAGCCATTGCAGAAAAGGCCCGTTCTCAACTTGCTGCCCTCCAGGCTTCCCGTGGAGGAGGCGCACACAGAAGGGCTTCAACATCATCCCAGGGTCCGGGTCAGTTCATACAGGGAGAGGCAGTTCTTGAGGTGTTGGGGTCCTGAGCTGTTTGAGGCTTTATAGGTCAAAAACCAGCACTTTGAATTAGGCCTGGAAACGAATTGGCAGCCAATGCAGTCAAGCCAGGATTGGCATTATATACTCAAAACTGTCCTACCCCAGTGAGCAACCTGGCCACTGAATTCTGCACCAGTGGAAGTTTCTGAACTATCTTCAGAGGCAGCCCCATCTATAATGTGTTGCAGTAATCTACCCTAATAATCTATTCTAATCTACACATAACAGGTAGAATTCAACATCACACTTTGATTAATGTTCCATTTGCACAATCATTGCTGCTTGCCCGACAGAACAATCCTCCCCCCTCCTTTCCTGTGCTGTTCTGGGGGCTCTTCCAAATCCCTACAGCCAATTTCAGGGGGCATGAGAAGAGAGTAGAGGGGGAAAGCCCCATTGCACAAGCAAAGGGTTTCCATTGATGGGACATGTTAGGTGAATCCCTCTCATAGGGTGGTAGTCAGCTTAGTTTTATTCAGAGTACACCCACAGAAATTAATGAACCCGAGTAAGTTAGGTCCATTAATTTCAACAGGTCTGCTCCAAATATAATTTTTGAATATTGCCCATAAATTAGAATATGCATAAAATGTTATGCTAATCAACGTTCTCTCTGCTGCTCATTTTGGGGATGCATTTCCCCGTTAGGGTGAGGACACTGCAGTTGGATGCTGTGGGCCTCCCTTTCCAACAGTCACAGAGAGGTCTGCTTCTCTTGTGCAGTGCTACTCTGCATTCTGCAATATGGCACACTAGATGCAAAGCCAGACCAAGACATAGAAGAGATCTGCACTCACAAATGGGTGGTACACTGATTTTGTTAACTAAGAAATATTAATCAGGTGGCCTAAAGGCTATTCCAGAGGCCTGGCCAAACAAGAATGCCAGCAGTGCAGAAGACCACAAGTCAAAGTAAGGTTGTCTGATTGTCCAGCAGTACCTGGGAAGCCCCAGCCACATAACCCATGATGGGGACCAACTTGCATCATATTCGTTCTCACTGATGGTGCTGGGCTGCTCATCATTGGCCTGGGGCTGTTCTTCAGCGATCTGGACCTCCAAAGCTTTGAGGGCAACGACGGAAGAGGCAGCACTGGCTTTCAGCATGGCCACTGCCTCACTGTGGCTTAGGTTGGTCAGATCAATGCCGTTAATATTCATCAGCACATCGCCTGGTGGAAAAAAGAAAACAGAAGCCATTAGTTGGTCCAGAAACCTGTGGCTTTCCTGTGCAAATGCATAGCTTGTTGTTTTCTGCTCCTCACTCGCACCTGGACCCTACAGGCACGTGCACCTGTGATGGTACGCAAGGTGGTCCAAACCCAGGTTGGAACAGAAGCATCTGGCATAGTGACGTCCACTTCTGGACTGCAAAGTCAGCAGTCTTTGGGAAAACGACATATCTCAGGGGCATGTTTGCAGGCCAGAATGTTGCACACCAGGCACCAGATGGTTTGATGGGGGAGACCTCCCTCCTTTCCTGCCTCCCACTTGCAGCCATTGCTGAAGCATCAATAGCAGCCAGGTAAGCGAGGTGGAAGGGATGCAGTGCAAGACTGAAGGGGGAAGAGAGGGGGTTCAGAGGCTCTCGAAGGCCTAATTGGGTTGGCTTGGAAATAAGCAGAGTTATCTGCATTTTGGGAAGGGGAAACATCTTGGCTTGTTTCTAATCCAATCCTAATGAGGCTAGTAGGTCCTGTGTGATGCAAGTCCAACCTGCTAGGCTGCTTGTCAGCTGCCAATAGATTTTTACAACAGTGACACAAGATGCACGGCGTTTATGGTTATGTTGCAGTGTTGCTGGCTCTGCGATAAACAGAGGATGCATCTCCTAAGTCATGAACAACTTCTTGCTCTTTACCCGTGGCTAACAGATCCAGAAAAAGGAGTGAATATTATGCACGTTGTGCGATACATTCAAGCCCTTCATAGTGTGCTTTCAGGGTGGGGTGGGAGAAGCCCCAAAGTTCTTCCTTCTGCCCTCCCCAATATAAACAGTAAAAAATGTGTCTCTCTGCTTTAGAGACATGCAGAACTCATTTGAAGGAGCGTCTCCACCCCCATCATTCAACCCGGACACTGAGGTCCAGCGCCGAAGGCCTTCTGGTGGTTCCCTCGCTGTGAGAAGCCAAGTTACAGGGAACCAGGCAGAGGGCCTTCTCGGTAGTGGCGCCCGCCCTGTGGAACGCCCTCCCACCAGAAGTCAAAGAGAAGCACAACTACCAGACTTTTAGAAGACATCTGAAGGCAGCCCTCTTTAGGGAAGCTTTTAATGTTTGATGTATTACGATATTTTAATATTTTGTTGGAAGCCGCCCAGAGTGCCTGGGGAAGCACAGCCAGATGGGCGGGGTATAAATAATAAATTATTATTATTATTATTATTATTATTATTATTATTTAGGAAAGGGGGGAAATAAAAAGGGCTAGCTGAGAAAAGTGCTTCCCAAAAATCATTTATACACCTCAAGCATTAAAACTGATGCTCAGAAAGGATGATGGGGCTAGCCTACAATCTCATTCATCCCTGGCAGGAAGGAATATACTTCAGATACTGGAACACATATTCAATGTGAAATCTAGCTTGGACTCTTCTATTGTAACTTGCCTATACAATGGACGTTATTTGTAATGATTACAGGAACAGTTGTTACCCCCGTAAGATCTCTGCACAGAAACTACGAACTTCCCAATGAAACCAATGGGAGGTTTGCAAGAGAAATGGCACCCCCCATTCATTTCAGTGGGGGTTGTGGGGAGCTTTGCACTTTGGCTAATTGGGAACAGCGCAACACGCTGCCTGAGGAGCCCATTCTAGTCCCACCTCTTTTGATCCTGCCGTCTCTTGCCAAGCAGCCTTGAGGTTGCACGCTCGTGACGAATATTGGCAACTCCCCACTCTTGCTTCCTCGGCCTCCTGCTACTGTCATGCCAAGGGACTCGTGGGGCTCTTTCTTCACCGTGATATGCTTCTCTTGGCAAGTAACGCATTGGGAAAGGTCCTGCAAAAAGTCAAATACCGTCCATTAAAGTCAGGTTGAATCTGAAATCCATATTTAGCCTTTTATAAAGATGTGGTATTTATTCCACCCATCCTGCCCTAGCAAAAAAACAGAAGAAGAGCTGAGATCTGGAGCACCTCCATAAACTTCCCGGGAAATGCAAAATGTTACTGTACCTTGTTGTCTGCCTCTAGATACAGTGGTGCCTCGCAAGACGAAATTAATTCATTCTGTGAGTTTTTTCGTCTTGCGAATTTTTCGTCTTGCGAAGCACGGTTTTAACGGTATTAACGGTTTTAAGAAAAAGGAAACAAACTCGCAAGACGTTTTCGTCTTGCGAAGCAAGCCCATAGGGAAATTTGTCTTGCGAAGCAACTCAAAAAACGAAAAACTCTTTCGTCTTGCGAGTTTTTCGTCTTGCGAGGCATTCGTCTTGCGAGGTACCACTGTACCATGCTGGGTGGTTGCACAATAGCCAAGCATCACTCCACCCTTGGGGGGGGGCTGTTTAGGACAGTTATCTTTTGGAGGTGTGGAAGTGTTCAGCATCAAAGACTCACAACTAGTGCCAGCTGTTGAAATTATATGCTCAGGTGTTGCTCACTCTGATTTGCGAAGAGTACCAATTTTTCATAGAACAAAGGACCACAGGAGAACATAAGAAGAACACGAGAACATAAGAAGAACATAGGGAGGCAAGAGCCACCTGTTGGATCAGGCCAGAGGTCCATCATCTCTTCCAGCATCCTGTTCATACAGTGGCCAACAGGATGCCTGCAAGTGTCAGGGACTGGGCAGAGGAAGAATGGTGGAGACCGCCTCCCCAGCCTGACCCTTCCAGAGAAGAGGAAGACAGTTCAGAATTACAATGGGGGTTTGAGGGAGGTCACAGCTCAGAGGAAGATGAGGGGGAAAGTTGGGAAATAACAGGAGAGGAGGAGCAGGCAGAGCCAGAGCAGCAGCTGGCTGACACATTGTCACTAGAAAGCATTCCAGGCTCTCCATCTCCCAGAACTCAGCGAGCCTTCAAAGTAGGAGAGCAAAGATGACCTCTAAGTGCCAACCGTAAGGGTGTGTTTGTGCTGTTGAGGAATGAGGAAGAAAAGGGGGGTGGAGATTTACTTGGGATGCCATTATTCTAAGAGGCTGCATTCTCAAGCCTCTCTCTGTAAATATTGAATAAAACGCAGATGGTAAGGACTTTTCCTTATCCGTTCCTAGCAACCTGCAGTGGGGGTTGGTTCCTCTGCCACCTGACAGCAAGTGGGATATAAATTTAATAAATAAGATAAAATACTGCCTCTGACACTGATATTGATAGGTGCCATTCAACCACTCATAGGAAGAGCCACACTACCCACTGGAGCAGACGTTACTATCATTATTTATTAAATTTGTATACCGCCGTATACCCGTAAATTTCAGGGCAGTTCAATTTTTTCCACCCTCCCTCCAGCAATTCATGACCCCCCTATGAAACTGCTTGCCACAACTTTTCTAGTAATGACTAGGCACTACTTTCAGTGGTCAGCAAGCCCCACCGCCCTCCAGCTTACCTTATGTGGGCTGGGCCTGTTACTGTGATACAGCGAATGAGATTGGTGTTGGCTGATGGGGTGAATCCCTCCATCTCTGACAATGCTCACGATCTGTGACTTGGCAGGCCTGGAAATGGCTAGGCTCACCCTCTCGCCACTGGCCTGTGGGGAACAAAAAAAAGGAACAGGAAGGGCAGTTGGGAAGAAATCAGAATTATTGCCAGCACCACAGCCAGACAGCCCTAAAATAAAATGGACTATGCATGACGCAGGGTGATAGCGGGGGAGATTTCTGCTTTTTCTCACAAGCCAACTAGCCACCAACTGCAGCCTGATGCAAAAGGTATAGAATGGAAGAATTCTGCGCCCAGGAATCTCTTCTGAGTACCAGAACTGAACTAGGCCCTGTGCACACAACCCTTTTGGAGGGCCCTGTTTGTTCACCTACATAAATGTGACCATGTCCAAAAATATGACGGAGCTAAATGCATAAAAGTGAACTAGTTAATAATATTTTTTTTAATTAGAATTTTAAACTAGGAACTTCTGATGGGCTGTTTTGTTTCATTTAAAAAAGAGGCAAAGACAAAAGATCTTGCCAACTGGCTGGCTGAGGTGGCAAATATGCAGGTAACGTTCTACTCAATCAAAGTATGATGATGCAACCTAAGAGGCTTAAACTCAGTTCATGCCTATAAATCTGCCACTGCACTCAGCAGCCATTCTGCACAGAAACCCATTCCTGAACAATTTTCAGTATTTTGGAACAGTGATTTATTACAGTTGCAGGTCTGTGATGTTATGCTCCAGGATGCCATAGCAGTTTCCCTAAAAGCGGGAAAACAATGCTGTTTCTCTAGTACACCACAAGATGTCCTGTTAAAGGTTGCTTTCCTGTGGAAACTGAGATGGTCATGCGTGTGTGAGAGACACAGTGATCGAGGAGATGAGCTGGGACGGATGAATATGGGTTGCCTAGTAGTTTGCTTGAAGTAATACCCCCCCTTTTTTTTTGAAAGGTTGGCATCTCCTTTGAAACGAGTATTTTAAAAATTCCCCTTTTAACTACCTGCTCCCCCTCTTCTCCTTCCTGATCCCAGTCTCTTCCCATGCACCCATTCACAAAGCAAGAGGGTGTCTCAAATGCCAGTGCAGTAACACAGGGGTCCTCAGGGTGACCTCCCATTTTGCATTTTTGGTGGGGATTCCCATTTACAGGGCTCAATCGTTCCAGTTCAAGCTCTGTGGATGCAGAATATCATCAGAAGGCTCCAGCCTAGCTGGTGATCTCTCCCTGAGCTGTAAATGTTGATCAGTGTTGATCAAAAGAACTGAACAGGGTACATCATTCTACGTTGGTTTTAAAAGAGACCTAAAAACCTGCTTTGCACCAAGTCTGATCATTGGTTCAGCCAGACTGGCAGTATCTAATCTCATTGCCAGCAGCTCTCCAGCGTCCCTGGCAGAAGTCTTGCCAGTTGAGAACGTTTCCTGTTATTAAGATACATGACACCCAGTCAAAGCACTGGTTCATGTAGTATTAAAAGCTGATTTCTATACACAGCCTAAGAGTGTGTGAACAAACCCATGCTTTCCTCCCTTTAGTGAAACAAAACAACTCCTTGCGTTAGGGAAACCAACCATATCATTTTAATATGGAAAACAGCCTTCATTGCACAAGTAAGAGTCCAAGGAGACTCCATGCTAACAAGCTGGTTTAGCACAGTCATGTCCAATTTCCAGCAGGCTCTGCTATTGAGTATCAAAAACTGGCAGTAATCTACCACACTCTCCCATTGTCATTCTTCAACTTAAAAATATTATATTTGGCTGGGGGTGCCCAGCCAGATGGGCGGGGTATAAATAATAAATTAGGATGATGATAAAAATAATAACAAATTATTACCCCCACAACAGCCCCCTCCTAGGGCCCTTGGTGCATGTGGGAAGCCAACACGCCCCCAAATCTCCAATTCCCCCTTTACCAGATGAAGAGCTGGTGGGGAAAGTTCAGCATCCATGTAGAACTAGGAGAGAGGGAACATTTTCTTTCTACGGGAACCGGCGGGAGGGGAGAGAAGGAGGAAGGACATCATTGTCTCTCTCTCACCCTTCCCGCAGCCCCCGCCACAGCGCTGCAGCCCATGTAGAGCCCATGCGCCTCATCTTCACCTCCCTGCCCCACGGCTGCGGATTGTAGGGGGCGGAGGCAGATGCCTTGTGCCTTTCCAGGGCCGGCCAGCTGGCTGGGCATCAGGCAAAGCCAGTGGCTTTAGCGGGGTGTGGGAGTTGGCTGTGAGGCAGAGGCGGCACTAGCACCAGCCAGAGCACTTGCTGCAGCAGTGGTGAGCAAGCCTAGCTAAGCAGAACCTCAATGGGCCATACCACCTGAGGAGTTGCTCCGGCTGCAGCCGAGCACGCATTGAGGGTGCCTGGTGGCCATGGGAGAGGGCAGCAGGTGGAGACGACGAGGCCTTGGTCGTGACCGACCAGAATCCATCGACGCGTTGGACATGTCTGGTTTAGCGGTATGAGCATCAGATATGACATTTTTCCAATCCAGGGATGGAAAACCTGTGGACTTCCAGATGTTGTTGGACTCCAACTCCCATCAGTCCCAGCCAGCATGGCCAACAGTCAGGAATGATGAGAGTTGGAGTCCAACACGCCACAGGTTCCTCATTCTGGTTTATACTCTTATCTCGCTAGGTTTCCCTTAAAATTTGCAACATCAGCATCCTTGGTAACTAGCAGACCGTTGTGACTGCTTTCTCACCCTGCAAGATTCAGCTGAAATTTACCTGGATAATCTGAGCAGCCAGTTCTGGGGTGCCATGCTTCAGGTCGTGCCCATTGATAGCCAACACTTTGTCGTTGCTACAGAGCCGGCCGTCCTGAGCAGCCAAGCCGCCTTCCAAAAGGTCAAGGATGAAAACCCCAGGCTCGTCCGTTCTGCGCACCAGCTTGATGCCAAGTTGCTCGTTGGAGTCGCGCTTGTGCAGGGTCACGTGGAAACTATCCTCTCGCTGCGGGGGGCTGTCACTGTGGTTGTGAGTTCGGCTCCCAAAGCGTCTCTCTCGGAGCACCGTCAGGTGCAGCGCCGTGCAAGGCTGGGAAAGGATGGCCCTGGCATGGTTGTGGGACACGTTGCTGATATCAAAGTTATTGACCTGAAAGAAAAGAATTAGGGCCATGTCAGTGGGACATGCAACAAAATGTTGGAGTGTGGAGTGCACCATTCAGGGTACCAGCCAACTAGTCCTACTTGCTAAGATCTTCTATTTTGAAAATGTCTCCTCCCCAAAACAAAACACACACACACACACACACACGAAAGTTCTTACTTGAAAGGGTTTGGATGCTCCCAAGTTACAATTTTCACATACCCTGATTTGAGCCTAACCTCTTTCTTGCAGTTTTTAAGATCAATAAGGGTGTGTGTGTGTGTGTGTGGAATTTATAGAAATGATCACTAGTAATACACAGAGCTTTTTTTCAGCTGAAACTCAGTTCCGGTACCTCTCAGGTGGGCACCACTGCCATTATAAGAGAACAAGGGAAGCGTTCATGGTGCATTCTGGCACCTCTTTTTCTAGAAAAATAGCACTGGTAATACATACTGCTGTGCTAGTTAAATTACATTAACGTCTTATCAAAAAATAACCTCTCGGGGCATGGAAAGCTAAAGGAAACATAAGCACATCGTTTTACAAAAGGACAAGACATCCAGTCTGACTGCCACATTTAGAAAGATGCACCAGAATGGAAAAGAGTTATAGGATGAGAAACCCCCAAGAGCCGCATAAATCACCAGTATCAATGCTGAAAGGGCAAACTCACATTGCCTGAATAATGTTTCCCAACCAGAGACTGCCATGCTAACATTTGTCCTGAATAGAGAATTCCAATTGACTGCCAGGAAATGATGACACCCTCTCTCTTTCTCTCTCTCTTCTCTCTTTGATATAGAACAGCACAGTCCGGACACACGCAAGTTGAGAAGAATATATAATTAGATACGTACTTGCAGTATTTGATCTCCGGCAAGGAGTCTTCCATCTCTGGCAATGATCCCATCTCGATAAACCTCTTGAATAACAATGTTGATCAAAGGTGTTTCGTTGCCACCCACTATGCTAATTCCCAGCTCGATATAAGGATTGGACCGATGGATTTCTATGGTGGTGATCTCACCTTCCGGCAAACTCGGCGGCTGATGGGTTGCTGCCCGATTGGAAAGGAGAACAATATGGACGCTTAAATACATTTTTGTCCCTCAACAGAGGAAGCTCGTGAGCAACAAACAACAGGATACCTGACATATTGTAATGCAGATCAGCTGAAACCAAACTTGCACAACTTACACCTGGCAGGCTAAGCCCTGCCCACTAGATTCATGTACAGGATTGTGCCCTGCCACATTCTCATCAGCCCACCTACTTTTGAAATTGCAGGCAGACAACAAAACCAGGAGCTTTACTGCACTACGATGGGCCTCTAGACATGGGTGTGATCAGCACAGCACAGGAGTGGAGAGCTTCAAGCCGGGGGCAAATGTGGCCCTCAGGATTTTAGTAAGATGAGTGAAATTGCCCTGGAGGCTGGCTGTGAAACCGCAGTAACTGGTGCCATCCTAAGTGCGGAAGGATGAATTCAGAAAGGCCCTGAGGCACAAATACAGGAAACCAACTGTAACGAACATGGGATGCTCATGAGTGGCTGACCAGATTGCACGCCACTCTAGGAAGGGGAAGCGGAAGAACTCCTTTCCTCTCTGATAAGACTTCGCTTCCTCTCTAAAACTCCAGACTGAAACATTACCATAGGGTAACTGCAGGTGAATGCTGGTATTATTCAGTTTTCTTTTTTCTTTTTTCTTTTGGTAGAAAAACATCCGATAGCTGAGAGTTGATAATGGGGAATCTAATTTTAACAAGATGTTTGATGATATCTGCAGAAAACACAGTGCTTCAGAGGAAGCACATTAAGAGGGGAGGAATTACAAACTATCCTTCCCATAACTGCATTAAAAGAGAGATTTTATATTTTCACACTAGGGTTTCATTATTCAGAAGCAGCAGCCACCAGTACCCTTAAATGGATGATGGAGAGCCTTTTTAGTTGTATTTTTAATGTATTTTTTACCTCTGTGCCGTTAATTGTTTTTCTCTTACGCTGCTTTCTGGTAGGTTTTAAATTGATTTTATGCTGGTTTCTAATAGCCTTACATTGACTGTATAGATACTGTTTTAATACAGATAGGTATTGTTTTTAATATGTATATCTATACATTATTTTATTGATTCATAACTTTTCTAAACCACATCGAAGAATCTGGGGATGGGCAGTAGAAAAATGCCATGAATAAATACATTTTAAAAAACCAAATGAAAAGCTTCCTAATGTCAGCTGCATCGCTAGCTCAAATGGTTTTAAACCAGGGGTAGGAAACCTGTGGCCCTCCATGTGTTGCTGTACTACAACTCCCATCGTCCTGACCATTGTGCCACACTGGCTGTATATGATAGGTGTTAAGAGACCAACAATACCTGGAACGCCATAGGTTCCCGAACCCTGACTTAAAGAAAGGATTAGGAAAAGTCATGGAAGCCAAGTCAATGAATGATAATGAAATAATTTATCCATGTTCAGGGGCACTCTTCTTCTGAATACCACTACATGCTGGGGTAGACAGACAGTGAGAGAAGTCTAATGCTCTGCTTCTACAACTCCCGAAGGCAGCTGATTGTTGGACCAGTGTTTACCAATCTCAACCCCTCCAGGCGGTTTGGACAACCTTCCCTGGCCACTCCCCATGCTGACTGGGACAGATGTGAGCCAGAGTAAAGCAACATCTGGAGGGTACCAGGCTAGGAAAGGCTGGACAAGATGGACCTTGGTGGAAGCGGTAAAAGAAGTTCCTACAACCAGTTGGGCTAAAGCTGAACTGGCAGTGACTTGGGCAGGAGGAACGGATGCAATCTAGTGAAATAAACTGCAGGATGAAAGCCCAAGGTGAGGTGCTCAATCTAGGAAACAAAGTGCAAAGTAAGTGCTATGGTTACCCTTGGGTTATGTAAGCAAGCCTGGGTGAATCAGATGGCTACGTACCAACTTGTGTAGGTGCCAGAGGGCATTTCTCCAAGTTGCCACTGTGGTCACCGTGATAGATAGAGGGCAAATCGCATGGATACTTCAAAGGAAAGTGCAAGGAGGCTGAATGGAGACCCATGGTTTTGCATGGGCATCAGTCTGCATCCTTGGATAATGTTTTATATTCTCTAATAACATCCTCCAATAATGCCCTACACCTCTGCATCTGTCTGTCTGTCTTGGCTGGGCAGGCCTGCTCTAGAAAATGCTTACTGGAATACTCAGTGCACTGACAGCAAAGGCCATACAGTGCACTGAGCTATGCACCGCTTTGCAGAGCATTTCCATCAACCCAGATCAATTTTAGAAGGCTCCATTGAGGTGGGGGGGGGGACCCAAATGGTATATTCTGCTTTGGTGGCAGCTATGGTGGTACACTTCTGAATGCCAGTGGCTGGAAACTGCAGGAGGGTCCTGCTTGCAGGGTTCCCCACGGCATCTGGTTGGCTACTCTGAGAATAGGATGCTGAGCCAGATGAGCCTTTGGTCTGCTCTTATGATACCCCAAATCACCTGGCTGCCTGAGGTGCCCACTTCACCCTGCTTCCAAAATAGCACTACAGTGGTACCTCGGGTTAAGAACTTAATTCATTCCGGAGGTCCGTTCTTAACCTGAAACTGCTCTTAACCTGAAGCACCACTTTAGCTAATGGGGCCTCCCGCTGCTGCCGTGTCGCCGGAGCACAATTTCTGTTCTCATCCTGAAGCAAAGTTCTTAACCCGAGGTACTATTTCTGGGTTAGCGGAGTCTGTAACCTGAATCATCTGTAGCCTGAAGCGTCTGTAACCCGAGGTACTACTGTACAGTTATTCATGTGTGCATAAACAGTACACTAGGATGAATTTCAAACATCATGACACTCTTAAGAGATGTTGGTTCAAATCCCAGCATATTCCGGAAGGACCTTTGGCTTGGCAATCAATCTCTCTTAATTTTCTTTCCTGAACGGCATTTGAACCCTTCTAAGGCAAAATTCTGAGCTCAGTGAGCTGATTATGATTAGATTTATCAATTCATTTTTTTGTTGATTACTTAAAAAGGTGACCTGATTAACCAGGTAGATTTTTTTTTAAGCCCAGTTAATTAAGGTATTTCTCAAACCATGGTTTGCAGCCCTAACTACTTCAGAGTGAGAATGAGAGAGAAAAGGTTTAAAAAATAACAAGCAAGTGGAAAAAGTTGACCATGAAAATGATTGCATGCAAGAATAAATCTGGCTTGGGGGCTTCCTACGTTTCAAGGTTTAATACAGGCAGAACAAACAGGATGTCAAAAGAGAAACAGAACATACTGTCAGCTCCTGTGTTCTCCTCAAAGGCAGGGTTGTCAAGGCCAGACTCATCTGTCCACACAGGGACAGTTGCTGATGTAATGTTCTGCTCTGCTGGTGCTGTTCCTGTCCCAGAATGCTCTGCGTCAGGAGACTGAGAACCTGGGTGATCTATCATGCTGTTCTCATTCTCGCTCTCCGCGTCTGCCTGCAATTTGCTGTTTTTTCTTCTCTCCAAGGCAGCTCTTCGGTGGGAAGCCCCAGGACACCTAAGGACAAAACACAATGTCTTCACATGAATATAAGGAGGCTCACAAAATGCCTGGACAAAAAAAGCAAAGCTTTTGGTTGACTAATTTGGAGTCTTGCTTGTGATCCAACTGAGTAGCAATCCATGTCACACACACACTCCCAACAGACATCTCTGCTAAATAGCCTCTGCTGACCTGGTGCTCGCCAAATATTTTGGACTACAAATCCCATCAGCACCTGCCAGCAGAGCTGATGGAAGTTGTAGTCCAAAACATATGGAGGGCACCAGGTTGGCAGAGGCTGAGTTATAGTGTTATTTTGGAGAAGGGCAGTTATTAGCTAGTCTTTTGATAAAGAACCTTTTCCATCTCATGACTTCAGAGATAGGTGTTGTCCAAAGATTGGGATTCCCTACCTGAATGTTAAATCTTCCTTATATTTTTTTAGATGAAAGGTATGGAAAGAGTAACATGAAAGCCCTTCTTTGTCAGACAAGGAACAACAACAAAAGGAGAGCAACTTTTCTGGCTGGGACTGAGTGACTCCTGCTGGGTGATCACTGACTTGTACCTCCTACTGATAGACACATGTGCTTTTGAAACCCTAACTCTTCCACTCTTCCTCATTAGTACATCCCAAACTGAACTAGCCTTGTAATCCAGTCCAGGGTTAGCTTAAACTTTTAAGAGGAATGACGTGGGCCCATAATACTTGGGCACGAGGGGCAGGGAGCTGGGGAAATGAGCTGAGTATGATGTCTGCTCCATCTCCTTTGTATTACATGTATGGATCAAACTCTGACTCCAAAGATCAAATATAGGTTGGAGCAGTCTTCTCTCAAATCTACTCATGTGGGTGCTCAGCAAGTTCCACCACCTCTTTTTCTAGGGGGGGAAAAGCCCTGACAAGTAATATGCACAAGTCAAAATGGGTGGCCATGTGGATAGTATCTCACAGTGACAAATAATAGAAAATTGATGTTTGGTTGTTTTTGTATTTCCCACCCCCAAATATCCTGCATTCCTCATCCACTGATCTGTTCGGTCCTCTTTCGTTTCTGCCACTTGTGCTCCTCTGCTGCCATTGGTTGACCTGTTATGATGTCACAGACTGCCAAATCCCAAGGGAGAACTGGAATGCCTTAGAACCGGTATTCTGAAGTCAATGAACAACTTTTGCTTAAAGCAACTGCATCATCATTAAAACATGCACAAGGCAGAGATTGCGATGTGTCCACCACAAAAAATAATTTGAAGGGATTCCAGTACTAAACAAACTGCGCAAGGGTCGAAACTTTCTCCTTCTCTAACTACGGAAAATTATCAGACATGTTGATGGAAGCCTAAAAGAAAAAAGATGTGTGATGAATTCTTAATGTTTAATTGTGTTATAAATTTGTTTTTATTGGAAAATTAATAAAAATTATATACAAAAATAAAGAATCTTTCTCTCTCTCACACACACACGAATGATATAGCTTGGTATGGGAAATAAGGGTCTGGATCCCAGCTAAATGGAACTTAGTTAATATTGAAATCACTTGGTCTAAAGCCATGACTAACTGATTTCCAAGCATGGCCTAAATTCAACTTAGCTTGAATCCAACCCACTGGACCTTAAGTTCTGCAAACAGCACTGATTGTGCCAGGGCACCTTTGGCCCTCCAGAGGTTACTGAACTAACTGGGGCTGATGGGAGTTTTAGCTCAGCAACATCTGGAGAGCCAAAGGTCCCCCACTCCTGGTCTACACAAATCCCAGAGATCTCTGCTAGGTACCAAGTGTCCAGCAGAGCCCCAGCCCAGGGTGTGTGTCTGGTCTAATGTGACCGGATGCATCCGGACAGCGCCATGTCTCTCCACCCCACCCCCTGAAAATGATTCAGCAAAGTTGCCACCCTTGTTGAACGCTGTACTATATGCTGAGTTGCTATGCCTATCTTCGACATCTGTATGGTTTTGCTGAACACTTGGCAAGAATCAAATGAAAGCTCGGCTGAGTCCCGTAGAACAATCTTGGTCCTCTGTTCAGTAATTGACTTTTTGGCAAAGTGCATTCCAAAGGACTATTAAACATTTAAGAAGGTTTTGAAATGTCACATGCTAGGGAATTAAAAGTCCACCCAAGACTTGCGCTGGCTCATTTCAGAGGAGCTCAAAGTGCTCTGAGGGGGCCTGTGGCTCTCAAGAGAACTTGCTGAACCTGAAAATCTGATAAATCAATGGGATGCTAATGAGGCAATAGGGTAATATTGGGGGCGGGGTTAGTGACCAGGAAATAATTACATTTGTGCCCCATTCTTCTAATCTCCTTGTTGAGCAAGCTCAGAGATTCGCCACACACTCCAGAGCTGCTTCAGGGTTACATTGACATTTCATTCATCTTTTATGCTTAAATGAAGCAGATTATTTTGTCAATAGAAACTACCGGGTTTGAGCCAGAATGACTGCAAGGCCAAGGCCAGTCGAGTCTGTTCTAGTTCCCGGTGGTTCAGAATAATAGTGAGTGCTGGCCTTGGACCTAGAAGGTAAGGCTGCAAGCCTGAACACATACAGATTCACTGGGGTGAATTTGGGCAATCGACAGATCTCAGGTTTCCCATCTCAGTTTCCCATCTGCAAACAGGAACGACAGGTTGCAGCTACGCTTCTTGAAGCCCCCTCTCAATTCAGTAGGTATTAGTCACACAGGTTAAAGTGTGTATAGGATTGCAGCCTAAAACATCTTAGATGTTGAAAATGGCATGGTAATGATGGCATTTGGGAAGGGACATGGCTCACAGACATGCTTTGCATGCATAAAGTCCCAGGCTCAATCTCTGGCATCTCCAGGTAGGGCTAAGCAGGACTCTCCTACCTAAAACCCTGGAGAGCGTAAATCCTGAGCTAGATGGAACAATGCTCTTATTTGGTATAAGGCAGCTTCCTAGGTTTCTAATGATAACCATGGATGACATTCATTTTCTCCTGGGTGGGCTGCAGAGACAGCATAGGCCTTGTTCGCAGATTGCGGTGACCCAAGTTGCAGGCTTATTGTGATTTATTGGGAACAAGCAACATGGTGGGTACTTGCTTCTTCTTTGTCCCTCCCCTAGCTCGAGTGGGAGAAAAAGCTTGGACGCCCACAATTACGCTTGACTTCCCAGGACACCTGAACCCAGAATCATGGTTTAGTTCTCCCTAACAAGTCAGGCTAGCTAGCCAGCCCTAAACCATGTTTTGCTTTTGGTATATGACTACCAGCTTGTTGGGGAGACACAAACCACAATCTTGGATTTGGACATTGTGGGAGACCAAACTTAACTGTTGTTTCCTGTTTCCCTCCCCCCTCCTCCTTGTGCCCAGGGAGGAGTGAAGTAGAAGATTGGGCAGAAAGCATTAGTATGCAGCCTGTTCCCAATAGCTCATGATACGTCATGAACCTAGGCTTATCAGGGGCCAACATGGTTCATAAATTCACCCAGAGGATGTAGTTGACTTCTTTCCACAGCAGGTGATCCTCTAGAAAAAGACCTGATCTTGATGGTAGTATAGTTGGCACCAGGCTTGCTTTTGAGAGGTCTTTCCAGGTTTTTCAGTGCCTTACTCGAGTGAAGGAAAGTCTGAGAGGATTAACCCTGAACACCCTTGCTTTAGGATGTTATTGCCAGTACTGTAGTTTAAAATGGTTTTATTGATTGTATCATGACCTGGGATTGCTGTGCAATAAGAAGTGAGGTGTGTTTAAAAAACAACAACAGCAACACAAATTAATAAATGAACAACACCCCTGAAAAGAAAAAGGGTTTCAGTCCAAAATACACATACATACGAAATCCAGAGAAAGAAAAGCATACTTCAACTCACATTGACATCCATGGCATATAAGCATGTTAGTCTTGACGGCTCAATCCCACACTTTTCAAATGTGACTGAAAGATGCAGAACTTCTAAGTTATCACTGGTGGATGGCCTTTCCTACTTACCTGTTTTTGAGGTGTGCTTCCAGGTCACACCGCTGCATCACTTCCTCGCACGCTGAAGAAAAGGGGCACAACACCAAGAGTTTGTCAAGCAGTTTGTGGACGAGGATACTGGATTTTTTGCACAACTTAAAATGGAGCCGTTTGCGGTCCAGAGGGCAGAAATCCTTCTCCTGCAGGAAGTTCCGTAGGCACTTATAGCAGAATGTGTGGCCGCAAGGGGTGTCTAATGGCTGTAGCAAGGGCTGAAGGCAAATATGGCAGACCAAGTCATCGTCTACATCGTTCTGATAATTGTACAAGTGGTTCTCCCTTGTCCAATGCTGTTGGCCACATTCAAAGCACAGAGGGTTCAAGTTCTGCTCCACCGAGACCATCTCCTCATTTGTGGTGCCCATTATAAAGCACTCCGGTCTGGCCTCCTCGTCAATGGAGAACTTGCTTGTAGAGGTTTTATTTGTTCATGGTTTTTTTCTGTTTAGCAAAGAGTCATTTTTCTGAAAAAGTAAAAAAGATAATCATTATTGAGATTCACTGAAAGAGTGAGCAAGAAGACCTCATGCAAGAGAAACTGTGTTCAGCACTGCTGTGTGTACTAAACTTGAGCTCAACCTCTGGCTGAATCTGGAGGGAGAAATTTCATGAAGGGAAGCTGTTCTGCTTCCCTATTTTTGCATTTTGGGGGCAGGGTGCAAATTCCATGGCTGGCTATGGGCAACATACAGATCTTCAACTAGTTCCTCCCACTGGTAGCTGCTATTCTATCACTCCAAAATGATATTGCCACCAGCCTTTGGGGGCAACCAAAACGGTGGCCATCAGGAGGGAAAAGAACACCAGCAGCTTTTGTCCGCATCCCGCCACTGAAATCCTCCACCACTTTTGTACCCTGAAAATGGGGACATGAAATTGTGTGTGTGTACCACAAACCTAAAAACTGAATTAAAATTAGGTGTCCGTGTAACCCAGTTTCTGCGCCGATAAAAGCTGACTGCAACAACCCGTTTAACATTATGCAAAATGAGCAGTTTTAACATAAAGAACATAAGAAGAGCCTGGTGGGTCCATCTTCCTGTTCTTACAGTGGCCAACAAGATGCCTGGGGGAAGTCCGCAAACAGGACTCTCCTTTCTTGCATTTTCCAGCTACTGGTATTCAGGAACATTACTGCCTCCAATCGTGGAAGCAAAGCAGAGCCATCATAGATCAACAGCCCTCTCCTCCGATCCTCTTTTAAAGCCATCAAAGTTGGTGGCCATCACTGCCTCCTGCGGGAGAAGTTCCTTTTATTTGGACTGATCATCCAACATTCAACTTCACTGGATGCCCAGGAGTTATTGTGTTATGAGAGAGGGGAAAAATCTCTTCTTTGTCCACTTTCTCCATGCTATGCATGATTTCCATGGTTAGTCTTATTCTGGATAATATCGTGACATTGTTTACTATTTACATCGTTCATTCTGGTTTGTTAGGGAGGCAACAGAGGCCTATCTACATGTTTCATAAAAACAGCCCCCTTTGAGCATTGCGTGTGTGTGATTCAGAACAGAGCAGCAGCAGTGTGCGCACATTTCCGTACTTCCTGTAACTCCACTTTCCAAAGCTGCTTTTCCTTACAAGAGGCTGCCAGGATTTTCTTTCACGTATTTGCACGTAAGCTGTAGTTCAGTCCTAGGCTATGTTGTATACTGAAACCCACTCCCAACAGCTGGAAATGTTCTCTTCTGGCTCCTGGCATTGCCTGCACACTTTTAAACATTCCTTGACAGCTGTTAAGAGCTAGAAGTTTGCTGTAAAAAGAATCATAGCTGCATTTGTCACACAGAGGCACCACATTCTGTACTTTTCCAGCGCTCCAATGGTGTCACAGAACACTCGTTCCAAAACATTATACGGAAATGGGAAGGCCTAGCGCTTGGCCCTTTATTTTCCCACAACGAAAACATTTTCCAGTGCTATGCACCAGCTATTATGTGCTTTTTTGGCTACAAGCGAGGCTACGTGGGGCAGCAGGAGCACTTAAGCTCAAAACAAAAACAATTCATTTCATTGACTTAGCACAAAACAAATGCTCCTATTGTGTATTAGAGGTTAGAAGACCCCATTCATCAAACCTGCCTTTTAAAACAGGAGGAAACACGAACATACATGCAGAGACATTTGGCTCCATTTCCACCACTACCACCCGGCCCTGTTATGCATTTTATAGTCAGCAATATCAAAAGCCGTATGTGGAAAGTTTGTCCATCTCAGTGATTAGCAATTAAAACTCTGTGCGCTCTATAATCTACACACACAACAACAACAACACCACCACACGGTTTTGATGACTGCTGCTTATTAGTAATGTCTGTGTTTTCATATTTTTGGGGTTTGCAATGTGTTTTGTTATTTTGTCGTTAGCTGCAGCGGACATGGAAAGGCAGGAGAAACATCTTAATTTAAAACAAAACTCAAGAGGAACATCAGTTGTCATCTATCTTTTTTATATATTGTTGTTGTTTAGTCGTTTAGTCGTGTCCGACTCTTCGTGACCCCATGGACCAGAGCACGCCAGGCACTTCTGTCTTCCACTGCCTCCCGCAGTTTGGTCAGACTCATGTTTGTAGCTTCGAAAACACTGTCCAACCATCTCATCCTCTGTTGTCCCCTTCTCCTTGTGCCCTCCATCTTTCCCAACATCAGGGTCTTTTCCAGGGAGTCTTCTCTTCTCATGAAGTGGCCAAAGTATTGGAGCCTCAGCTTCATGATCTGTCCTTCCAGTGAGCACTCAGGGCTAATTTCCTTAAGAATGGATGCGTTTGATCTTCTTGCAGTCCATGGGACTCTCAAGAGTCTCCTCCAGCACCATAATTCAAAAGCATCAATTCTTCGGCGATCAGCCTTCTTTATGGTCCAGCTCTCACTTCCATACATCACTACTGGGAAAACCATGGCTTTAACTATACGGACCTTTGTTGGCAAGGTGATGTCTCTGCTTTTTAAGATGCTGTCTAGATTTGCCATCACCTTTCTCCCAAGGAGCAGGCGTCTTTTAATTTCGTGACTGCTGTCACCATCTGCAGTGATCATGGAGCCCAAGAAAGTAAAATCTCTCACTGCCTCCATTTCTTCCCCTTCTATTTGCCAGGAGGTGATGGGCCCAGTGGCCATGATCTTCATTTTTTTGATGTTGAGCTTCAGACCATATTTTGCGCTCTCCTTTTTCACCCTCATTAAAAGGTTCTTTAATTTCTCCTCACTTTCTGCCATCAAGGTTGTGTCATCCGCATATCTGAGGTTTTATATATATACATTTTTATTAGTTTTACATCAAAGTTGCACACCATACACATAACATTTTCAAACCTTAAAAAAGTGGTTCTTTAGAACCTTGAGACCTCCCTCCCTCCCTCCATGGGTTCCAATTCTAAACATTTTCCTGCATCTTTTACTGTAATCTATCATATAATCATGGTATCCAAAATCCATATTACTTTACAAGTGTCATTCTATTCCTGCCAATGATTTCAACTGTTTACAGTGGTCTCTCAAATATGTTAGAAAATTATTCCAGTCTTTTAAGTATACTTGGTCTTCCTCATTTCTGATCTTTCCCAGCTGTCATCTATCTGTGCAATGTGCTGTGTACCAATGCAGACATAATACTGGTCATATGACACCCCCCAAAGAATCCTGGGAAATGGGGTTTATTCCTCAGATAGCTACAATTCCCAGCACCCTTAACAAATGACACTTCCCAGCCTTCTCTTGGGGAAACCAGGAGCTTAAAATGTATGGTGTTTATATAGCCCAATCTTCTGTTTATTTTCCTGGTTTGTTAACTAACACTAAGCTACAATTCCCAGGCTAAGCGCTAGCATCCCAGGGAGCGCTAGCTTAATACAAACCAGGATTTTTGTTTCAAACCTGTGGTAAAGAAAGCTCTCCAGTAACCACAGTGAGCCATATCAGGAGATCAGGCTAGGAAACCAGAGCTCTCCCTCTGCAGACTTTATCTTACCTTGAAACAAAATCCACACCTACCCCGTAACTGTGGTTAGACAGTTCATTGGTATCTACTGTATGTGAAACCTCAGGCCTGGGGGTCAGATGTGGCTCTCTCTTTCTGGCCTTTGGAAGTCTCCCAGACCATGTCCACTCCGGAAGCTGCACCCTTCACTGGCCCTCCTCTTGAGTCCTTCTTCGGTGCTTTTGCCTGGCCGCAATGCCTCCTTGAACAAGGACTATGATACCACTAGGAAGACTCATGGCTTCCCCCAAAGCATTCTGGGAGCTAGAGTTGGTTCAAAGAGTGCTGGGAGTTGTTAGGCCACACACACCCATTCCCCTCACAGAGGTACCATTCCCAGAATTCCCTGTGAAGAGGGACTTATAAACTGCTGCCAGCCAACATTGAGCTAGAGGAACCAATGGTTACTCAGTCCCAGGCAACTTCCTATGTGACTTCAAACTGTACTTTCAGATTCTTGCTTAAAGAGAAACCCTGGTTGGTCTTAGCTACGATTACGGCTGATGCCGGCAAAACTGCTTAAGAGGGGAATTTGAGGAGGAGAGCGAAGTTTGCGTGGCTTCCAATGCGCTAGCTGTGGTTAGCAAAAAGCCTGCTCCGAGCGCATTAATAATACACACACACTTGATTTGTGGAACAAAGAGCAAGTCACGTCGACAGGCTACTGTTATAAATAGGTTTCATAATTAATAGCTGACAGCCAATACCCTGGCTTTTCTAATGAAATAAAACACGCGATACGATGAGATGGAGAGAAAGTCACACTGGTGGGAGATAATTAAAATGTCAGTCCCAGCCAAGTAGCTTTGTATTTGCATGTTAATGAGGTCGCCTCCCTGGCACGTGTTAACTAGCCGTGGTCTTAAACAGGAAGGCTAACAACAGGGAAAGCAACACAGGTTGGTGGCTGGGGGTCTGGGGTGGTTAGAGGTCGCTGCTGTGGGGGACTGCAGTATTATTAGCCCCAAACTGCAGAGGGGGAAAGGGAGACAGGAAACGGAAAGAACCATAGTTTGCCTTAGGCAACCTAGTGATTTTGGGGCTGAGTTCAGCTGGGGACTCCCCATTTCTACTGGTAATCCTGGATATCATACTGCTTTGGGAATACAGTGGTACCTCTGGTTACAAACTTAATTCGTTCTGAAGGTTCGTTCTTACCCTGAAACCGTTCTTAACCTGAGGTACCACTTTAGCTAATGGGGCCTCCTGCTGCTGCCATGCCACCGGCACACAATTTCTCTTCTCATCCTGAGGTAAAGTTCTTAACCTGAGATACTACTTCTGGGTTAGCGGAGTGTGTAACCTGAAGTGTTTGTAACCCGAGGTACCACTGTAGAGGCTTCTCATTGGCATGTTTTCTTGTAGGTAACCTTTTGCGTTTGGAAACTGTTCCATAGTAGCAATTCATTCCTCCAGATGACTTAGTCATAAGCAAATTAGTCGCATTGATTCTACTTTTTTTCATGATTGTGTGTAAGCCTTTTATTTATGCACAAAATCAAAAATTATCTTAAAAAACAACCGGAACAAGGCATCATATACACCACCCACTGCTCTGCGCAAAAACATGCATCATCACACTTATGCAAAAAATTGGTTATAAAAGGATTGCCTTGTATGGCTGCCATCAGCAAAATCATTCTATCTAAAGCAGTTCCATTGAAATCAATGGAAAGTTAAGTGGTTTGGAGATTGTTCCTATCAGGTAGTATAATTCCAGAGGGGCGGGGTGTCAATACACATGGTGCATCCTAAAAATGTTTATTTCCCAGCAAATATGCAAAGCTATGCAATCTATAAGGCTCTTGAACATTCCAGATTGAAGCAGCTGAGGCATATTCTTGTATTATACGTTTCAGCAAAATATTGCATTATACAAATATTGTATCTTGTATTATACGTTTCAGTCATAGCTGAACAGCACAGCAAACCCATCATGAAGACAACTGCAAATCCATTTTTAATAGGAATACTGTCGAAATGACAAATGCTCCTGGCATTAGTTGACAACGGATGTATTTGCCCCAGTCGAGCGAAGGAGATCTGTGAGTGCAATTAATGCAAATATGGATAAGCACAATGATACTCAATCCCAAAATCAATTTATCTGTTGATGTGGACTGAAATGTGCATTCCCCCACCTGGGGAACTAATGGTGTGCTATGCACAGCCTAAACTAGCCCAGATATGCTACAATACATTCTGGCTCCAGCCCTGTGCGACTTTGACACTTTAAGTCCTGTAATGACACCTTGTTTCACCACCCTTCTTCTCAGTTACCTTGAAAGGAAGATCACTGTTATCAGCACAGTGCATACTCTGTGCTAAAAATATTCATACAGTGTCTCAGCAATCCAGATTCTGCACCACAAAAAGGAATTCCCAAATAATGATGCAACTCAAGCAAATCTGCCTATTTTTGCACAGTAGAGGCCATAGCTCCCTGTAAGTAGAAGGTCCCAAGTTCAATCCCTGGCATCTCCAGGTAGGGCTGGGAGAGAACCTTTGCCTGGAATCCTGGAAAGCCCCTGCCGAGTGATGCTGAGCTAGATGGAGCAATGATCTGACTCGGTATAAGGCAGATTCCTAGGTTCTTATCAAAGATTCCCAGACAATTGTGCCAAAGGACCATTCTCAAAAGCTTCATGGGGCAGGTAGGGCAGCTTTAGTTCTGAGTTTGCTATCCTTTGCATGGACTCTCTCCCGCATTCTCCCTTGGCAGGTTTCATGAACTATCCCAGGCACAGGCAAACTCAGCCCTCCAGATGTTTTGGGACTACAACTCCCATCATCCCTGACCGATGGTCCTGTTAGCTAGGGATGATGGGAGTTGTAGTCCCCGAACATCTGGAGGGCTGAGTTTGCCTATGCCTGAACTACCCTCTCAGGCAAACCATATTTTCCATTGGCTGCAAACTAAATTGCTTTGGAATAAAAGGAGATGCTATCAAGATACAGGACTGGCAGCAGCAGAGATGGATGACAAATGGGGGCAGATTCAGAGTGCCAATATCTGAACTGGCATGCACAACTCTAAGGTGTGCAATGAATTCCTCTTGCAGCTACTGTGAGAATCACTTTGCTCCTTTCTTTCTCATTCCTCATGTGGCTGATGGAAACTTTTCCTTATGAGTACCAACAGTGTGGGTTTCCAAGCAAGAGAAAAAACGGGAACTCTGACCATAAAATTCAGTGTATTACATAGTGATCATGATTCTGCCTTATAACATCAGAGCCTTGAAATGTCATTTCCCTTTCGGCCACCATTTGGTTAAGGCAGGAAATCACATGTGCATTAGATGTTTTGAAAATATTTGGAGGAAACTGATTTGATGTGGTAGACTGTCAGGATGTTTCCGTAACTGAGGATATCTGCTAAACACCTGAACAATTGGTGGAAAAGACAGGGGTGAGGTAGCGTCTAAATGTTTTTCCAACTATGTTTTTAACTTTCTTAACTGGTTTGTTTATTTTCCTCTCTGACCTGGCTGTTCCAATTTAAGCCCATTATGCTTTAAGATTTAAAAATGCAGAATTCCTTTAGTTCGGCTGTACTAAGAATTTAGACACACACGTACACCCTGCAATCTTAATCATGTAAATAATATTGGGCCCAACATTGTCTGCTCCCAATAATTGCATGCCATATTAATTTTTTTTCAAGCAATACCCAAATAGAAAACAGATACTTTATTGGCACATTTTTGTGTTTTACTTTGAAAGATTTTAGACAGCAGATTTGCTAGTTCCACTTAAAGATAGGGGTCTCTGCAACCCCTCAGAGGTCAAAAGCTGCTCATGTACTGTACTTTTTGCATAGGATTAAAGAATGCATGCTAGATATTCTAATGACTATTTCCTGGTTGAGCCTTAGAGATCCTTCTGAGTACCGTATTTTTCACCCTATAGGGCTCACTGGCCCATAGGGCGCACCTAGTTGTTTTTTTTTGGGGGGAATAAATAAATAAAAATTTATTTCCCCCCCCCAGCCACAGGGCTGGGGCGGGGGAAGCCCGAGCTTCCCCCAACCCCAGCCCCCAGAACAGGAGTTCCCGCCGGGCTCGCAAGGCTTGCGGACATCTGCCCGAAGCCCGGGGTGCACTCCGGAGCGCGCCCCATGCTTCGGGGTGCAGGCTGCTGCCCGCAAGCCTTGCGAGCCCGGTGGGAACTCCCGCGGGCTCGCAAGGCTTGCAGATAGCTTCCTGAAGCCTGGAGAGCGAGAGGAACCCCTCTCGCTCTCCAGGCTTCAGCGAAAGCCTGCATTCGCCCCATAGGATGCACACACATTTCCCCTTCATTTTTGGAGGGGGAAAAGTGTGTTCTATAGGGCGAAAAATACGGTACCTTGCTTGAGGCAAGCGATGGGCAGGTGGTAAAATATCTGAATGTTGTCATGCCTCTTAGACTTGCTATGAAAGTCAGTTCTTAGCTTGTCAATGGACTGACAAAAATAATGTGCTTGTTCTACAATTTCATTTTTCTTTTCTTTTCGCACACATGACAAGTGGGTGGAGGAGGGGAGGAAAGAGCCATGCCAATCTGGGCATGCACCCAAAATAAAACATGTAATTTTATTTTATGCAAAATTTACTCCCACTCTAAGCGTAAGACATTCTGCCTGCAAAATGAGAACATTTCTTAGCACAGAACCCCAATTTCTCAAACGTAATAGATGTGCTGCTCTCATCGTTAGCCCAGCAAGGAGAGAAAAACATCCCTCACTGATGATAGAGGCAGGTACCAACATAATGGAGCCATGTAAACCGTAGTTGGAGAGAGGATGGTTTTTATCTTCACAATTTAAAAACAAAAAAAATGTTGATTGAATGGTAAAGGAACAAAGACGCATAGTAAACTTGAGCAGGGAAGAGGAAGTAAATGGCATTTATATTCCAACTAGGAGAGTCTGTCATCACCTACACCAGGGATGGGAAACCAGAGGTGCTCCAGATGTTATTGGACTCCCAACTTCCATCAGCCCCAGTTAGCACAGCCAACAGTCATGGACAATTAGGGGAGTTGTAGTTCGGCAAAATCCTGAGAGCCATAGGTTATGAACCATAGCGCTAAATTGCTACCCATCAAGGTTTCTGGAGAGAAGATTGGTCACATCACAGTGCTATCCTAAGTGACAAGGCTCATCCCTCCTGAATTTGGAGTATAAGGCTCCTGCAAGTCATGATGAGGCACTGTTATGTACAGCTGAAATGATTACCAGATGTTCCCTGTGGAAAAATAGTGCATTGTACATGTACCCTGCGTGCAACAGTTCAGTTATCACCTGCCAAATATGATTCAGGTAATCGGGTGCCTTCCATCAGTCATTTGGGCCTATTTCATGAAACATACTGGGTGACCTTGTGCTAGTCACTGTCTTCTTGAACTAGCCTACCTCACAGGGTTGATGTGAAGGTAAAAAAGGGATGAATAGCATGCCGTGTTTGCTGCGCTGTGCTTATATGAGAATGAATGAATGCGTACATAAAACAGCACACAGATAAATATGATTGCAGCCCTGTTTAGGGAAGCTTTTAATGTCTGGTGTTTTATTGCTTTTTTAAAATGATTATTATTATCATCATTAATTCTATTGGGAGCTGCCCAGAGTGGCTGGAGAAACCCAGCCAGATGGGCGGGGTATAAATAATAATAACTGTTGTTATTATTATTGCAGATGAGGGCTAAAATGATTTTTTGTATAGAGGAGCGTCCCTATTCCCCGAATATAGAAAACTTGCAGGTAGAAAGAGGCTAGAACCCTTCTTTATGACAACTAGTTTTCAACATACAGGGAATCTGTTTATAAGGAAGAAGAATCAATCAAGTGACACCTGAACTGTGGTGTATCTTACAATCTTATCTGCTGCTCATGATAACTAGACCTTGATGATGAGCCTGGATTTTCATGAGCCACTTTACACAGAAAGGCTCAAAGAGATACATGGTGCAACATTATTAAAAACAGCGCAAACAAAAAAGCGATCAGACCATAAAACAAATCCTTGCCTTCCCCAACAGAGACAATCAGATAAGCCCCAAAATACCATCAACTGCTGTATAACTTTAACGGTAAAATGCTTGAGAGAAGAGAAACCCCCTGGCACCAGAAAGATGATGTTTTTGGTGCCAGGCAAGCCTCTCTGGGGAAAGCATTCCATAAACCAGGGGCTGCCACTGAAAAGGCCCCTTCTCTTTTTGCTATCCCCCCCCCACAAGCCTCCCATGATGTAATATCTAGCACCCACCACAAACTCTGTACATTAGGCACGGTAGATTTATTATTATAATAGTAATAATACTGGTGAAAGAATTGCAAGCAAGATGATAGCAAGTGTCAAGGGAAAGAGAGAAATAGCTATAAAATCTGCCTTTCAAAACACATAATTCACTCAGAAATGAGCCCCTTGGAATTTCAGAATGACAACCAAATAGCGTGGCTGATGCTTCTTCTTTTAAATTTTGCACGACGTGCTCCCGATCACGATGCCACTTGTAACTGCGATTTGTCAGTGAGCATCACTGCGCAGCCTTAAGAAGGTGGCTTCTAACAAATTACATCTTGTCGTTTATCCTTTTAAGAAATAGTATGACAAGGAACATCTCTCCCGGAGGGCACAATTGACGATGCGGCTTCTGTCGTGTTAAGATTAGCTAATTGGGCGCCGAGCTTGGTGCGGCTGCGCCAACCGAACAATCCCGTGATGAAAACCATTGAATGATTCACACCAGCCTATGCCTGGTTCTCACATGCACTTACTCTGCTTGATTTCTTCTCTGCACTCCATGTCTCCTTGGATCACCTCACAGGCAGTCACAGCTGTTTTTGGACTACAATTCCCATCATCTCTGACCTGGTCCTGCTAGATAGGGATGATGGGACTTGTAGTCCAAAAACAGCCGGAGACCCGAGTTTGAGAAACTCTGCTCTAACCCACGGATTGCTGAACTGGCCACCAAAAGTGCTTATGTGCCCCCACTTCAATTTCAGCCAATTGTGTTGGAGAGTCATAGCTGGGGAGGTAAGGGCTCCCTGGGAAGAGGGACTGATTGTTGAACCACTCTGTGAATTGTACCTCTGTGGTGGGAATAGGGGTTCCTGTACCAACTACAGTTCCCAGGATTCCTTGGGGGGAAGCCGTGGCTGCTAGAAGTGGCATGATACAACTTTAAATGTATACGGTCTGACAGTTTCACGCCAGTAAAGTGGCTTTGTCTGCCACCAAAGGCACAAAAACAAGTTAAAATGGCGGAAATGAGTGACTAGTTCCAAATCAGTTATGAATGGAATTTTAAATAATTGAAACAAATGGAGTAATTAAACAGGATAGGGAATCATTTCCGCTTTGGAGCAACTGACTGCGCTGGCTTCAGACTTCCTTTGCCTTGCTTTCCATTTGCCTTAGCATCCACTCCACAGGAACCTGTTCTGACAGTGATCTATATGTCACCTGACTACCATCAAACTAAAAAAAAAAAGCACAAAAACCCTATAAGCAGGGTTCAGATTTAAGCCTAATTATGCCGCAGCTCCGAAGCAGATGCTCGGCCCATCTCAGCACTCAGCAGAATTACAGCATCTTACATGGGGGCTTAGCCAGCTGCCTTAACTAGGCACTGATATAGCAGGATAATTAGAGACAACATAAACGGCTCCATATCTGATCTTGTCATATTTTTCATGACAAGCATCTGGCGCTGTAAAGCAAAAACAAAGCTCTGCGTCAATTTCTGATGACTTCACCCTCCATCAAACATGGCTTGCCTCAACGGGGATCTGTTCCATGATTGAAGATGCACTGATGGCGAGGGGGTGGGCAGGAATGACAAATGATGCAAAACTGTAAGGAATATTCTTTCGATTCCACCCCTCCCACCATTTTTATTTAAGTGTGCTAATTATATGACAGTAATAATCAGGGCCCACTTTTATCCAGCCACTAGCTGAGGCTCCAATACTTTGGCCACCTCATGAGAAGAGAAGACTCCCTGGAAAAGACCCTGATGTTGGGAAAGATGGGAGGGCACAAGGAGAAGGGGACGACAGAGGACGAGATGGCTGGACAGTGTTCTTGAAGCTACCAACATGAGTTTGACCAAACTGCGGGAGGCAGTGGAAGACAGGAGTGCCTGGCGTGCTCTGGTCCATGGGGTCACGAAGAGTCGGACAAGACTAAACGACTAAACAACAACAACAAGAACAACAACATTTTTCACTGATGCTGGGATGTATGGAGTGTTAGAGTAAGGGCAGTACCTGTGTTGGGGGACATGTCGTGCTCCTTCTGGGGTAGTCTGTCCTCCTTTGATCCCCACCCTGCACTTAGCTCTCACATGTGGCTCCTAGAAGCTGTCAGCATGTGACAGCAGCCACACCCTGGGAAATGGCTTCAACTGGCCAGTTAAACCAGGTGAGGGTAGCCAATGGGTCTCAAACCCTCAGTGAGTTAGGAACTTCCCTGCATGTGAGGCTCTGGCAGATTGAGACCAACTGCGGGTCCAACAGTCAAGAAGGTGGTTTCTTCACGTGCTGCAGAGGGAAGTGAGGGGCAAATGCAGCTTGTCAGTCTTGGAAGGTAGCCCATCTAGAAGAAGGAAAACTCTAAGCCTTAATCTCTGCTGCCTTGTGGAATATCTTTGGGAGAAGAAAAGGCTAAGGAGTAAACCCTACACAAATCCAGAGTGGAGTCCCTAAGATGGTGCCTTGTATACCTCCATCCGGCAGGGGGCGCCAACTTGAATAAAATATGGAGGGGGCAGGGAAGCCCCACCCTGCATAACGCATCACAAGATGCAGAACACCCACCCACCAATTGAATGGCAATGCCCATCAACTTGGGAAGCCAGCAGCCTCTAGTGTGGGGGCGAAGGGACCTCAGCCCCTAGGAGTTGGCTCCTATAGCTTCTGGAAACTCCTGCAGCCAAGCTGGTGCCAAACGTATTGCTCTGCTTTCCTTTAGACCACATCAGCGAGGCTGAGGGGGAGTAGGTCTTGTCATCTGGGCATCCCAGAACTTCCCTACACTCTGCCCAGGCTTGCACCCCAGGGGGGTCACTTTGGTGTTGGAGTTGGAATCCCACAACATCTGGAGGGGCTTGCCCCCGATGTCCACAAAAACACTTGAAAACATCCGCACACAGCCATCCCCATGTTGCTCAGTATTGTTATACAAAGCATTCGGAGGCAGGCTCAGCATTATGCTAAGCTTTCCTAGTTCTAACTGGGTATAAATGACTAATATATTACATTGCCACAAGAAAGATGCTGACAGCAGGAAGCTGAAAATGCTGCTAGACGGGCAGAAGCAAAGGCTAAGATTAGAGGTGCCAAGTTTACGAAAGACAGAAGGGAAGTTGGGATAATTTGTGGCAGACCTTTTCCCCTTGCCTCCAGATGAATCACATCTCCTCACCTTATGGAATATTGCAGTCTGAACGCTGAGCAAAAGTCTGGTGCCCTCACAGGAAAAGGTCTAGTTTGATTGAAAAGTTTCGGGTGCAAAGACATCACATTTGCCCAGCCCTGAAACAGCAATATTTGGTACCTTGGGAAAGGGATACAATTTCCCCCCCTCAGCTTCTACATACATAGCACTCAACACACCACCTAGCAGCCATTAGACCTCTGGTTGATGGACAAGGCTGGCATCATTGAGCATCTGTTGAGGCCCAGACCCCAATAGGGGTCCCATGTGATGCTACTCATCCTTCCTACTGTTGTTGCCTGTTCACCTGCCCTCTCAAGGCTGCGTTGGTGAGCAAGGAGAGGAGCAATAACTTCTATACATCTCATCTTCCTCCTCTCGGAGAGGCCCGGATTGGGCCCAGGGGGAAGAAGTGAACATATCAGCAGTGGCAAAAGTGGAATAGGAACCGGTGGCCCATCTGGTCCAGCTTCCTGTTCTCACAGTGGCCAACAAGCAGGACCTGAGGGCAACAATACAGTGGTACCTCAGGTTACATACACTTCAGGTTACATACGCTTCATGTTACAGACTCCGCTAACCCAGAAATAGTGCTTCAGGTTAAGAACTTTGCTTCAGGATGAGAACAGAAATCGTGCTCCGGCGGCGTGGCGGCAGCAGGAGGCCCCATTAGCTAAAGTGGTGCTTCAGGTTAAGAACAGTTTCAAGTTAAGTACGGACCTCCGGAACGAATTAAGTACTTAACCCAAGGTACCACTGTACTCTGCGGTTTCTAGCAACTGGTATTCAGAAGCAATACTGCCTCCTATTCCCCTATTAATTTGTCTAATCCTCTTTCAAAGCCATCTAGGCCGGCGCCACCACTGCCCCCTGAGGGAGTGAGTTCCATAGTTTCTCGTTCTACTTGTCAGCTTCCCACAGGCATCTGGTTGGGCACTGAGAGAACGGGGTGCTGGCCTGATCCAGCAGAGCTCTTTTTATGTTCTTCACCTCAGCCTCAGTCTCCCTGCCACCCATCCCTTCTCCCCCCAACAGCTCCGCTTCAGCATGCACTTGTGAATGCCCCTTCCCCCCAAGATTCATGTGCGCTTGTGAATGCAAAAAGGGCTCTTGCCTGTTGGTGGCAGAGAGGGAGGGGGAAGCACATTCAGAAAGCACAACTTCAACCTTACGAACGCAGAATATTAGGGCACATTTAACGGAGGCCTTGGAACCTGCATTTCATATTTGTGGTGCTTGGCGTTTCCATAGTAACAAGAAGCTTCAGGCTTTAATTACAGCAGCAACTTTAAAAAGAGTGCTAACTCCTTTCTCTCTCCCTCTCTCTTTCTGTTTCTCTCAAGGACACCTCTTGTATGTTGTCTTACGAAAAGCTAATATTAGGTTCTAGAATAAATTATACAGAGAGCTCTGCGTACTCTGCAGAGAAGGACGGGAATCAAAACTGCCCCCACCCCTACCGCCCCAGTAAGCTAAATTCTGCAAGCTACGTAAGTCGCCGAGTTCCAAGAAATGTGCATTTAATACTTAATTTTGTTTGTGGCCATTGTGAGGTAGGGCAAGGATATTTGTGGGACGACGAAGCCCTACCCCCACCTTCACTACTGGCAATCCTACCCAGCCTCCTTGATGTCTTTGCGATATCACAGCAAGCATCAGCCCCATGTCCTTTCAAGCATATACAGCAACAAATAAGGATTTAAAGCCGTTTGGGTAAAATAAAATAAAACTAAGCTGTTCAGGCTGCTGAGTGCTGATAAGGAAATGACCCTTAACTTCCCTTGATTTAGACTTGCAAGCACTAAAAACAAAACACGACTGAGCCTTCAAGAACTTGCAAAAGGGAAAGTTGCAAAAAAGCAAGGATCGGGTCATCCTCCCCCATTCCCATCAACTCCTGTGCCCAATGCCATCCCTTCCCTGGCAGCGCTGCAGGGGTAGCAAGGTCTCCCCTCTCGGACTCCCCTCTGGTGCCTAGATCCCTACAGTAGCAGCATTCCAGTCTCAAGGAGCCATGGGAAATGCTGTTTCCCAGGGCTCCCAAGGCCCCAATATGTAACTGCCCCACCATCAAGTAAGTTTGGGAGGAAGAAAAGAGGACAGCGATATCAGGAGCCAGATTTTGTTGGCATCAGCAGAAGTGATGGTTAAACTTTGGTACACAGCAAACCAAGCCCTGTCCCAAATTTGGAAGGGTCTGGGATTGCCTTGTATTGGGGGTGACGCTTCTCAAACTGCAGGAGTTTGCATTTTGAATACCCCAAAATTCACCCTTATCACCAGTGCTGAGTTCTGTGCCTGATGCTAAATCTGATGTCTTGGGAACATCTCGGGATCATCTTCTAATAACTAATGCACTAAAAATTCTGGCAGTTTTTACAATCTGCAAAACCAGAGACTACACTTGTGCATGCACTGTACAGCCATTATTATAAGGGAGGGAGGGAGGTGCAATCCTATAGCAACATACCTGGGACCGAGTCCCACTGAATTTCCGTATTTTTCGCTCTATAAGACGCACCTGACCATAAGACGCACCTAGTTTTTAGGGGAGGAAAACAAGAAATAAGAAGCTTCCTGAGTGAAGAGGGAGCGCTCCTCCCTCTTCGCTCAGGAGGCTTTGCAGGGCTATCCCTGAAGCCAGGAGAGCAAGTGGGATCAGTGCGCACTGATCCCACTTGTTCTCCTGGCTTTAGCGAAAGCAAGCAGCCTGGCTTTCCCCCGACCTCCCGCAAGAGCCATGCGCTCTTTAAAGGGAGTGCGGTTTTGGGGGGCTTTTCTGGGAGATGGGGGAAGGGACAGAGCCGCACGCAAAAGCCAGGGATAGCCAGGGGAGCCTTCATCCCGCTGCCCTGTAGAGGCTTCGCACGGCTAAGCCAGAAGCTAGAACAGCTAGAAGGAGCACTACGCAGCACTCCCTCTAGCTGTTCTGGCTTCTGGGGTAGCCCCAAAGTCTGCATTCGCTCCATAACACACACACACATTTCCCCTTACATTTTAGGAGGGGGAAAATGCGTCTTATAGAGTGAAAAATATGGTGGATGTCTACTTGTGGGTAGACATGCATAGGATTGCATTGAAAGTTACTGAAACATAGATGTAAAGGAAATATGCATGTCAATGCACCATAATCCACAGAAAAATATGTAACAGTGAACCCTGGGGGTGGGGGGAATGAGGCTTTGTATCATTAACATAAAGACACCAAAAGAAATTCAGTAATCACAGTTCATTAATCACAACTGCATATTGATCAATCAAATTATAACAAAAAGGAAAAGTACATACCCTATTTCACACACGCTCACCAATTCCATTTAAGAAATTCCTGTACGACTTAGTTATGAAGTAATTTCTGTTATACAATCAAGTAACTCAAACCAGCTAGACAAGATCTCTTGACAAGAAAAGACCAAAACCTTTTTTTAGCCAGAATATATAGAAGGGTAGAGTTTTATGCTTGCAGCCATGCAATTAAGAAAGGGAATAATTAACCAGACCTCCCCTCCCCCGCCTCACTGGTCAAGTGAGTTTGGGGAGGGAGGAGGGTGAAAAATCTGTTTGCACAGGAATTTCAATCTGTCCAACAACTCTTAATACGGTATATGGGATGCTCTTTCAGATTAGAAAGTCTAATGCATTCCGTCAAACCCTTTCCTTTTTGACAAGTGCGTGTGCTTCCAAAGATCAGAACAGAGAAAGCTGCAAGATTTTTAAAATGATTATTGAAATGACAATAGTCCTTTTGTACTGTTAACGCTGAACCTTTTAAAGCAGAAAAAAGTATTTTACCAAAGGTTGCAGTTCCATTTACTCATACATTTACACAACTGCATCTTTTATTTAAGACATTTTTCTTTTTACCTTGCCTTTCCAAAAGCTCAAGCTGGTTTACAATTCAAGCTTTTGCTTTGCAGCTAATCTGAAAAAAACGAGGAAGCAGAGAGTGTAATGCATGCCCTTTGATCTTGTGCATCATCAGAAAAGCACTTGTCTCTCAAAGGAGACTGGAAAATTTCTCAATCCAAAGTTCCACGTCCCTTAAAAAAAAAAAAGAATTAGTCACAGTAATCCAAATGAGAGCATTCCACTAGCAAAGCACATTAGGTACCAAGTTATTCCATGGCATATATAACTTGTTGGCAGGGTCACAGCAATGGGTGATAGTTCCAACTCCACCCACCCGCCCCAAGAGATCTTTCAGGACTCTCTGCCTCTTTGGTCCAGATGGAGCAAGACAGGATAGCTCCATTTCTAAAATCACCTATTGCCAGGATTCCCATGTCTGTACATTAATATTTTTCAAGGATAACAAACATGAAACTGGATTCTCTTGCTGTAAGTCTTGATCCTGCCAACATTCTCAACCGATGCAACATCCTTATTCTCCAATTCAAGCACAGCAAAATGGCTGTAACAATAGATCACTGGAATGCTTTTGTAATTGGTTCTACGGCATAGCTGTCAAGTGTCCTTTATTTGAAGGGACAGTCCCTTATTCCAGCGCCATGTCCCACTTCTGTCCCTTATTGATGGATGTCCCTTAAATGTCCCTTAAATGATGTCCCTTAAATTTCAAAGGAAGCAGCTCCTCTCCCTCCCTCCCTGCCGGCCAGGGAGGAGGGAGGCTCCAGCTGTGTTGCTTGGCTGTGTTGCTCACCCAATAAGAAGTCTAAGAACGACTGGGGGGTGGAGCTTGCATGCCTTGTGTGTGGCTAGTTAATGCAAGCTGAGGGGTTTTTTGAATGCTGGATGCCATTTTGTTGCACGTGCTGCTGCAAACTTTGCAGTGCAAAGCCAGGCCAGGGAGCCATCTTAAGTTGAGGCTGCATAGGCCTTGTGGTGCATGTGATTCAGATTCTATTCAGTTGAACCTCTGGTTACAAAGTTGGTTGGACAGTGTTCTCGAAGCTACCCAGCATGAGTTTGACCAGACTGCAGGAGGACAGGAAGACTGGAGTGACTGGAACAGGTGAGGCTGCAGGTCCCTTATTTTGGCTGCTGGTCCCTTATTTTCAAGGCTGCTGGTCCCTTATTTTCAAATCTGTAAGTTGACAGCTATGTTCTACAGATACAATTCATTTGAAAACTTTGCTCTAGAACGTTTACACTGGAAGACCCCCAAATTCTGTATGAGAAGTATGAAAAGCAGCCCCAGAGGCCCAGTTAGTTCACAAGCTCCTTTCTGGTAAGGTGAAAATGGAATAAGATTAAGGGTGGGTGGGTAGAATTGTCCGTGTGATCTAAACGAAGCAGGTGCAATTTGTTTTACCTGCTTTTTTTCAGCAAAAAGCAAAGATCAGCCAGCACAGAAAGAACAGACAGTAAACTCTGCAAACAGCTCAAGCTCCTGACTGATGGCTGTGTACTGTTAAGCTACTCAGAATCTGGAGAACCCTCTCCACTAAGGATTGCCAGGAGTGAAATGTGCAACTTACAGATCATGTAACTTGCAGCCAAGTCAGCATGGTTCAATGGGCAGCTAATGAGCTAGATCCACCCCATAGAACATTTTGATCTGGCCCTGCTAAGGTACAAGTGATGGAGGCAGAGAAAGTAGACCTCTCCCAGTTCAAGTGCCACATTCTCACATACAAAGGAGGTGCTCTACAACTGAACTACAACCCTTTCCATCTGAGATAAGGCCTCCTCCAGCTCTACCTCTTTCAAATCAGAACCAGTGAAGGCGGTAAAGGTCCTGTGTGAGTGTCTGGAGGCAGTTGGAGGATGGATGGCGGCTAACAGATTGAGATTGAATCCTGACAAGACAGAAGTACTGTTTTTGGGGGACAGGAGGCGGGCAGATGTGGAGGATTCCCTGGTCCTGAATGGGGTAACTGTGCCCCTGAAGGACCAGGTGCGCAGCCTGGGAGTCATCCATGGAGGCACAGGTTAAATCCGTGTCCAGGGCAGCTGTTTACCAGCTCCATCTGGTACGCAGGCTGAGACCCTATCTGCCTGTGGACTGCCTCGCCAGAGTGGTGCATGCTCTAGTTATCTCCCGCTTGGACTGCTGCAATGCACTCTACGTGGTGACCCGGAAACTACAACTAATCCAGAACGCGGCAGCCAGACTGGTGACTGGGAGCGGCCGCCGAGACCATATAACACCGGTCTTGAAAGACCTACGTTGGCTTCCAGTACGTTTCTGAGCACAATTCAAAGTGTTGGTGCTGACCTTTAAAGCCCTAAATGGCCTCGGTCCAGGAAGGAGCATCTCCACCCCCATCGTTCTACCCGGACACTGAGGTCCAGCATCGAGGGCCGTCTGGCGGTTCCCTCACTGCGAGAAGCCAAGTTACAGGGAACCAGGCAGAGGGCCTTCTCGGTAGTGGCGCCCTCCCTGTGGAACGCCCTCCCACCAGATGTCAAAGAGAACAACAACTATCAGACTTTTAGAAGACATCTGAAGGCAGCCCTGTTTAGGGAAGCTTTTAATGTTTGATGTATTAAAGTATTTTAATATTTTTGGAAACCGCCCAGAGTGGCTGGGGAAGCCCAGCCAGATGGGCGGGGTATAAATAATAAATTATTATTATTATTATTATTATTATTATTATTATTATTATTATTATTGTTTACTCCTTCAGAGACATGCTTAAGACTTTATTTACCAAAGCCTCTTCTTGCTGAAAATTTCAATATATGCTTATCTGTGGGCTTGGGGGTCATCTGCTCATCATCTTCTGGTATTGAACTGTTACTTTAACTGTGCTATTTCTGGTGTCTCTTTAATACTTATTTATTATGTCTTATGTGCACCAGTCTGATACTTTATCAGTCTTAGTGGTTTATAAATATTTGAAAAATACAAAATAAAACTCAGCTGTGCTTACTTATGAGTAGACATGTACAGGCTTGCACTGTTAATCGTTACAAAACAGAACAGGAAATGGGGTAGGGACACAGAAAGTTAACAGTGAATTCTGGCACCCTGAAAAAATTAATTAAGACATTTTACTGGAATAAAGATAATCTTAGGCCAAAAAAAAAGCCCCAAGCAATAGCAAAACTGAGCAATACATTTATGCTAAGGAAAAAGGAATGGAGTGCAAAAGGAATATGCGAACGAAGTCCACGTGACACTCAAGTGCTCTTTTAAATAGAAGCCATGTTTGGAAAGATTAACAACTCTTTATGCAGCTTGCTACACTATCAATATTAGAGAAAGGATTTTAAACACAGCCTGCAGACAGGCGTCTCAAAGGCAAATGACCCTTAGATGATTATGTAAACTCTTGTCTATATCCAAGGGAGAACAAGAACATACAAATTACGATAATGCTGTATTTGTTCAAGTCAATAGCCGGGCATAATACACCCCTCTATTTTAATCTTCATAATTCTATAGCCATGAAAAGCATTAGAGCCTTCTAAGAAAGCATTTGTCAGATCAAACCAGGGTGCCCCTCCACTTTTCAGACCTATTTTCAAATGCATGTTATGCTTGTCTACTCCTAATAAACCATTCACAATTTCAGATCATTTCCCTCCTCCGTGCAATCATAACTTTTAAATATCAGGAGCGTTGGGGAAAAGCATGGTAATCTGCAATAATCATGTTTTTCATGAGAAGCTTGCCCCATGTTGCAAACAAGTGACCCATTGCAGAGAAGGAGGAAAGGCTCTCGTTTCAGTGGCTATTGCTTGTAGAGATACACCTGTATTGTAGCTCAGCACATGCCCTGCATGCAGAAGGTCCTCTGTTCTTTCCAGGTACCTCCCGGTAAGGCTGAGAAAGTGTCCTTTTGGAAACCCTACATAGCCGCTGCCAAGTCACAGTAGACCAGCCTTCTTAATTTGGCCGCCTTCAGAGCAGTGTTGGAAACACTCACCAACCCAACGGAAGAGGCTCCTGGTGAGACCAGAGGGACATCACTATGCCTGACAACAACCCCGAACTATAGGATTATTTTGCCCCATCTTTTTGTGCCTGCCAAACAGCCATGTCAATATTTTATTCTTTTGTGAATTGTGCTGTTTTAAATGTGTATTTTATATTTGACTTTTTTTAAAAAAAAGTTTAAGATTAATTTTTTTGTTAACTTTGCTTGTGTAAAATATGTATTCTGTAGTTGACCTCCTTAGTAATGTTTTATTTTGAAATCTTTAAGATAATATTTTGGTTTTTTGTTAATTATGTTGCTTTGGCTGTATACTCTACATTTGACTTTCTTCAGATTGCTTTATTGATTGCTTTATTGATTTATTGATTGCTTTATTGATGTTTTATTGACATTTTAATATACTGTAAACCGCTTTGAGATTTTTCTTAAAAATATAAAGTGGTATAGAAATGAAATAAATGAAATAAATAAATATAATAAATAATATAATAATATATAATATATATTATATATATAATATATAATATATATAATATATATAATAATATATAAGCTAGGCGCCAAATGACACCAAAAGCCTGGGCTGCAGTTGCCACAACAGAAGAGTGACTAGTGGGGTGCCACAGGGTTCTGTCTTGGGCCTGGTCTTATTCAACATCTTTATCAACGACTTGGATGATGGACTCAAGGGCACCCTGATCAAATTTGCAGATGACACCAAACTGGGAGGGTGGCTAACACCCCAGAGGACAGGATCACACTTCAAAACGACCTTGACAGATTAGAGAACTGGGCCAAAACAAACAAGATGAATTTTAACAGGGAGAAATGTAAAGTATTGCACTTGGGCAAAAAAATGAGAGGCACAAATACAAGATGGGTGACACCTGGCTTGAGAGCAGTACATGTGAAAAGGATCTAGGAGTCTTGGTTGACCACAAACTTGACATGAGCCAACAGTGTGACGCGGCAGCTAAAAAGCCAATGCAATTCTGGGCCTGCATCAATAGGAGTATAGCATCTAGATCAAGGGAAGTAATAGTGCCACTGTATTCTGCTCTGGTCAGACCTCACCTGGAGTACTGTGTCCAGTTCTGGGCACCACAGTTCAAGAAGGACACTGACAAACTGGAACGTGTCCAGAGGAGGGCAACCAAAATGGTCAAAGGCCTGGAAACGATGCCTTATGAGGAACGGCTAAGGGAGCTGGGCATGTTTAGCCTGGAGAAGAGGAGGTTAAGGGGTGATATGATAGCCATGTTCAAATATATAAAAGGATGTCACATGGAGGAGGGAGAAAGGTTGTTTTCTGCTGCTCCAGAGAAGTGGACACGGAGCAATGGATCCAAACTACAAGAAAGAAGATTCCACCTAAACATTAGGAAGAACTTCCTGACAGTAAGAGCTGTTCGACAGTGGAATTTGCTGCCAAGGAGTGTGGTGGAGTCTCCTTCTTTGGAGGTCTTTAAGCAGAGGCTTGACAACCATATGTCAGGAATGCTCTGATGGTGTTTCCTGCTTGGCAGGGGGTTGGACTCGATGGCCCTTCCAGCTCTATGATTCTATGATTCTATGAATGTCTATTTGCCAGGGGACTAGATGAACCTCGGGGTCCCTTCCAATGCTACAATTCTGTGATTCTATGATCTCAACTACAATGCTTGACTGTAAGCTTGCCCTTACAACAATTCGCTTGTCCCAGTATGCAAGAAGGAGAAACACACATGGTGGAAATGGAAATGGTAGTCGTACCTTGGTTGTCGAATGGAATCTGTTCTGGAAGTCTGTTCGACTTCCGAAAATGTTCGACAACCAATGCGTGGCTTCCAATTGGCTGCAGAAACTTCCTGCACGCAATCAGAAGCCATGGAAGCCACGTCAGACGTTCGGGTTCCAAAGAACATTTGCAAACCAGAACACTCACTTCCGGGTTTGCGGCATTCGGGACCCAAAACATTCTAGTTGCAGCATTCTAGAAGGCAGCAGGTTGGAGACCATTAATCTCACCTGGTATAAGACACATTCATACACTCTTCAGCATAGCTGCTAAAAGGTACAGGAGTTCTAGTTTCCTTTGCATGTGGCCCCCCCATCAGCAAAATCACTTGCAGCTCACAGAAGCGCTCTTGGAAACAAAGTACTTCCATGCTTCAGTACACAGATTGCCAAAGTCTAGGAAAGGGTGAGTCAAGCAAGGCTGTACTATGGAAAATGCCATAGTACACAGTTTACCAGAATAGATGGCCAACTCACATTCTTGGTTTAATTTTTAATCTTGCATGACATCATGATACCAGATGCTGACACAACTTGCTTTCCATTGATCACTTGGAACGGAAGTTGTGTTCCCCTGAAACCTGTTCCAAGACCAATGGGGAGTTCTGAACACCACTTTTATAACATAAAAAGAGCTTGCTGCATCATGCTGTCGGGCTATCCAAGTCTAGCACCCTGTTTTCGTTGGCAATGTATCTCATTTCTTAAAAACATGAGAATCACCACAAAAGAATCATAATCAGAAGTCAATCTGAAATTCATAATCTGGGAGGGGACACCACTTTGGTCTACATTTGCAATAGAATAAGTTGGGGATGAGACAGGAGGACGGTTCCTATCAATTCAGACTTCAAAAGCAGAATGCCTTTTTGAATGTCCCCTAGATTTAATTCATACACACACCTCCCTAAAAGTGCAAAAGTAAAAAGAAGGAAACAGAATGAGTGCTGGATATCTAGGGTGTTAGATATTTACTCACATGGTAGAGCATTCAAAGTGGCCACCATTTTACCTGCAATCTGAAGTGGTATTTGATTCATTCATTTGTTCATTCATTTATGCATATATCCCCCAGCCCCTTCTTCCATCACAGAACCCAAGACAGAGCACATGTGGTTCCCAGGGAGTTTGCCATCCCAGATCTAGCCAAGTGGTGGCCTCATATGCTCTCAGACCATCCCCTGAGACCATAGCTCATTCCACCTCCCCATTTTCTGCCAGGTATGGTCTGGCAGTGGCTGTGGCTGCAACCAAAGGTGGGTGGAGCCAGAATCACTGGTGGGTGAGACCACCCCTTTGTCTCTGTCTCTCTCTGGCACCTCTTTCTCTTTTATACTCTCTCAATTTTTCTTCTTATCCAGTAGGTTGCTGCCTAGGGATTAGTAAATCTGTTAATTTTCCAGTCTTAAATGCAGTTCTCCACATTTCCACATCAGTTTGTATTTTTTAAAAACAAAATCCGCATGAGAATCCATCAATGTTTTGATGTGAATTTATCTTAATATATACTTTTTTTCTTTGCCATTTTGCCTAACAGGAAAACTGCTTGGGAAAAATGTGTTGAATATAATGCATTTTTCTAGGTTGTTTTCACTAAAACATAAAATCATATAGAGCACACTTTACCATAGAATGTGCATTTTTCTATGCATCGTTTAGCTTTATTATTCTTAAATTTTAGAACTGCATTGCAAAATTCGGAGAAGCTCGAATTTCAAAAGATGGCTGGGTTTCGCTTTGCATTTTGTTGCAGAAAGTGAGAATTCAGCAAGTCCAACTTTAAATGCAAACTGAATAGATTTTCTCCCCAATCCCTACTCTGGTCAGTGATCTGCCCTGATTGTTACATCGGACTCCCTATTTCCTTTCATACTGTCATCTCCCCAGCACACCCCTCCTCTATTTCTCTCTGTCTCACATTCCCCCACCCACATGAAACTGCGCTAAGGGCCACATGAAATGAGGTTTAGGGCTGTAGAATTTCCACCCCTGCTTTTAAAACATTTTCTCTTTTTAAATCTGACAGTGTGTTATTTTAAGTAAAAACCTTCCAAACGGAGCAGACACTAACATCACACACATATGCAAACGAAAAGCTTTCTGCAGGGGGTGATTTAACAATAAGACTATTTAGAGAGATGTCTGCATTCATTACAGTCAAGAACTTTAATAGGTAACTGTAGAATGATTACCGAGTATGTATCCTAGGAGACTAGATAGAGCTCTCGTACCTAAAAGGCACAACACTTTCCCCTGTTTCCAATACAAAAAGTACAGGCTCTATAAATAATAGAGTAAGCTTGACAAATAAAGTTAATCTCTTACTTTGGGACCCATTAAATATGTATTTCTGCTTGTCTGGCACTGCAAATTATACACATTCTGATCCCTGCTACATCTCTCTCATTTCCGCTCCCTCCTTCCAAGCTAACTACAGAGAAGTTAGGACCCTCTGTTAGGGCTGAATTTAAAAGCAAAAGAAGAGAGGGTCAGTCTTAACAGCAGCATCATGATGGCTGGGATTCTGGACTATTTAAAGTATAAGCCATGGGTAAGGAATCTCTAGCCCACAGGCCAAATTAGGGCCAGCACATGTCTCAACATTGCCTGCAGGGCCATTTCCACCAAGCCATTCAAACTGCCCCTGCAGATGGCCTTCAAAGGGCCTTTGCCATAACCACTGATCATCACAGGCAGGGCCATTCACCTGTCAGAGAGCAAAGTTGGCCCACAGGAGGTGGGGGAATTAAGGCTCTGGCACACTGGTTAGGTCCAGTTCTGCACCCCTGAAAGAAGCCTTAACATGCAACAAAGATGTTCTGTGTTGAAACAGCAATTGTCTTAGGGCAAGGGTAGCCAATATGGGGCCTTCCATCTTGTTTTGAATCACAGAATCATAGCACTGGAACAGACCCCAAGGGTCCTCTAGCCCAACTCCCTGCAGTGCAGGAATCTCAGCTAAAGCTTCCATGACAAATGGCTATCCAACCTCTATTTAAAAACCTCCAAGGAAGGAGAGTCCATCACCTCTTGAGGGAGCGTTCCACTGTAAAACACAGGGGTCAGCAAACTTTTTCAGCAGGGGGCTGGTCCACTGTCCCTCATACCTTGTCGGGGGGCGGACTATATTTTGGAAAAAAATTGAATGAATTCCTATGCCCCACAAATAACCCAGAGATGCATTTTAAATAAAAGCACACATTCTACTCATGTAAAAACACCAGGCAGGCCCCACAAATAACCCAGAGATGCATTTTAAATAAAGGCACACATTCTACTCATGTAAAAACACGCTGATTCCCAGACCGTCCATGGGCTGGATTGAGAAGGTGATTGGGCCAGATCCAGCCCCTGGGCCTTACTTTGCCTACCCATGGTCAAACAGCTCTTACTGTCAGAAAGTTTCCCCTGATGTTTAGTTGGAATCTCCTTTCTTGTAACTTGAAGCCATTGGTTTAACTACAAAACACCCCTGTATGCTTGCTATGGCTGAAGGCAGTTGAAGTATACAACATCTGGAGGGCTGTTATCCCTTTCTTAAGGTAATGACTCCCAAACATAAAATGCAAAAGCCATATGAATACAAGCTACCTTTCAAGCACAGTGCATGTTAACATAAAAGTGAACCTCATTTCAGGCTACCAGGTCTACCCTCTTCAGTTCCAAAGACAGTTTGGAGGGGAGTGATCCCATGCATTCTTGCTTCTGGGGAGATTTCTCTAAAACAATCCCCCCCCCAAACGTGAATGCAGTCTCTAAAACACCATTCCCACTTCCCAGATCATGAGGAGGAACGCCCAAGTAGGATTCCTTGCAAATCCTCTGAAGGAAGGTAGGCTGATAGCTCAGAACAGCTGCCACAGAAGCTGCTAATGTCAAAGCAACCTTAATATCGATTCCCCTTTCTCTCCTGTGCTCTCGCACTTTTGTATTGCAATTTAAGCAGGAGCAAAACATACCTGAGCAACGTGTAAAGCTATAGGGCGAGAGGCATTGTTCTTCCCAGTGGAGGAGGAGGAGATCACATGATAACACAGAAGTTCGAGAGAGGAGAGGCTGCCAGCGTGCTAGTATAAGCAAAATACACCAGTGGAATAATTAAAAGAGTGCCAGCCACAGCAACCTATTGCAGGCTCTAAGCACAGCGACCTATTGCGGGCTCTGCTTTAAACACTGCAAATTGGTTCTCGCACATAATGGCACATAAATGCAAGCTCAGCCTTGACAACCACTGCTCGGTACGTGCTGTAGTGGCACCTGTCATAGTTAAAAGGATCCACAGGGCGTTAGTATTCAAACTGCTTTCCCTGGAGGGCATATTAAATAAATCAAGACTTTAAAAACATGCTCCAGGCTAGGATTAGGCATATAAATGCTTCTCCAGGTGTAGCAAGGCAATGCCATCTTGCAATTCCAAATTTTAAGTACTTGTTGAGAGCATGTGCTTACTGCATATAGTAGGGGGTGATCCCAAAACCACTATATGCACCAGTGGTTTTGAAACAAACATAGACTACTAAGCCAAAATAACCTGGTTGTCTAAAATGCAAGGATGTGAATAGAGTGGAAATAAATGGCACAATGCAATCAAGAGAACATGGACGGGATTCAAATTTCCCTTCCATGAGCACCTCCTGGCATGTGCTGTTAGAACAGTCTTACAAACAAGTCCAGAAAAGTTAGTAGCCTTCAGGATTTATTCATTTTTTCCTTAGTCTGTGTGTCTGAAAATTATGTCATACATTAATCCTGAAGAGCTGGAGAGAGAGAAAGCAGTCAAATATTTTCCAACAGACAAAATCTTCATTGCATAATTGTTTGCTGGAAATTCTTATTCAATGTGGGGACCAGGTGAGCAGCTATTCATCAGTTTGGCTCCATCCACACTAATCATTCGTATTGATTTTATACTGCTTTGGTTTTCACCAAAGCATCCTGGGTACTGCAGTTTGCTAAAGGTGTTGGGAATTATTAGGAGGCTTCTGTCCCCTCACAGAACTATAATTCCCACAGCTCCCCTAGTAGAGAGATTTTTAAACCAGTTTAAGTTTGTGGCCTGGCTGTGCCGCCCCCCTCCCCGCAAAGACTGGAGAAATGTGCCATAAGTTGGAACAAACACACACTTCTCTGTAATCACCAACAATCAGCTGATCAATTGCCCCAAATCCGACATCATATATGGCCTGGAACAGTGATGGGGAACCTGCAGGCCTCCAAATGTGGTTGGACTCCAAATCCCACCAACCCCAGTCAGTGTGCTCAGTGGTGAGGGATTATGGGAGCTGTAGTCCAACAACATCCGGTGGGCCACAAGGTCCCTTTCCTAGCCAAGGGTGTGTGTGTGTTTTAGGAGAGTACTGAGGGCAGGATAAAGAGGCCTGGCAAACCAAATTCTTCTTGAGGACTGTAGGCACACCAACTCAGCACATTCTGCTGTCTTTATTGTAGCAGAGAAGCAAAATTCTGAACACAAAAAACCCATATAAAATTCCTTTTTTCATCCTTCATCTTCAAACTTCTCTCAGATAAACAAGAAAGGGGCTGTCAATTGATATTCCTTCCAGCCCACACCAAGCTCTCAAAGTCAATTTGGCTGAATGTAAAACAGAACAACAGCTCTATTTATAAGCTGTCCACCTCCTGCAGTAACTTCAGGATGTAAAACATTCCCCATTATACCTGGTCCAGGGGCACACATCCAATTTGAATGGGAGGCAGCATCAGGGTTTTGCAATTTTCGCTGAAAATTGGCAACAAGACTGAAAGCGTTTCATACAGGCCTTCAGGACACAGATACCAACTGGGCCCCCGAGACTTGTCACTGTAATAATATTCTAAGCAAGGGCATCTGCTGCCGCCATGTAAATCGGAGTCTACAGCTCTCTGACCCCCACCTGTCCTCCTCTATCAGAAATCCTGCCTGATATAAACCACTTCAGATATGACAAGCTCTGAGCCGTAGTGCCATAGGAAAGGATTTTTCGTTGAACAAAAGACTGCATTGACGGCAATTTCCAGACACAGGAGTGCATTCATTTATTTCTGTCACCACGTTTGTGCCCTCCCCCACCTCAGAGATGCTCATGGCGGCATACAACTGGGTTAACCTCCCTGTCCTCTCACAACAACCCTATAGAGTAGGTAGGTCTGATAGCATGACTGCCATAAAATGAGGTCTAGTTTACTCATGAAGCAGAATGAGGCCATAAAGTGGATTTAATTTGTTCAGCTGCAGGCAGGGGGTGCCGTTTTTTCAACGCACCCACATCTCAGAAAAACAACAAACCTGCAAGTGAAAATGAAACAAAACCTAATACATTAGGCAGAGTGATTCTAGCCCAAATTACTCCCCAACGTACTCATTTTTTTTACTGTAGGAACAATTTTTAAAAGCACATGCACACACCATAGAATTGCTGCCCAAAATGGCACTCTCAAGTGGGACAGTCCATTCTACCCCTTCAGGACTAAGGACATAACTTACACACAACCTCTGGAAGTCTTCAATATCATGTCCATTGGGCGGGGGGAATCTGACTATTTAAAAAACCAATTCACTGAATCCAGATTAAGTCAACTGAAAATGGAATTTAAGGTCACCTATAATAGTCATACAAATTTGAATGGAAATTAATGACAAATGCCAGTGTTTGTTGCAATTTCTGAATCAGTGGAAATGTGGATGAGGTCATACCAAAACAAAACAATTAAGAAAGACCTGGCAGCATAGTTCAAGAAATAATCAACTATTTTTGACAATTGCTGTCTGTTTCCTTGTTGACCTTTGAATATCCCACAATGGCCTTTGAGACCGTGGACCGGGGTAGCCAATGTGCCACACTCTAGATGTTTTGGACTACAACTTCCATCAACCCTAGTCATCACTGCCAGTGGCCACGGATTATAGGTGCTGTAGTCCACAACACCTGAGAGGCACCACATTGACTACCCTTGATCTAGTAGGCCATCAGACAGTGAGTGAACAACAAGAGAATTAGGAAAGGCAGATATGGATTATGTAGCCGAGTCTGATGCTGTGGAAGTTTCTCCTTAAAATGGGTTTCCAAAGTCTTCAAAATGATTCAGGGCTTTCTCATTTTAGCAACCCAATGACTTGATTGCTCAAGATTTATTGACTGTACTTACTCTGTTTTATGGAGCACCGTTTTTTAATGCCATTTTAATGCTTCCCACCCTTCAAGTAAGCTTCAAAAGGAAATGGGATAAAAGGTATTTTAATCAATCATAGTTTCGCACATGAAACTGCTAAAGGTACATGAACATTACTACACACTGAAAAAGTGTATCAGTTTCTTTTTTCTTTTCTTTTTTATAAATGCAAAAGTGGCATAAACTGTAACCTGCCCTAGGACCAGCTGGTGAAAGGTAGGTAAATAGTAATTACAATAATACCGGTAATAATAATAGCTTCTTTTACCAATGCTGGTCCAAAATTGCTTCAACCGTATTAACAATGAAATACTGTTTAGCGTTTCACTGTTTTACGATTAGAAACCGCCAAGGGACAATTGAAGCTCTCTCTTGTACTGTCAAGAAAGGTCCCTACAATTTCTAGTTGTGTAGAATTATTATAATGTCTCATCAAGAAGGAGCTTACCTAGCAACCTTAAGAAAAGCAAGAATGGCCCCTTTGTTTTAAAAATTGCACTGGATTTAATAAAACCTGGATGCATCATTAGGTTAATTTAAAACATTGCAAAATACGTTGATGGATGCTACCTAAATCCAATGACTATGCTTAGCTCAGAGGAATGTAGCTATTAAGGCAGAGCTTAATAGGATTTTGCTATTTATTGGTCTCCAACTTGATCCCCCCCCCCCAATCCAGAGAACTATAAAGTAGACTTAAGCATATAGAAGTACAGTGGCAAGTTGCATACTTAGATCTTTAAACCAAGGATTTTCAACATTTTTGTCAAAGAGTGAAAATTCCTAAAATCCCCAACGTAAAACACATTGGTGAGGGGGTGCAGCTGTATCTGCTACATTACAGTCACCATAATAATATAGACTAGAGGCAATCTCAGAAGTATAAATGCCTGTGAGTAGGCCCACTTGTTTGATCTGTTTACCACAGTGTGTCACACAAGACAAGCTCCAAGTAACTACATACATTTTATTCTTAGTTCCTGTACAGTGGTACCTCCATTTACGAATTTAATCCGTTTCGGCCCAGTATAGCTGAAGGAGCGTCTCCACCCCCATCGTTCAACCCAGACACTGAAGTCCAGCGCCAAAGGCCTTCTGGAAGTTCCCTCACTGCGAGAAGTGAAGTTACAGGGAACCAGGGAAAAGGCCTTCTCGGTAGTGGCGCCCACCCTGTGGAACGCCCTCCCATGTCAAGGAAATAAACAACTATATGACATTTAGAAGACATCTGAAGGCAGCCCTGTTTAGGGAAGTTTTTAATGACTGATGCTTTAATATATTTTTAATCTTCTGTTGGAAGCTGCCCAGAGTGGCTGGGGAATCCCAGCCAGATGGGCAGGGTAGAAATATATTATTATTATTAATATTAGTCTGTTCTTAAACCGAGGCGCACTTTCCCTAATGAGGCCTCCCGCCGCTGGTGCCCTTCCACCGTTCGGATTCCATTCTTAGACCGAGGTAAAGTTTGCAAACCGGGACACGACTTCCTGTTCTGCGGAGTTTGTAAACCAAATTGTTCGTAAACAGGACTGTTCTTAAAGCGAGGTACCACTGTATTATTATTTCAGCTACATCCCACCTTTCTTCCAAGAAGCTCAACTAGCAGACTCAGTTCTCCCTCTCCCCATTTTATCTTTACAACACCCTGTGAGGTAGCTTAGGCTGAGAGGTAGGGACTGGCCCAAGGTCACCAGTGAACTTCATGGCTGAGTGGGGATTTGAACCCTGGCCTCCCAGGTCGTAGTCCAACACTCTAACCACTACACAACTGTTCATCTTAAATATTTTGTGCGTTGTGGAAGAGAGCACACGAGCATAATGCTTGCCCCCAAGAACCACCACAACCTACACACTGGGCTCATGTCTGAACCAACATATGATGTGTACAAACATGCGTCCAAAATACATCTCTCCAGTTACTTCCCATAACACCCTTAGGGCTATGTTACGCAGTATACATAACCGAACTTTGATTCGTTATCTGTATAACTAGGTTACTAGGAACAACCTATCAGAATTCCCTGGAAAGTGCATGTGTTATCAGCCACCTCTTTGTCGCACTCACAGTCAACATCAACACTCAAGAAGGGAGATTCCGACTAAACATCAGAAAAAAAATTCTGACAACTCAACTTTCTAGAACTTCCTATGTGCAAAGCAGTCCTTAGAGGTTAAAAACACAACTGAAAACCAACTGCTTTTTAATTGTCTGCTAGTGGAAGAAATGCCAACCCAGTGTGCGGAAGCCGTGAAAAAGGCAAATTCCTTGCTAGGGATCATTAGAAAAGGAGTGGAAAGTAAAATCGCCAGCATCATGATGCCACTATACAAATATATGGTACAACCACATTTGGAGTACTGTGCACACGTCTGGTCACCTCACCTCAAAAAGGAGATTGTAGAGTTGGAAAAGATTCAGAAAAATTCACTGTAGTGAGTTTGTTACATGCACAAAGATGGAAAGACTTATCATTACCTACTGTGGAAGAATGGTTGTTGAAATTAATGGCTTTGGCTGAGCTGGCCAACTTGATGTGTCTAATTAGAGGAAAATCATTGTGGACGTTTATTAATGATTCAAAAGCCCTTATGGACTTTTTGCACAAAAGGGGAAATGAGCTTGTTTGGAGACTGGAAAAAAAGGTTGGTTTATAGAAAGTAGAAGAGTTGGGTGTTATTATCGAGCAAGGGTTTTGCATACGTCTATAAAGCTGAAAGAGAATCAATCAGAAGTCTTCTTTCCTTCTTTCCTCTTTCTTTCCTTTCTTTTAGTTTATGTGTAAAATGTGCTTCGTTTTTTATGTTAAATGTTGTACATGGCTTTTTTCAGCAAAGGTGTAAGAATAAAAAAAAGTAAAAGATTCAGAAAAGGATCAAAATGATCAAATGGATGGAGTGCCTCTCCTATGAAGAAAGGTTGCAAAATTGGGGAATTTTTAAGTTTAGACAAAAGGTGGGTAAAAGGTGACATGAAATAAGTTCATAATATTATGCAAGGCATGGAAAAAGCAGATAAATAAGAGCTTTTCTCCCTCTCCCATAACTGTAGAACTCATGAACATCCAATGAAGCTTAAACGTTGGCAAATTCTGGACAAATTTTTTAAGTGGTTCTTCATGCAATGGGCCACTGGCCGCATCCAGCAGGCTCTTCTTAGGTTCTTAAATAAGAAAGTGCTTGGTTGACATGGCTGTATGTGTTGCACTAATTCACTGACTGAGGTAAAGCCTACGTCCAAAGTTGCCCTCTCTTGAAAGCAAGACCCATTAGTTTTAATGAGACTGCCTTCCACAGAAGGGTTTTTATGTCACATGCCAGGAACCCAGAGTTTGAGCTCCCTCAAATGCAATTAGACATGCAATCCTAAAAACGCCTACTTAAAAGCAATTTCTATTGAAAACGTACAGAACTTAATTCCAAGGAGATTTGCCCAGTATACAGCAATAAGACAAGGGCACAGATGGCCCGCCCAGCAAATATTTAGACTCCCCTTCAGCCCAATGGGAAAGGGAAGCACTGAAGGTCCCTAGAGAAGTAGGGAGCTTGCAAGGAAATGGGAATCTAACAGAAATATAATAAAAAATAGAAGAATGGAAAATTTGCCACTGGCTCCCAAATTGTACTGCTAGGGGGTAGGTTCATATTTTATTCACAGTTAGCTTTTTATCTAGGTCCTAGGCAACCTCCCCGGGGCCACATGCTAGTACAGTGGTACCCCGGGTTACATACGCTTCAGGTTACATACGCTTCAGGTTACAGACTCCACTAACCCATAAATATTACCTCTGGTTAAGAACTTTGCTTCACAATAAGAACAAAAATCGTGCTCCGGCGGCGCAGCAGCAGCAGCAGCAGGAGGCCCCATTAGCTAAAGTGGTGCTTCAGGTTAAGAACAGTTTCAGGTTAAGAACGGACCTCCAGAACAAATTAAGTTCTTAACCTGAGGTACCACTGTAGTAGACAGGGTCAGAGGTAAAGATTTTGGGATATATCCAGCCTCATATAACCAACTTGCTTAACTCTAATTAATGCATGAAGGGGTTAAGACCATAGAGTAAGCTGTCCTGCCAGGCTTAGCTAAGTCACACTCCCTCACTTTGGGAGGAATAGCTAATATACTCTTTATTTTTCCACTTTCTACCATTATTCCACCATGTGAATCCTACCAGCTTGGCTCCAAGCTTAGACCATGTGGCTTTAGCCAGCCACCTTTGTGTTTCTATACAAACTATTTAGAAACACTTACCTTTCTGGAGCCAACCTAAGTTGTGCTACCTGTCTTTTCTTGCTGTTGTATGGTAAAGCACATGCATCTGTCCTTTGAAGAGTTTGTAAGTACGGTAAATCATTTTTAACTTACCAAACATGTAGTCTCTTTCTATGCTAAAGAAAGTAGAAAGCTTGGAAGCAACTTAGAAGGGGGTATTTTAAAGGTCTAACAGCCTGTATTTTCATGTTTTACTTTGCTGCATGTTGTGTGATCTTAAATTTCTGCTGGGGCTCTCTCACCAAAGACTACTTGCCCCAAAGCTGGATCTAGGCATCCAGGGAATTCTCCTTTTTATTTTTTTCTTGTATTTTTCCCTTCTAACCAAATTAAAAACCAAACGAAAGTAATGTGAATTGTACCTTTGTACAGCAGGCTGGTTTCTTCACATTCACACATCCCTCTCTGTCCTTCATCCAGGCATGCAAGAAGAATTAAACTGTTGTAACGCCCCCCCCCAAGGGCCTTATGGTGAAGGGTGGGTGGTAACAAGGGGGCAATATTGCTTGCCTTTTTACAGATCTGTTTTAAGGATTCCAGAGCCTGGAAGCAGCTAGCAAGTTTGAAAGAGGGATTGCTGTTCATAATGTGTACATTCCTTCCACTTTCACCTCTGGTCAACAGAATATGAAGGGTTGTTTAATGGTTTAGGAAACCTGCAAAATTTGTTTGATCACGGGTAGCTGTGGGGGCAAACAAAGTGTGTGTACACAGCATGCGAAGCAACACATCTCTCTCAAAAGCTATTGCATGCCAGCAGTTGAAAGATCATGCGAGTGGAACCCTTGCGATGGGCTACCAGTACATAAAAGGCTGTTATGAAATCCGAAACACAACAAATTTGGCATTGTAATCCTCCTGCGATACCATATTGCTGCTCTACTGACTCCAGCTATTTCCCCCTCTTTATTTCCTCACTTAAGCAAGCAGTCTGAGGAGTGTTGCCATCAACGGCAAAATCACACAGTCTCTCTCACCTCCAGCGTGTTTTGCTGCACAGCAGTCGATCCGTAACTACCCCATAACATGGTCTATTGTTGTTTAACATCCAGTTTTATTCTTCAATTACTCTGCTGGCTTGACTCTTAATTTATTACATTTTCTGGTACATTTGATTTTGGATATTATGACATCCTGGCTCATGCCATTAGAGAGGAAACATAAAGCGACAGCAATACCAGGGGATACAGGAGGACAGAATACCATTGTCAGCCTGGAAAATTAAGGCTATCGCTGCTTGCTTTGTTTCCTCTAGTGGCCCTTTCCCCATTGGCCCTACAATGTAAATGGCATTTTATAAATAAATAAATTGAGGCACTTTTCCTGCGCAAAGTCTGATAGTCTTCTAGTGTATAAGGATATTGGTGGTTGTTGGCCTTGAAAATAGGTAATCACACTAGTCTTCAGTGCCTAGTGACTCCTAAATATGTTTGGATACGTTAAAATTTGATATTTTGCAATCTTTGACTCTCATGCAGCAGTTCTAGGCTCACTAACCTGGGATCAGTAAAAAAAGGTAAAGGACCCCGGACAGTTAAGTCCAGTCACGAATGACTATGGGGTTGAGGCACTCATCTCACTCTACTGGCCGAGGGAGCTGACGTTTGTCCGCACATGACTAAGCCGCTTCTGGCAAAACCACAGAAACGCACAGAAACGCCGTTTACCTTCCCGCTGGAGCGGTACCTACTTATCTACTTGCACTTTGACGTGCTTTCGAACTGCTAGGTTGGCAGGAGCTGGGACCGAGCAACGGGAGCTCACCCCGTCGTGGGGATTCGAACCGCTGACCTTTCAGTGGGCTCAAGTCCCACTGAAATAAGCATGTGAAATAAACACATGGATAGCTAGTTAAGTCAACTGGTGAGCTGCCTCTTGAATCTGGACTACTGATTTGGGCTCAAAAGAGTTGCTGGCAATTGTGAAATAGTTTATTAAAGAGGTAAGATTATAGGAAATCTATGGTGGGGAGATTCATGGCCAGAATCGTGTCCACCACCTGCATTTAAAGCACATTGCTTCCCCTCCAAAGAATCCCAGGAACCGCAGTTTGTTAAGGCTGCTGGGAACTGTAGCTCTGGGAGGCATAAACTACAATGCTCAGAATGTATTATGTGGCGTTGTCCTATCCAGTTAGGCCTTGGCACTTTAGTAGGGCTCTAAACACAGGCCTGCAGCAGGGTTTCTCCTGAGCAAGGAAGAGATGGAAGTGGGGAGGAGACTAGGTTATACTGAAGGGAAAGTACACCATTAAGTCACTGTGGCTGCATAAAACTCATTTAATGTCTCCCAATCATTCCCTAGGTACTGAAATTATAAGATGTAGTATATTGTACAAGCTAGCTTTTTTTATCCAGGCCTTTGACACCTGAGATACATGGTATTCTTCTGGTTGTAAATCAGGTTGTAAATCAGGCAGGTAACAATAAAGTAAAACAGTTTTTAAAAACTATAAAGCAAAAGAATAAAAGCAGCATTTAAACACTAAAGCAGCAGAATAAAAAAGATCAGAAGTACATCGAAGGCCATAAAAGCTAATTTAACCAGAGTAGCTTCTCACAAGTTGAAACAATTCAATGAAAGGGCAACCACTCGTGGCCCAAAAGTCTTCCTGAAAAGGAACCTTTAAAAACAGCCAGCAGAGGAAGGGAACTTTATATACTGCAATTGTCTGCGGCTGTAGTATTAGCTGCAATTATTTCCTAGGAATAGGTGGGTCCAGTTTGCATTTAAAAGCAAATGTACCTAGTCTTCACTTTCCAAAGCAATATCATGGACATACAATCAGTGCTTTCTTAATAAAAAAAAAAGGTGCTGGTACTCACCATGAAGTTGTTACAGTAAGTGCCACACTTTTTAAAAACAAAAAAAAGATGTGCCGGTACTGCGTACCCTTGAATACCCATGGAAAAAAACACTGCGTCCAATGCAGCTGAATGTTGGGAGATTCAGGCAGCAAACATGGAACTCGCTAACGCAGGAGGCAGTGGTAGAAGCCAACATGAATGGCTTTAAAAGAGAATTGGACAAATTCATGGAGGAGAGGGATACTGGATGGCTACTAGCCACAATGGTTGTGCTCTGCCCTCCACAGCTGGATGCAGCAATGCTTCTGAGTATCAGTTGCTGGAAACCATAGGAGGGGTGAGTGCTCGTGTGGTTGAATCCTGCTTGCTGGTTTCCTACAGGCATCTGGTTGGCCACTGTGAAAACAAGATGATGCACTTGATGGTCTGTGGGCCTGATTCCACAGGCTGCTCAAACTGAAACACAGCCATTCTCTGAAATTTGCTTTTCTCTGAACCTTGCAGTGCAGTTCTCTAGCTGAGTAATGTGTACAAAAATGCATATGATAAGGTAAAGTGTGCACACATAAAAACGCATGTATTAGTGAAAAGGACCTAACAAAAATTAATTATATTACGGAAAATTGGTTTACAAAAAATGTGTCTAATAGGCAAAACTGCAGAGACCATTTTGTCTGTGAGTCCTGGAAGACCTGCTCCCTGCCTTGCCAACTTGTTTCCACCTGGTCTGGGAGGGTGGGGCCCTGACTGACTCCAGCTACGAAAGCTGCTGAATAGACCCTTGGGCTATTTAGGGGGTTTTGTTGTTGTAATTGACATTAATTTTTGTATCTTTATTTTTAGATCTTATTATTTATGTGGAAATTGTTTCACTTTGGTTGTGTACTTTTTGATTTGTTTTATTGTTTGTTTACGACTTTTGTTACGTGTGTAATTATGTAAATCTTGTCATGTTGCAAGCCGCCTTGAGCGGCATACAAATAAAACGATGATGTGGAGGCTCGCATTAAGTTACTAAATAACTATTCTTTGTATGGAATTACACAAATAGCTTTTGTTCAAGGTGCACCCAGTCAATCTTTAAAGGAAACAAGGTTATTTTCATTGTTACAGAACAGATTTTTAGAGAGTGAATTCTGTACAATATTTTTTAAAAGTGGTAATTACCATGGTGATGTACTAGTATGCACATTTTAGGATATTACGCATAACTTGCAAAAGAACATGGCACTGTACCAAGGAGAGTAGTGGGCTGGGGGAGAAAGATTCAGATGTTTTCAGAAGTCTCCATAAACAGACAAATATTTCTGAAAGCTTCTAAGCTACAAGATTCCACATTCCCTGTAATCGGCTTACTCCGAGCTGTTCTTAGAACATTTTTCTAGTATATTACCCAGATCTCTTTGATACTGAGCATGATCTAAAGTCCTGCGCACACAGATTTCTATAAAGAAAAGAAAGATTTCTGTACCACCTTCCTCCCCCCCCCCAAAAAAAAATTGGTCACAGAGCAGTTTCACAGAAAATAAATCTAATATTAAAAACAAAATACATAACAAACAAAAACAATGAAGCAATTCTCACGAATTACATAAAGAAGCTCCACTTTTGAAAACCATAAAGATGACCTCATTAGCTACTAAAAGGTGGGCTTTTTTCCTGGCACCTGAGAAGGTATGAAGTTCAGGTGAGATGCACCGCAGTGAGGAAGTCATTCCACAGGTACAGAGTCACCACTAAAAAGGCTCTTCCACAGGCTCTTGCACTATGAACCCCATTTAACGCAAGAACAACTTGGAGAGCCTCCTGCGCTGATCTTAATACGCAGGTGGGCTGCTAAGGGGAGAAGATGCTTTCCCAAGTTGCTCAGTGCTTTAAATGTCAACACAAGAACATTGAATGGCAACCACCACAACTGTATGAAAATAGGTGTTATATGCCACTGGTTCATTAAACAATCTATGGCCTTTTAAACTGTTGGGGGTATTGTTATTGTTTGTTACTATGTTATATATTTTTGTGTTTTCATATTTTAAACTGCCCCATGATCTTCAGATGAACGGTGGTATTGAAATTATACCACTACTACTAGTAGTAGTAATAATAATAATAATACTAATTTCTAGCCATGAACAGAGTACCTATAAAAACTACAGAAACAGGCTACTTTTTCTGGAATGTTTCCCACCCCATGCCTACACTTTTTAAAATGCACATAAACAGTCTATGGCAAATCACTCGTCCTGGTGTAGCTGCACCAACTCCACATGGTTTCTGAACTGCCTCCTTTTGCTTCTAAAACTGGAAAGCTATTGCATGTATTTGAAAACTCATTATCAGCGAGACCAATTCCGCAACCGCTTCCAACGATAAATGAATTCTGGATTCACTTAAATCAATGGCATGATAGTCCTATTGATTTTAACAGAATTAGGAATTCATCCTTGGCTCTTCAGTAAATCCAGAGCTTAAACATCTGAACAATGTGGGGCGGTGAAGGGGGGGAGCTTAAAAAACCCCTCTATAATCTTAAAACTCATTTCATAAGCATTCTGCATGCATTTTGAACTAAAAGCTAAACAATCTGCCCAGCTTCAACATTCCTTGTATAGTTGTACCATGCTGGTTTTGATTTATTACACACCCCCAAGGTCCCAGGGCAGGTTAAGTTAAATTGCAATCACACAAACAGGGTGGGTCCTAAAATATATACATCTCAATTTGTCAAAGATTAGAGCAAAAGGAGTCCATCTTCAGCGTAAGACAACAACTGTATAGTGAAGATACCAGGTGCTCCTCTACATGAAAGTAGTTCCACAAGCAGTAAATGCAACCCAGAAACTACGGTGTTATCAGTACGGAAGGATGAAGCAGAACAGAGCCATGCAAAGTAAGTAAATACAGTGGTGCCCCGCAAGACGAATGCCTCACAAGACGAAAAACTCGCTAGACGAAAGAGTTTTCCGTTTTTTGAGTCGTTCCGCAAGACGAATTTCCCTATGGGCTTGCTTCGCAAGACGAAACGTCTTGCGAGTTCTTGCGAGTTTGTTTCCTTTTTCTTAAAGCTGCTAATAGCCGCTAAGCCGCTAATAGCCGTGCTTCGCAAGACGAAAAAACCGCAAGATGAAGAGACTTGCGGAACGGATTAATTTCGTCTTGCGAGGCACCACTGTATATGATCGCTACCAGAGCTTTGAAGCCCAATGATGTAATTGGCCAACAGGATATGGATGGGATATTGTGAATCTCAGTACAGTAAAGATGTTTTTTAAAAGATTATAACAAACAGAGTCTAGCAGCACCTTTAAAATTAACAAATTTATAATGGAATGAACTTTCATGAACTAGGCTTGATCAGATGCATGAAGGAGAATTATCAGCTGCAGGAATAAGTATACATGGGTGGAATTGTAAGCGATGAGGTTGGAGGGAAATAAAACGCAAAGGATACAGATTAACAATTCAATTACAGCTAGAATGTATGCAAATTAATGTAAGTGACCCTATTAGACTTCTTGTATCTCATCAAGTGGACTCTAGTTCACGCATGCCTATACCAGAATAAATTGGTTAGTCTTTAAGGTGCCACCAGATTCTTTGTTATTTTACATTGATTCACAAGACCTCACCTCTGAAAAGAAAATTATGTTACACCAGTTTTGTTTAAGAAGACACACACCTTAGGAAAGCAGGAGAAACAAAAGCATACCACACACAAATACAAACCCAAAGAAGTCTGCCAGGAGTAAGTCTGCTGATTAACTGGACAAAAAGGCAAATTTTTAATCTGATCAATTTCCATTAAAAAGATGATTAATAGCCATCTTTAACATGTTATTTTTTGTTCCGCAGTACAGTAACATACTAAAGCCAAAGTAGCCACAAACAAGGGACAAGTATGTTCTTAACTTTCATTCCAGCTGATTAAAATTGGGCCCCACCAAGTAATCAACCTCAAGTTTTGGTACTATTTATTTTAATGGTCACTGTTGAGCTCAACAGACCATTTAATTTGCTTCTACTCTCAGCCTGTTACACACCAAAATCAATAAGAAAAGTGTTAATCTGCAACAGTGTGGTGTGGATCTGGCCAAACACATGAGTGAAGAAGTAGGATCCGAAATTGAAATCGCAGAAGTTTATTTTCTACATTAAATTTCGAATTCACAGAACCAGCCCCTCTCGCTTTGACAATATTTCCATCTGCAATTTCAATTTCGGATCCTACTGCTTCATTAATTTCATTAAAACAGTCTTTTCAATAATTATACCTTCCTGGTTGATAATCCCTTTCTGTCCCTCTAAAAGAAAACACACATGAATCTGAATCATATTAACATAAACTACTTTACTATCAGATTCATTCAGGTTTACAGAGTTGTTCCTGAAGGCAGGCTTAGGTTACATAACAGATAAACTATATACAGTGGTACCTCGGGTTAAGAACTTAATTCATTCTTTTAATTTGGATTTATAGCTGTAAGAAGTTTTGATTGTATGTTTGTTTTTCTTTTTTATATGTTTTGTTATTTGTCATTTTGTGTTTTATTTGTTATAAATTTGGAAAACCAATTTTAAAAAATTGAAAAAAAGAGAACTTAATACATTCTGGAGTTCTGTTCTTAACCTGAAACTGTTCTTAACCTGAAGCACCACTTTAGCTAATGGGGCCTCCTGCTTTCACCGGAGCACGATTTCTGTTCTCATCCTGAAGCAAAGTTCTTAACCCGAGGTACTATTTCTGGGTTAGCGGAGTCTGTAACCTGAAGCGTATGTAACCCGAGGTACCACTGTACTAGATCGTAGTGAGTCATGAGAAGACTGCATCCGAGCAGTTAACACTCCTTGCAGCAACCGACCAACAGACCAACTGACAAAACTGCCTGCCACATAGAGGCAGTTAGTCCTCTCTCGGAATGCTGGACTTGACTGACAGCTTTAGATCCCACAATGAGAACCCTACCTTAAGGAAATGCACTTCAAACAGCTGTCAGCTCTGGAGTGCAATCTTCTGGGAAGATCCCCTGCAATGGTCCCATTGAAACTAAGCAGAGCAGCAGAGGGCACTGTAGTATGCCCCTGAGACACTGCAGTGGTAAAATCCTGCTAATCACAATGCAGAGAATTTGAGGATTTCGCGCTCAAGCTGCAGTTCTATACCCAATTACCTGGACATCACTGACCTCAATGGGGCTTACTTCTGAGTAAACATGGACAGGATTCCAGTCAGTGCATAAAAGTAGTGGCCTTTAGAAATTCTATGTTTTTAACTACACACACAAAAAAGACATATTACTATACAGGAACAGTTAATAGCCACCTCCTAGGCAAAATAATTTAAAGGGCGATACTGTCCTGTAAGAGTTTTAGAAATTGTCAGTCTGGTATTGAAGTACAAGCATGATCTACATATTATTAAAACAACCATGTCAATAGCCCAAAGATGGAAAACTTGGAATGCTTCTCTTCACGCAATGTTATTGAGTGTAATAGTTCTTAGATCAGCATTATTCTCCCCTCAGAAGTACGCCGAGATGCATCAGACATCCTGACATTGATTTAAGTAGATTTGTACAGCTCTTGGGAGGTAATGGTTCAGTTTAATGCACTAGCAATTATGGCTATTAAAAAATGTACATTAGGCAGCAATCCTAAAAACAATTATCTGGAACCATGTCTCACTCCGATCAATGGAACTTACTTCCAAGTAAACAAGTTTGAGACAGGGTGGAGCAAAATGAAAATATGAGTGGGTGGATGTGGGAGTTATGGGGGGGGGGTAACAGACAGTATGTGTAGGTGGCCCCAACCACTTTTGGCATTGGCTATGTCCAGTGATGGCCCACAGAAGGTTAATCATGAGGGAATGCGGCCCTTAGGCTGAAAAATGCCCCCTTCCTTGCCATAGCCACTGGCAACTCAGATTTGTTTTCAAATCTCTTAGCAGGTGTAGATTCAATTCCCACAATTCCAAGGGCCCAGTTTGGCTCAAGGACTTTCAGTGCTGACATCTAATTTCTTTATAGTCCACTTTTCCTTCAAGGAGCTCCCAATGTGAGTTATGGTACATTCCCCCTCTCCATTAGTTCACCCTCACCACCACCCTGAGGTACCTGTAGGCTACGAGGCAGCGAAGGCCGCGCAGTGAGCTCAGTGGCCGAGTGGGTATATGCCTGAATACCTGAAGGAGCATCTCCACCACCATTGTCCAGCCTGAACACTGAGGTCCAGCCCCAAGGGCCTTCTGGTGGTTCCCTCATTGTGAGAAATGAAGTTACAGGGCAAAAGGCTTTCTTGGATGTGGCACTCGCCACATCCTGTCAGATGTCAAAGAGATTAACAGTTATAAGATGCTCTGTAGGCATCTGAGGCCCTGTATCGGGAAGCTTTTAATGTTTGATGTTTTCTTATGTTTTCATATATTCTGTTGGAAGCCACCCAGAGTAGCTGAGGCAACCCAGTCTGATGGGAGAGGTACAAAATTGTTGTTGTTGTTGTTATGCCTGACACTCCAACCCATAAGTGGGGAATCTCAGGCCTGGGGGCCAAATGTGGCCCTCCAAGCTTATCTATCTGGCCCTTGGAAGCCTACACAGGATATACTTCTCCCTAGCCTGGTTTTATACACCAAATATTTTTACCTGGATATTTTCCCAGTCCTTTTCTAACCTTTTAGACTGCATGGGTTCTATTGCGCAGATTCTCTGCAGCAGCCTGTGGGTAAACATTTAACATATACAGTGGTGCCCCGCAAGACGAACGCCTCGCAAGACGAAAAACTCGCAAGACGAAAGGTTTTTTCGTTTTCGAGTTGCTTCGCAAGACGAATGTCCCTATGGGCTTGCTTCGCAAGACGAAAACGTCTTGCAAGTTTGTTTCCTTTTTCGTAAAACCGTTAAAACCCAGGGTGCATTGCTTGAAGAGGTGCAGTTGCGACTTGACCTCGAGGAGCAACACATTGCACGCGGTGTGGGGGCCTTTCTGAGCTTTTTAAAGAGTTTGCTGGATTTTGAAGCTTTTCCAAAACTTCTTCTACAGCTGTTTGGTAAGTTGAACTTTTAAAACTTTTTTGGGTTTTTGGGATTTTGGGTTGGGGTGTTTAGAATTCAAGGACTTGGTGTTGGGGAGAGGTTTGCAAGAATCTGGGAGCTTGTGTGGTTTTTTTCTGCATTTTTATGATTTTCTGTGACCATTGGGCCATGTTTATTTTTTTTTTTTTTTAAATCTGGCTTTGAATTTTTGAATTTCTGTGTGCTGGGTGGATGGGGGAACAGCTGGGGAGGGGTTTGCAAGAATCTGGGAGCTTGTGTGCTTTTTTTTGAATTTTTATGATTTTTTGTGACCATTGGGCCATGTTGTTGTTTTTTGAAAAAGTTTCTGGGTTTTAAATTTCTGTGTGCTGGGTGGATGGGGAACATCTGGGGAGGGGTTTGCAAGAATCGGGGAGGTTGTGTGCTATTTTGTGAATTTTTATGATTTTTGTGACCATTGGGCCATGTTTTTTTTTTTGATAAAAGTTTCTGGGTTTTAAATTTCTGTGTGCTGGGTGGCTGGGGGAACAGCTGGGGAGGGGTTTGCAAGAATCTGGGAGCTTGTGTGCTTTTTTTTGAATTTTTATGGTTTTCTGTAACCATTGGGCCATGTTGTTTTTTTTTGAAAAAGTTTCTGGGTTTTGAATTTCTGTGTGCTGGGTGGCTGGGGGAACAGTTGAGGAGGGGTTTGCAGGAATCTGGGAGCTTGTGTTCTTTTTTTGAATTTTTATGGTTTTCTGTAACCATTGGGCCATGTTGTTTTTTTTGAAAAAGTTTCTGGGTTTTGAATTTCTGTGTGCTGGGTGGCTGGGGGAACAGTTGAGGAGGGGTTTGCAACAGTTGGGGAGGGGTTTGCAACAGTTGGGGAGGGGCTGGGGGAACAGTTGAGGTTTTTGAAGACTTTGGTGATTTTTAAAGCTTTCCCAAAATTTCTTTTGCAGCCATTTGAGGATTTTGAAGACTTTGGTGATTTGCAGCCATTTCGTAAGTTAAACTTTTAAAATTTTTGGGGGGGTTTTGGATTTTGGGTTGGGTGTTTGGAATTCAAGGACTTGGTTGTGGGTTTGAATTGCTGATTTTTTTTTCTTTTTCTGAGTTTTACAAAGGTAACAGCTGTGCTGCCATGGGACCCAAGAAGACTGCTGCTGCTGCGGAGGCCGGCGAGAGGAAGAAGGAGAAGGTGACGCTGGAGATGAAGAAGGAGATCATCCGGAAGCACGACGGTGGAATGCGTGTGACGGACCTCGCCAGGGAGTACGGCAGGAACCCATCGACCATCGGGACCATCCTGAAGATGAGGGAGAAGATCCTTGCGACTGATGCAGCCAAGGGAGTCACCAGGATCGTGAAGAACCGCCCAGCTGTTCTGGAGGAGGTCGAGAAGTTGCTCCTCATCTGGATAGAAGAGAAGCAGCGTGCAGGGGACACAGTGACTGAGGCCGTGATTTGTGAGAAGGCCAAGGCCTTGCACGCAGACCTCATCCGGGAACAGCCAGGAACCTCGGCCGAGCCAGAAGTCTTCAAGGCAAGCAGAGGCTGGTTTGACCGGTTCAAGGCAAGATCCGGAATCCACAGCGTGGTCAGGCATGGAGAGGCTGCCAGTTCTGATGTTCCTGCGGCTGAAGACTTTGCCTTGGAGTTCCTGGAGGTTGTGAAGACGGAGGGCTACGTTCCACAGCAGGTCTTCAACTGCGACGAGACCGGGCTGTTTTGGAAGAGGATGCCCAAAAGGACTTTCATCACTCAGGAGGAGGCCAAGTTGCCTGGCCACAAGCCCATGAAGGACCGTCTGACCCTGCTCTTCTGTGCCAACGCAAGCGGCGACCTGAAGATCAAGCCCCTGCTGGTGTACCACTCGGAGAACCCACGGGCCTTCAAGAAACACAAGGTCGACAAGGAGCGGCTGAGTGTCATGTGGCGATCCAACAGCAAGGCTTGGGTCACACGTGTGCTGTTTGTGGACTGGGTCAATCTTGCCTTTGGCCCTGCTGTCAAACAGTACCTGCTGGACAATGACCTGCCGCTGAAGGCTTTGCTTCTGATGGACAATGCTCCTGCTCATCCTAAAGGCCTTGAGGTGGACTTGTTGGAGGAGTTCAGCTTCATCAACATCATGTTCCTGCCGCCTAACACCACGCCACTGCTCCAGCCGATGGATCAGCAGGTCATCGCCAATTTCAAGAAACTCTACACCAAGGAGCTTTTCAGGCGATGCTTCGAGGTGACTGATTGCACCACCATCACCCTGCGGGAATTCTGGAAGGACCACTTCGACATCGTCACCTGCTTGAAGATGATCACCACGGCCTGGAAGGGGATCAGCCAGAGGAATTTGAATTGCGCTTGGCGCAGCCTGTGGCCGGACTGTGTGGCACCAAGTGACTCTGATGCACCAGAGTCGACAGTGGTGCAGGACATTGTTGCCTTGGGGAGGACCTTGGGCCTGAACGTCACAGAGGAGGACGTTTGCGAGCTGGTGGAGGAGCACGACCACGAGCTGACCACCCAGGAGCTGGTTGCACTGCAGTCAGAGGTTGCGCAGGAGCAGGCCTCGCTGGAAGAGGAGGAAGCAACTGAGGAACGGCTGTCCTCCAAAGAACTGAGGGACATTTGCCAGAAGTGGAATGAGGTGCAGGCTTTTGCAGAGCGGCACCACCCTGACAAGCACGTGGCACATGACCAAGCGAACATTTTTGATACTGACGGTCATGTCGCCTCTCAGGAGCTGCTGAAACGGCGGATGAAGCAGCAGACCATGGACAGGTTCCTCAGCAAGAAGCAAAGAGTGGAAGAGGAACCTTCTTCGAGTGGTCCCCAGAGTCTTAGAAAATGTAATGTACCCTTTTTGATTTTTAAATGTTTTTCCTGTCATGTTTAGAAACTTAATTTATTGTTCCTTCAATTTTTGATATGCTCTTTAAAGTATGTGTGACTTTAAAGAGCAGTTAATAAACTCTTGTTGTACCGAATTTGGCTTTGACTGGACTTTTTTTGACCATAGGAACGCATTAATTGAATTTCAATGCATTCCTATGGGATTTCGTGCTTCGCAAGACGAAAAATTCGCTGGACGAAAAAACTCGCGGAACGAATTAATTTCGTCTTGCGAGGCACCACTGTACTGAATAACAGCCGGTGCTGCTAATTGTAGATTATTATTCCTCCCTCCCTCCCTGAAAATAACTTTTCTCTGACACGTTTAACATTCAAAGTTTCATAAATCTCACTATTTTAAAAAAATTGCACATTTAGAACACCAAGTTACTGTTTCCAACTTTAGCTTTAAGTCGCCTTAATAAGGATATAAAATTAATGTGTAGATGTGCTCAACTGTCACAATGAAATATAATCCTAGTTATAAAAGTAAATCTGCAGAACAGCCAGCTCTTCATGCGTAAAATTCAGCTTTATCATTAGTTAAGTGAGCACGAACCCCTGATGCAAGAGATGGGTAATAGGATCATCACTAAAGAAGGGGGGGGAAGCCTGATTCCCACCCCACCCCCAAAAAAGGTTCCCTCCCATCAAATAAAAACTAGCTTTCTCCAGTGCGGGGGAGCATACTACTCCAACACCAGCCTAACAAAAGAAAACGTGATGTTCTACTGGCCACCATGTCCCGTACTGACCCAAATATGTCACACACTCCCCCCCCCCATTCCGATCGTGTGGCCCACCCGCTACTCCAAAGCCTCCCTCAAGCCGCCAGAGATAAGGGGGAAGAGGGAGAAGGCCGCCGGCAAAGCAACATGACCCCCCCCCCATAAAGAGCAGCCCAGGAGCGTGGGGCAATGGCGCCTGTCCTGTCCCATCTGCGGCTCCCAAGCCTCCCCCAAGCAACCAAATTTTAAAGGTGTGGCTTATTTGCAGGTGCGGCTTATATTCAGGCCAATACGGTAGCTCAAGGGCTTGAATGAGGACGCCAGGTGTCTTCCCACTGATGTCAGTCTGTTTCTTAAATTCAGTCCATTCTGGAGAGGATTAGCGTCTAACCAGGATGGACTGCCTTCTTTGGGTCCAACTGATGGAGCGTGGCTGCTTCACATCCAGCATTCCTTTTGGCGCAGGGTTTAGTAGTGACTGGTGTTGCTTGCCCCTCTGCTTACATGCAGAAGGACCCAGGTTCAATCCTTGGCACCTCCAGGTAGGGTGGGGAAAGACCCTTCTGCCTGAGACCCTGGAAAGTCACTGCCAATCCGTGTAGGCTTTTTCAACCTGGTGCCGTTTATTTATTGCACTCCTGTATCACACACTTCACCCTGTGTTCGAGATGGCTTAAGCAGCTCGCCACAATAAAAACAATCCAAGACGTAAGAGCTATTTAAAAAGAAGAAGTTAAAAATTCATAAAAGCTTACACCAAAATAGCAGGCAGCTTAAAGATCATAATCTATAACAGATCCCAAAGGAAATATTAAAAAGATGTACTTTGCATCCGATCCAGAAAATTCAAAAGGGGTGAACTGATGCCATCACCTTCATGAGCTCATTCAAAAAGCTCAGGGCAGCTAATAGCTCCTGCTAATAGCTACCACCATTTCTACTTTGTTAATGCAAGGATTGGAGCAGGAACTTCCTAGACCTTAAAGGGAGTTGGATTTCTTGAGAGACATGCAGTCTCTACAGATTTACTCAGTACTTTTATTAAGATATGAGGCACCTCATTTTTAAACAAAAAATACTGCCTGTGGCTACCATGCTACTGCTGAATGAAAATCAGGTGGGCATCTATTCTGTATCACCAGCTGTACAAAAAAAGTGAAGAAAGGGGTGCTTTCTCTTGATTTTCTTTTTTTTACTGTAAACCATCAGAGGAAGCTCATGGGAAGTGTTAGGCACTCCTCAACGGTGCAGTTTTAACCACTCACCTGCTCTAAACTAACAATCTATATGTGAGCCAGATGACGCCCTTCCCATGTTACCTGGATTTCTATAACAAGATGTGATGCTTCACTCCATGAAATTAAGTTGATGATGCTGAACACTTCCTACAAAGGAGCAGAGGGAAAACTCTGGCCAGCAGGCCTCACTAGGTCCACCTGGCTTCCCCATGTGGCCCACCAGGCCATCTCCCCAAGCTATGCCCAGCTGACAGACATCTGATGTCACATGTGATGTCAGGTTTGGGACAGGTTACGATGCTGTTCCTTGACAAAGTGAGGCTTGCAAGCACTGCCAATCAGAGACCAGCGGTCCCTGAAAATCCCTGGGCCTTGAATGTTCTTTAAGGTCCAGGGATCCCAAGTTATCTTTGCCACTCGTGCACCTTTGCTGTACCCCCACTTCCTCCCAAAAAAGCAAGCTGTACAATTGTGAAAAGTTATTTATGCACCATATTGCTTAATGCAGAATTAAACCTTTACTGGAACAAATATTGCAAAAAGCAAAGTATTAAATGACAAAAAGGATCTAGAGGATTTGTTCACTATTCAGCTAAGCTAATGATCCAGGTGAAAATATTTTATGTTTCACTGGAAAATGCAAATCAATAAAGCAGCCACACTATATACACATGCTCCATCTTTGAAACGTTTATACAATCCTAATTTGACAGAAAAGCGTAGTCGTTGTATGGGCTCTTATGGAAATATTCACATTTTAAGTTAATTATATGAATGCTTGCAAGGTTGGATCCCAAATCAGCACACATTAAAACATTACTAGTTGCTTTCACATTATGACCTAACATTTACAGCTTGTAATTAATGGCATTTGAAATTATTTAATTTTCAAATTTGCAAGGGGCTATAATTTATACACAACAAATACCAGTCATTTAATAAGGGAATCAAAAGGCATGAGCATCAATTATATCTTACTAAACTGCTAAAAATTGAATTCAGTGATACTTTTAAATATCCTAACCAAGAGTCGCCAGGCTGATTCAGAACTTTGCTTTCTGCACCAATTTTTTATGTAGCCTCGCTCACAGCAATTCCCAGGGCAGGCATAGGAATCACTCCTAAAAGAAACCGTAACTCCCTGGCCCAAAAGTTGCTGCTGATTCAAGTGCCGAGAACAGGCTGCTTGTTTTGTGAGATCTGCCCTAACGCTTTGCATGCACGCCCATTTGCCCACTTTCAACATGCTAGGGGACCACAAGGCTCCAATGCATTAACTTCAATGAATGTTCTGCCATATTAATTGGTAAAAGGCTGGAGATAGGAGCCTTCTTGTATGTGAGTCTAGAGCAACCTTTGCCAGCTTAGTGCTCTCCTGATGTTTTTAGACCACAACTCCCATCCACCCCGGGCAACAGGGCTCAGGAAGCTGCCTTGTAACCAAGCCACAGGTCCATCTAGCTCAGTACTGTCAACACTGACCGGCAGCAGTTCTCCAGTGTTTCAGACAGCCCTACCTGGAAGGGAAGGTGATAAAACCTGGGGCCCATTGCACACAAAGCATGTGATCTACTAGGTAAAGGTAAAGGGACCCCTGACCATTAGGTCCAGTCGTGGCTGACTCTGGGATTGCGGCGCTCATCTCGCTTTATTGGCTGAGGGAGCCGGCGTACAGCTTCTGGGTCATGTGGCCAGCATGACTAAGCCGCTTCTGGCGAACCAGAGCAGTGCATGGACACGCTGTTTACCTTCCCGCCGAAGCGGTATCTGTTTATCTACTTGCACTTTGAAGTGCTTTCGAACTGCTAGGTGGGCAGGAGCTGGGACCAAGCAACAGGAGCTCACCTCGTCGTGGGGATTCGAACGCCGACCTTCTGATTGGCAAGTCCTAGGCTCTGTGGTTTAACCCACAGCGCCACCTGTGTCCCTTGTGATCTACTACTGAGCTGCTATTATTATTATTATTATTATTATTATCATCATCATCATCACCATCATTACTATTTTTATCAATAATAATAATAATAATAATAATAATAATAATAATAATAATTTATTATTTATACCCTGCCCATCTGGCTGGGCTTCCCCGGCCACTCTGGGCGGCTTCCCAAAAAATATTAAAATACTATAGTACATCAAACATTAAAAGCTTCTACAGTGGCAATCAACTTGATTAACTGATTGACTGGCTTATCATAGAATTGTAGAGTTGGAAGGGACCAGGAGGGTCATCTAGCCCAACCCTCTGCAACTCAGGAATCTTTTGCCCAATGTGAGGCTCGAACCCACCACCCTAAGATGAAGAGTCCTGTCCTCTGGAGCGGCAAAGAACAAGCCTCAGAACAGGAGGGCAAAGACCTGCAACAGAAGTTTTCCATCATGCTAATATTTCATGCACTTCTTTTCTATCGGAAGGGAATTTGTTTCCACAAAGTCAGAGCAGCATATGGCACAAGCATCTTTACTGGGACAGCAGCTCAACCCCCATCTGATGTTAGTTTCCTAAGCCCTCTTGATCTCCTGTCTGATTGTATGCTTAGGAAGTGTAAAACATCAACAAGTCAGGAAGAATCAGGAATTCACATTGGCCACATTGCTTGTTTAAAGGGATGGAATGAAGGTCTGGCCAGAACAGTCTCCCTTCTGAACAAACGATAACAAAAGGTTAAGTGCACTTTATAATTTAGGAAATCATTTTCAGAAGCAGATTGTCAAACATACCTTCAGCTAATCCATAACAGATTTTTTTTTTTTTACTGCGTACAAAAGAAAAACACTAAGCTCACAATATAATGTAATTAAAAAAGGAATTAAAGGAAGCTCAGAAGTACTTAATAGCGGATTTCTACAAAAGCAAACAATCAAATAGCACTGAGCATGCATTAGTAAATGGGAGAAGAGAAGGGGGGTGGATCAAAGAGGGCAGGCTCGTATCTGCCCATGCCACATCTGAAATAATTCATGTGCTCACTCGTTTTTATTTATTGATGCAATTTTAATCTCACCCTTTGGCAAAAGTAATCTCAGGGCAGCTAACAAATCCAAAGGTCCTCTTCCACTGCTTGTATCCTCACAACTGCTCTACAAGGTAGGTGGTTATGCTGTCAGCAGAGGACTTAAGACGTTCAGGGCATCCCTCTGCCAAATGAGCAGATGCACTGCAGGTCTGGTTCACCACGTTTTGAGTGAACATTACCATCTAAAGCAGTGTTTCCTAAACTTGGGCCTCCAGCTGTTTCTGGACTACAACTGCCATCATCCCTAGCTCGCTAGACCAGTGGTCAAGGATGATGGGAACTGTAGTTCGAAAACAACTGGAGACCCAAGTTTGGGAAAAGCTGACCTAAAGAGAAGTGGGGGGCTTTAAGTCCATTAAGTCCAGAGTCTGAAACATAGCTACTGATGGCTACTAGCCATGATGGTTATGCACAGTCAGAGGCACTAATGTTTCTGAATCTCAGTTGCTGGAGGACAGAGTGCTCATGAGCTTGGGTCCTGCTTCAGGCATCTGGCTGGCTGCTGTGAGAACAGGATGCTTGACTAGATGGGCCATTGGCCGTATCCAGCTGGTTATTTCTTATGAGATGGGGAACCTACAGCCCACCACGTGCTGTTGGAGTCCAACTCCTGTCAGCCCCAGGCAGCATGGACAAGGCTTGGCAATGATGGGAGTTGTAGTCCAACAGGCTTCTCATCCCTGGTCTAAAACTGCCCAGCTGCACTGGTTAGGCTGGGAGATGACAACTGCTTCCAGGTCACTCAGTGAACTTCATGACTGGGGGGGGGGATTTGAACCTGGGTCTCCACTGTTGTGGCCCAGCATTCTAACCACTATACCACACTGCCTACAAATTTTATTTTCAGTCAAAGAGCAATACTAACATCTCCTTTAATCCCACGTGATTTCCCCCCCTTTCTCAATAAAAGCAGGCTCATACAGTTATACGGTGGCTTGAAAAAGCAAAAAGTGCCCGAGAGATTGCAAAATCTTTCGTTAAGGCACACACTTCCAGACTTGAGTTTCCAAGTAACTAACTGTCTGTTCTGAGGTGCCCCAGAGACGTTTAGACACCGCTATGGTTTTCTTTGGCAGGGCTGCAACACACACAACCTGAATCCAGCTCCTGTAACAGGGGCTCATTTGCAGCTGTTCTTTCTTCCACCCACACTCAGCAATTCCATTCCTTTTCACGTTAGAGCCCTTTTATAGAACAGCATCAGGGGAACACAGCAACGTTTCAATCTCCGAGGGGGGGGGGGGAAATACTTATGTACACAGTCTTCCATACATAAGCAACATCCACAAACCGACTATTTTGGCTTAATAACCATACTTAGCCTCTGATAATGGCAGGTAAGTTTAAACAAGAGCAGTGTGCAATTTTAAAGGCAACGGGATAGTGAAATTCTGCACCATTAATCCCATGGGAGAGTTACAACCATTCCTTTGCTTAGGGGTATAATCAAACATTATGCAGCAAACAAGGGATTCTCAACCCTCTATTTGCTGTGTAACACCAACACAGGGATGCACAAAGGGCTACTGGCAGGTGATAATCAGCTGATGGGAAGGGATGCTTAACCCTTCACCACCCACCAAGTCTCCCCTGCAACTCTACAGCCTGGCCATTTCTTCCTTTAATTTGATTCAACCGGACTCCAATACTGGTGGATAAGTCCATCCATGGGGACAGAAAAGAATCCTAGCAGAATCGCAGGAGAAGGGTTAAGTACACGTGCCCTCTTCCACCAGCCATTTCTCCTCTGCAAGTAACCCTGCACCCCATGTTATCCGTCAACCAGGAAACATGCATTTGGAAAACTATTTTAACAGGGAAGAATGCAAGATGGTCAGCTTTTTAAAAAAGGTCACGACTGAGGCTTATACATTCGTGCTCAATTCAAAATGCTTGTATAAGGGGATAATAATTTTGAGAGGCAGGGAGAAAAAAACTCAGTCATCCACAAAAACCAGAGAGAAGCAGCCCCAGGACAAATGGAAGCGCGCGCGCACACACACACACACAGAGAACTCATTTGTGCAAGTTGTAATCACAACATTTTGCGGTATTGTTGCAATTACAACTTGCATAACTGACTTTAAACATCAATGAGACAAGTGCATGGATCCAGCAGCTACGGGATGCAAAAGTCCAAAATAAAAAGTTCCTCATTCAGATGTAGCACACCCATTATCAGACAAGAGTCTGGTGTCATTATCATCTCTCAGCTGTGGCATTCCTATCCCACCCCAGACATTAGCAGAGCTAGTAGTGCTAGAAAGAATGTGGAGCTAAACCAGGCATCCCCAACCTGAGGCCCTCCAGACGTTTTGCCCTACAACTCCAATGATCCCTAGCTAACAGGACTAGTGGTCAGAGATGATGGGAACTGTAGTCCAAAACATCTGGAGGGCCGAAGGCTGGGATGCCTGAGCTAAACGAACCATCTTTCTAATGGACATAAGCACCTTTACCTTTACAAAAGTAAACTTTTAAGTTAGCACAGGGTGAGAAACACGTGACCCTCCCAACCTTGCTGGATCACAACTGTCACCAGGAAAATGAGAAACAATAAGTGGAGCTTCTGGGGGATCCTGTTTTATTCCATATTTTTTTCAACAATGCCCTTGTGGGAGGGAAGGTGCTGGCGATAGCACCATAGTGAGAGGCAGAGATAACCTAGAGAAAAGCTCCAAAGGTAGGCAGGATGAAACAGACGACCTTAGGAACTGGAGAGATATAAAATGGAATTAAACTCAAGAATACAGAGCCATGCCTCTGGGGAACAACAACTAGGTTTTATATTTTACTAGTGACTCGTACGCAGAAAGAACACAGGGGCAAAAAGGTCCAGGGATCCTCATCAATCACAAGAGAGCAACACAGTGATGCTCTCAAGGCTAGACTTTGGGGTCCAGAACTCCAGTGAACTGAGGCAGTGGGGAGGGAGACAGTCAGGCAGAACAGTAAGGCTGACTTAGCAGAGTCTGAAGTAAAACAAATCCAGATTGCCACCTAAAGAAGGGGCCCCACGTAAGACCCTTAGGCCCAGAGTCCAAAATGACCTAACTGCATCACTGGGGTCATGATCCAGCAGCAAAGCAGGTAAATGCCTGAATATGCCAGACAAGACATTTCTAGGGCTCATCTGCATGAAGTACAAAAAAAAGTATTATGTCACCAAAAGACTAACGGATTTATTATGCCGTATGATTTCATGGACAACAGTCCACTTAATCAGATGCATGAAAATGCACTTCCTACATCTGATGAAGTGGGTGTAGTCCACAAAAGCTTATGCCATAATAAATCTGTTAGTCTTCAAGGTGACACAAGGCTCTGTTGTTCTTCCTACAGCTGGCTAAGACAGCTATCCCTCTGGAAACAGTATCATGAACACAGGAATGTTTAGGAACACAGGAAGTTGAATTACACCAAGCCAGGCAATTGGTCTGTCCAGCTCAGTATTGTCTACCCAGGCAGCATCTTTCCAGAGAGACGCATTTCCCTTTGCCTGGTGAGACCATGAACCAAACCTGGGGAGGAGTGTGTGCTCTACGGGCTTCCCAGGCAGCTTTCCTTCCAGGCCCTGGCAAGGTGTAGGCCTGTTTAGCTTCAGCAAGGTTGGCTGGTTGCTAGCTGCATCATTGTCTTTAAATCCATTCCCTAAGACTGAGGTGTAAGGAAGAAGGAAGAGAAAGGGATTGAATCAAGTCATCTTGGCATCATTAACGCTGCTCATTTTTACTCTCTGCCAATGGCACACAGTAATCTGAATGAAGGATCTTTTCTTAAAGTTGTCTTGGTAAAATAACTCGTGTTCCTTCTCATCCTTGCACACCAGTATAATATATTACTGCGGGTCCTAGCTCAGTGACAGAGCACATGGTTTTAATGTGGAAGGTCCCAGATTCAATGCTTGGCATGTCCAGGTAGGACTAGGAAAGGCTCCTATCTGAAACTCTGGAGAGTGACTGGCAGTCAGTGTAGAAAATGTTGCACTAGGTGGGCCAGTGGTCTGATTCAATGCAAAGCAACTACCTATGTTTCTATGTACTGCCATAAAAGCAAGTTCTCATGGCCACAGTCATGTTTATCCCAGTTTTATGTTGTTGTTGACATCCGTCTGTCTCGAGATACAATGGAGTGCTCCTCCAGGAGTGAAGTCAAACTGCTACATTTGCAGCACCCAAGTGACCTCCCTGGGGCGCAAGCCTGGACCATGTGTATGGAGGTCCTGCGCTGCCCAGATGACAAGATCTGCCCCCTCTCGGCCTTGCTGATGTGGTTCAAAGGAAAACAGAGAAATACAGTTGGCACCAGCTTGGCTGCAGGAGTTGCTGGCAGGAGGTGTACAAGACGCCATGCAACCGCCTTAGGGACTCCACTCCGGATTTGTGCCGGGTTTACTCCTTAGCCTTTTCTTCTCCCAAAGTTATCCTGTAACGCAGTTATCTCTACAATACATGCAGAAACTGCCTTCCTGACCATCGTCTTCGTCCACCAGAGACTGTATTTGCGTGCAGGGGACCCCTCACAGTGGGTTTGAGACCTATCGGCTACCCTCACCTGGTTTAGCTGGCCAGTTGAAGCCATTTCCCAGGGTGTGGCTGCTGTCACATGCTGACAGCTGCTAGGAGCCACAGGTGAGAACTGAGTGCAGGGTGGAAACCAAAGGTGGACAAACTACCCCAGGAGGAACACAACATGTCCCCCTTCAGAGGTACTACCTCTTCACTAACACCCCATACATTCTATGTTGTAGGCCATTCTTTTACATACTCCACCAAGTAGCCTACCCCAGGGTCCCCTATCCACCTGACCTAAGGCTCTTACACATATATGCAGGTCAGAGATCCCACACACCACCTATGTCTTAAAATTGCCCATTGCTTGAGGGCAGAGGCTGGGCCTATAAAGACTGAACAAAGCAACAGGCTCCTGCTTACAACCTTTTGGATGGACACCCCAACTCATGTGTGGTTTCTAAACCCCTGCCTGAAAAAGAGTTCAAAAAGAGAGTTCTGTGTTGGTTTGTGACTCGTCGGCTTGTTTCATGGGCTTGTTGTCGCCCATGCTACACTATCTCTTGCCTTCTGCTACCAACAGACCAGTGACCCAATCATAGATCTCAGACTTCTCAGATTCTGTTCCCTGAGCTTTGTCAAGTCATGGAAGGGAGAGATTTGTAGATACTGTATTCAATTATCAAAATAAAGTCCAGGAGTTCAGCTAGAGGCTCAGTTCACGTCAGGAAACTGGCAGAGTAGCCTAGGAAGGAGAGAACTTTACATGTCTGCAAGAGGATACAAGATCCACCTTAATTGTGGGATATTATAGGAACGAAAAGGCAGTACTTAACCTGGAAAACATGGAGGTCCTGTTAACAGAGCACCACATATCAGAATTACCGTATTTTTCGTTCTATAGGACGCACCGGTCCATAGGACGCACCTCGTTTTTTGGGGGGGGGAAATGAATAAAAAAAATTATTCCCCCCCCCCCCGCGGCTGCCGCCCCAAGCCTCGCGTGCTTCGGGCGACAAGCTGCAGCCCCAAGCCTTGCGCGCTGGGCGGGACCTCCTGCCGGGCGCGCAAGGCTTGCAGACACTCGCCCGAAGCACGGGGAGCCCTCCGGAGGGCTCCCCGTGCTTCGGGCGACAAGCTGCAGCCCCAAGCCTTGCGCGCTGGGCGGGACCTCCTGCCGGGCGCGCAAGGCTTGCAGACACTCGCCCGAAGCACGGGAGCCCTCCGGAGGGCTCCCCGTGCTCGGACGACAGCTGCAGCCCCAAGCCTTGCGCGCTGGGCGGGACCTCCTGCCGGGCGCGCAAGGCTTGCAGACACTCGCCCGAAGCACGGGAGCCCTCCGGAGGGCTCCCGTGCTCGGGCGACAAGCTGCAGCCCCAAGCCTTGCGCGCTGGGCGGGACCTCCTGCCGGGCGCGCAAGGCTTGCAGACACTCGCCCGAAGCACGGGAGCCCTCCGGAGGGCTCCCCGTGCTCGGGCGACTAGCTGCCGCCCGAAGCCTCGCGCGCTCGGCGGGACCTCCTGCCGGGCGCGCAAGGCTTGCAGACACTCGCCCGAAGCACGGGAGCCCTCTGGAGGGCTCCCCGTGCTCGGGCGACAGGCTGCCGCCCCAAGCCTTGCGCGCTGGGCGGGACCTCCTGCCGGGCGCGCAAGGCTTGCAGACACTCGCCCGAAGCACGGGAGCCCTCCGGAGGGCTCCCCGTGCTTCGGCGACAGGCTGCTGCCCCAAGCCTCGCGAGCTCGGCGGGACCTCCTGCCGGGCGCGCAAGGCTTGCGGACACTCGCCGGGGCTGCAGGCTGCTGCCTGCAAGCCTTGTGAGCCCGCGGGAACTCCCACCGGGCTTGCAAGGCTTGCGGATAGCTTCCTGAAGCCTGGAGAGCGAGAGGGGTCGGTGCGCACCGATGCCTCTCGCTCTCCAGGCTTCAGCGAAAGCCTGCATTCGCTCCATAGGACGCACACACATTTCCCCTTCATTTTTGGAGGGGAAAAAGTGCGTCCTATGGAGCGAAAAATACGGTACAAGCTGAAAACAGCTCATCAGGGCATCTGTCTCTTTCAACACCTCAAAGCTGCTCCAGAAGTAGGGTGGCCAGACGGAAAACAAGGACAGGACTCAGGCATGTTTAATAGTTGGGTAGAAGAGGGACATTTCTTTCTTCTATACCATTATTAAAGGTGCAGGAGTCCCACCCTCTTCTCCATCTGAGCACCCTACTGAGGCAGGGACACATTTGTGCCATAACAACCAAGAGTGCCTTCAGGGAGAGACCCACCTCACAAACTTTTTGAGGACTGTCCCTTTAGAAGGCTGTTGGTTTATCAAAGGTGGTGTGATGATTTGTTACTGAGCAGTGTTAAGCAGGATGAAGAAGCTGGGGAAGACCCTCAAAATGCCACAGCTGACCATCTTTTCTCAGCCTAAGAAGCAATGCTAAATCTCACTTCCAACCTAAAACAAAAAAATAATAAATAGAAAAAATAACTTGGGAGAAACAACTGATCACCCGGCCTTCCATTCTTATAGGTATATCGGGACTGATTCCCAATCCAACCACCCCTAGATCTAATAAGGGGCGGAAAAGAGAGAACTTCATCTCCTTTAATAACAAGCAGCCACTATCCGCATCTCTTTTTCCACTGCCCTGGGGGACCCTGCTAAACTGTGTTAGCGTGCAGACAAAAACTGGGAGAGAAACGCCTGAAGGAGGGAGAGGGAAGGCGTCGGTGTCACAAGACCTGCGGGCAAAAAAAAAAAAAAAAAAGGGCTATGAACGGAGGTGCAAGCAGATCAAAGCTGAACCCAGGAAAGGTAAGGACACAGAGAGGCGCCCTGGGGACAGTGCAGCTGGTCACGGGGTAGAGGCATAGGGCAGCACCCACTGCAGCGAGCTAGAGCTCTGCCAGATCAACATTCACAAGGAAGGAACACTCTGGAACCGCAATGCCTCGGAGAGAGGTGAAAGGCGGCGGCGGGAGAGGAGGGGGAGGAGGTGGGATTTGGTCTGAAAGGAGCCCCAAACACGTTGTCACCGGAACGGTGCGGTGGACCAGGAGACCATCCCTAGCAAGAAGGTCGGGCTGCATGGGAAGGGGGCAGCGCTGGTCCCTCCAGCCAGAGGCTGTTGCTGCCCAGGGAAGTTACTCACCTCGGCGGGCAGGAGCTCCCGTCTCGTTGCACCGTCCCATCGCGCTCCGTAGGGCAGCGGGGTGTGCGGGGAGCCGCCACCGGGAGCGGGGCAGCTGCTGGCCCCGCTGCTGCAAGCGGCCGTGCCTCTGGCTCCTCCTTCTGGCTCCGCTGCTGCTGCCGCCGCCGCCGCCGTGGAGCTCCTGGAAGCAGCCAAACTCCAGGCAGGACTTAGCAGGCGCGTCTCTCTTGGTTGCGCGTGGCCTCCGCCTCCTGCTCCTCGCGCTCCTCCTCCCCGGGGCTGGCGGCGCGTCTCAGCCACTCAGCGCCGCCCCTGAGCCGGCGGAGGAAGCGCCTGCCGCCTATGGGAGCGCGGCCGGGGCGGGAGCCGGCTGCGCAGGCCAGCGGAGTCCTGGCTTTCGCTGGGGTTGTCCCTGTCAGCCGCCTGATTCCAAAGGAGCAGCGAGGGAAGAAGGAAGGAGGAGGAGGAAGAGGGTGGAAAGGGCAGGCGGGATGCTCAGTCCTCCTTGCTCACCTTGGACTGTTTTCCATTCACGCTGCTCTGGTCTCCTTCAGTGTACAGGGTTTTAATAAAATAATACTTTGCAGGGTTGCTGTTGCCGTTGTTGTTTTTAAAATGTGACAATTATGTTGCATTTTAATAAGTCTGAAAACTGTTAAGTGGGCAGGCTGCCTTATAGGATCTGTTTTGGTATGCCTTAACCACAGCTGTTGTCATCGTAGATCGGGGCTAACAAGAGTCTGCTAGGGAAGGGTGGAAGTTGATAAATGGTAGCATTTAGATCATATTTGAGATGCAAAGAGAAGAATACAAGCTGCAGACCTGTGCCAGACAAGAAATTATTGGGTTAGCTTATGCAAGCCATCCTGGGCGGGCTAGCTAAGTGCAGAGCCATTGATAGGTGTTTCGACAAAACCAGCCAAGAATCTGATGGCAAAACTGAACAGATATATTAGGGCATGATACCCAGCTTCATGGGAAAGGTTGATTCCATAATGTAAGGTTTTCTAGAGGCATTATTTGTGTTTTAATGGTGTTATTTGTGCTTTATTTTGTTTCTAGAGGGGTGGCCATGTTAATCTCTTGCTATGGAAACCAAGGGTCTTGTGGCACTGTAAAGGCTGACACATTGGCATAAGGGTTCATGGAGCAAAAGCTTGTGACATAATAAATGTGTTACTCTTTAAGATGCCACAAGAGTTGCTTTATTTTTACATTTTGTGTGGTACCTGCTTGTTGCAGCAAAATGTTCATAGGGCTAAAGAGGGGGCTTCTACACTCTCATTCAGTTCAGAAGTGTTCCCAAAAAGTGCTTGGGATTTTTGCACCCGAATGCTTACTGCTGAGGACAACAAGGTAGAGGAAGGCTATTGTAAGAATACAAGAAGAGCCCTGGTGGGTCATATAATAAAGATCCATCTAGGCCAGCATACTGTTTTTTGTAAGCACCAGTCAGGTGCCTTTAGGAAGTCCACTTAGACAACAGCCATTCCTCATCTGGATTTTGTTATCCTACCTTATCACAATTGACAGAAATATCCTGAATGGATTTATCTATTTCTCTTTTAAAACTATCTCTAAGCCAGCACCCAGCACCACATCTTGTGGCAATGAGTTCTGTTAGATAATGGTGGTGTCTTCCTTATCATGCTGCTTGTGAGTATTCAGAGGCCTCTGGATGACTGTTGTTGAAAATAGATGGATTAAGTGAGGCAACTCTTAAAGCAATGGAACACAAATCATGGCTTCCTACTACTGGGACACTTTGAAGTGGGTTCCCTAGCAGCATGTCCACCCCAAAGCTTATTCAAGTATCGTGTGTTGCATGGACACCCTGCTCTATCTCTCCATACCATCTAAATTAGGTGAATCTCTGTAGGTGCAAGACTGGTGTCTGGAGGCAGTAATGAGCTGGACGAGGACCAATAAAATGAAGCTATATGGTACTGTGAATGGTTGAGTCAGGTTCAGAATCTGAGGAGAAAGCCTCTTCTACATAGGATCACACTCCCATCTGAGAAAGCATGTTCATAGTTGGGGGCACTCTTTGATTCTGAACTGCCTAGAGAGCCTCAGTGGCAATGAGTGCAGAGTTCTAGCTATGGCTGTTCACAGACTGGCATAGCCTGGCCACAGTTACCACTGTTCTGGTAACCTTATGTTTAGATTGCTGTAATGCTGTATTGTAAACAGGGAGTTTACATATGAAGACAGTCCAGAAGCTTCAGTTGGTGCAGAACATGGCTACCATTGGTAAGTGGTGCTTCTAAATGGGATCAGCTCTGGGCAAACTGTGCTGGTTTGTGCTACTAGTCCAAATGCTAACTTACATAGTTTTGAACTACTTGGGTCTTAGTTACTTGTTCCAATTAACTGCCAGCCCATGCTTTAAGATCTGCTGAAGAGACTCTTCCCATTATCCTCACAGCAAGCATTGCTCATTCGATGATCACTTGTGTCAGTTATGGCAGCTCATCTGTGCAAGTCCCTCCCAAGAAGTGTGGTTGGCTACCTCATTACTGAGTTTCAGGCATGGCTTTTAAATAAGTCCTTTGGGACCAAGTTAGTTGTTTATGTATACTGCGATGGGATTAAGATCTCTACTGTGGTCACTGTTGCATTGATTTGATGTGGGGTTACTGGCTTCTACATTTAAGTTTTGCATTTTTAATGGGTTATTATTTATAGTATGAACCAAATATCATTTTTATTAGCTTAATCAGCTATATATTTAAAGTGTGGTTTACAAATCAAATAAGCAACTTTATTAGCTGTGTTATTTAGTACCAGACTTCCTAAATAAATTCTCTCCAACAGGTTTAATTTACCTCCAAAGGTTCACTCTTCCATCATCTCCCAAGACACACGGATACCAGCAACAACAAAAATAGTACCAATTGTTTTAGACTGCAGTCCAAAACACATTTACCCACTGAAGATAATGTGGGCTACTTCTGAGTAAACCTGTGCAGGATTATGTTGTTTATGTGTTTTGTAGTGGGGTTTTTTTTTTAAGGCTCTCAAAATGGAACCCTATAACTGGCTTTTTCACATTACAAATATACTACAGGGTGTCACTCAGTTACAAGGAAAATTCAGTTACAACCCATTCTCAGCCATGCTTACCCAAGAAGCAGACTACATTGATGTCAAAGGGACTTTCTTCCAAGAATATCTTCTTGGATTACATAAACCCAAGCGTTCTGAGCCACTTTCAAGCAAGAATGTGGAATTTCTGGTCCTCCAAAATGTGCTCCCATCATCATTTGCCTTGCTGGCTGGGGCTGTTGGGAGTTAGATTCCAATAACATCTGGAGGCTCCTCATCACTGCCTTTAAAACACTGAACAGCTTTATTGTAGCATAAGTTTTTACAGGAGAGGCAGGGAGCCTCATTTTCAGGCAACAAATATGGTTTCTCTCCAGGCCCCACACTCCTTGAGTACTTTGACCTGGCTAGAATGTGTCTTTTAAGCTGTGATCATGCCTCTCGCTTGCCTTGAAGGGGGTTTGTAGAGGGGCATAGTACAGTGGTACCTCGGGTTAAGAACTTAATTCGTTCTGGACGTCCGTTCTTAACCTGAAACTGTTCTTAACCTGAGGTACCACTTTAGCTACTGGGGCCTCCCACTGCCACCGTGCCGTTGCTGTGCAATTTCTGTTCTCATCCTGAATCAAAGTTCTTAACCCGAGGTACTTTTTCTGGGTTAGCGGAGTCTGTAACCTGAAGCGTCTGTAACCTGAGGTACCACTGTATAGTTGTATGCATAAGTAGAAACCTCCAACTTTTGCGTGGCTGGAATGTATCCTACCGTGCAAACATAGGAGCTGCATCCATTGCTGTGCCTTGCTGTTGCATCTGGCTCCATCAACAATGGGAATGCAGCCCTCATTAAGGAATGTGGTGCTTGGGCTGAAAAAGACCCTGCATTACAGCCACAGATCTATCGCACTGCAATCCTATGCCTTGCCTGCTCCGGTCATTTCCCAGCGAGTTCAGTGGGACATAGGCTGCAAAGACACCATACGTTGAATAGCTGTCCCCCGTCCCCAGAATCCTGGGAACTGTGGTGTATTATGGGTGCCGGGAATTGTAGCTCCATGGGGGATAAACGAGGGTTTCCACAATTATTGGTGTGTGTGATGTGCTTTGAATACAGGGTGTGTACACCTTACTCTCAGTTCAGTGTGCATGGTTGCAACCTGCAAATCATGTACTAAAAGTTAAGTATAACCCACCCTTTATCCATACAGATAACAGGGTGGTGTTACAAAGGTGATTAATCATGCCGAAACAATACAGGGAGTGTGTGTGGATGGGAACATACACCGTGAATCAATAAACCAACATCACCATCAAAGAAAGAAGCGCAAAGCTTTTGGGTTGTTGCTGTTTTTTTGGCTGGGATGAATCATGGAGCGTGCGTAGGACTGCGGCCCGAGCAGCACCCTAGGGCGCGAACACCAATGCAAGGCAACCTTCGCGGGTGCCCACCATGTGGAGCGAGATCCGTAACGTGTGAACGGGCAACCTTTCCCCCCCTCCCGCCTGGGCAAGCAGGCAACGGGCAGCCGGGGAAGGGCGGCGCTTCCGCTTCGCCTTGAAGAGGAGCCTCCTCCCCCTTCCCGGGGGTCATCGCGAGCGGCTGCTAGGACTTGTCGCGAGCGCTCGCCTCCGTTTCCGCCGCTGGGGCAGGAAGAGATGACGGGCGACGGAGGCGCTTGAGAGGCAGCCAGGCCGGACGACCGAGCGACCGAGCGACCCCACCGGCCGCCATGGCGGAGGATTCGGAGCTGGAGAGGTGAGGCTGGCAGGTGGGGAGAGGCGCCGGGGGGGGGGGCGGGAGAAGGCGGAGGGTTACTCCTCGAATAGGCGGAGGTGGGAAGTGGTGAGGCTCCAAGGTAGGCCTCGGGAAAAAGGGCTCCCTCGTTGCGCTGCGCAGAAGCTGCTTTCGTGAGTCGGTGGGCGCCTGACTAGAAGCGGACCCAGCGCCTTCATTTAAATCCAACGGGGAGAAGCGAGCGGTAGGGGGGGGGACCTCGGCAGGCCGACTTTAAAAAATACCGTTTATTACGTAACAAACATGGTTCCCCCTCGCAGGCCGGCCTTGCAATCCTGTATGCGTTGTCTCCTTGGAAGTAAGCCCTGCTGAATTCAACGGTGCTTACTCCCAGGTTGGGCAGCGTGTCTAAAGCTGCAGCTTTTTTCGGCCCTTTATTTATATTTATGGCGGAGCAAGCTTCAAGACAGACTTTGGAATGTCGAGGTCTCGCATTTTGTTGCCCTCCCTTCAATCTTCCGCCTAGCAGTGACTTTTTTATTATTTTATTAATTATCGCTGTGCATCTCGAGTACTTGAGTACACGCCTAATATTTGTTGTTTTGTTCGTTTATTTCGTTTATATCCTGCCCTCCCGGAGGAGCTCATGGGTGGCAAGTACATGTGTAGTATAATAATATTAATAATAATAGCAAATACCATGAAAAATAAAAATACGTTTAAAACTGTTAAAAAAGCAACAGAACATCTGTAAAAACAGATGTAACTGAATCATATGTCTGGATAAAACTGCCAAAACGGAAGTGTTTTCAGTTGGTGTCTAAAAGTGCAGAGGGTGTTGCCTGCCTAACATCAATAGGCAGAGTTTTCCAAAGTACTTTATAAAAAGGTAAAGGGTAAAGGGACCCCTGACTGTTAAGTCCAGTTGTGGCTGACTCTGGGATTGCGGCGCTCATCTCGCTTTATTGGCCAAGGGAGCCGGCGTACAGCTTCCGGGTCATGTGGCCAGCATGACTAAACCACTTCTGGAGAACAAGAGCAGCGCACGGAAATACCGTTTACCTTCCCGCCAGAGTGGTACCTATTTATCTACTTGCATTTTAACATGCTTTTGAACTGCTAGGTTGGCAGGAGCAGGGACCGAGCAACGGGCGCTCACCCCGTAGCGGGGGGTCTAGGCTCTGTGGTTTAACCCACCGTGCCACCTATGTCCCAAAAGTACTTTATAGGTACTGCCAAATGCAGAACATTCACTTCCTGGACTTCTAGAAGTGCAAGTTCTGCAGATGAAAGTGATCAAGTCTGTGTGGGGCAGTGGTGGAGCTTGGGTCTCAAATTTCAGCGGCACCCTGTGCAACATCAAAATTTGGTGCCCCATCCCCACATCTCATGCTCCATTCTAAAGCATAGTTGCAGCATCCCTGAGGCTCTGCACCCCATGTGACTGAACCAGTTGGGCTCTCCTAAACCCACCTCTGTATGGGGTAAGTAAATTTGTCCCAAGCCATTCAGGGCTTTATATACTAATAACAACACCTTGAACTCAGCCCAGCAGCAAACAGGCAGCCAATGTACATCTTTAAGCACAAGTGTAATACAATGACAGACTCTTACTCCTGTCAGCAATTGTGCTGCTGCCTTTTGCACTAACTACAGCTTTCAAACGGAGCACGGGGGAAGCCCCATGTGGAGTGCATTGCAGTAGTCCAGTACTGAAGTTGACAATGCCCAAACCACTGCAGTGAAAAGTAAATTCCATTGAGTTCTATGGACCTTACCCCCTGGTAAATGGGTTAAGAATCACAGCATTAGCATAGCAGTATTTGGTAGTGAAAGTATATAGAATAATTAATGTAGTAGTAGTAATAATAATAATAATAATAATAATAATATTGTTGTCAATATATTTAAATATAATAAAATATTTAGGTATTTTCCAGTACAGTCTTATGCATCTTTACTTAGAAGAGTAAACTGCTCAATGGCTCTCACTCCAACATCTCGGTGTGCTTAGAATTGCAGGCTTTGTTACTTTGAGCAAATTGATGTTTCTAGATCAGTTAGTGTGGACTCTGATCCATGCACGACTGTTGAGGTACAGGAACTCTGGCATCAGGTAAAGCCTTGGTTATTCACCCAGGCCTTTGCAGGAGTGTAAGGTCCAATTCCGTGTGCTGCTCTGGTTTGCCAGAAGCGGCTTAGTCATGCTGGCCACATGACCCAGAAGCTGAACGCCGGCTCCCTCAGCCAATAAAGTGAGATGAGCAGCGCCACAACCCCAGAGTCATCCACGACTGGACCTAATGGTCAGGGGTCCCTTTACCTTTAAGGTCCAATTACAACCTAAAAAGCATGCAATGTATTTGCCTTGTTTTAGGTTGGTATTTATTTATTTATCTTGAAAGTGGCTCTTGCAGGGTGGCTAACATCCAAAATAAAGCCGCATCAAACACAATCTTAAAATCACAATTAACACCACATCCAGTATCAACAAAATATAATGGGTTTAACAGTTAACAGCATGATAGAACATGAAGAGGTAACACCATTTTCGCTTAGGTTCTGAAGGCATGCAGCAACAAATAAATTTTTAATTGATTCCTGAACAATGCCAGTGTTGGGGGCAACTGACTTCCTATAGGGAGTTCATCACTAGGATGCTACTGCCAAGGAGGCCCTGCATGATATGGTAGCCCTGTGGACTGCACTCAAAGGTAGCACCAGCAAAGCCTCCCCAGGCAGTCTTAAAACTTGGGCTGGCTGGTAGTAGGAAGGTGATCCTTCAAGTACTTTGATCCTCAGCCATTGAGTGCTTTGTACATTAGTACCAATGCCTTGAATTGGGTCTAGCAGCTCACCAGCAGCTATTACTGTTCTTTCAGGATCAATGCAATATGATCCCATCTCACTGCTCAACAACATCCAGGCAGTGGCATTCTGCATCAGGCACAGCTTTCAGACCATCTTCAAGGGAAGCCCCATTTATGCTGGCCATTTATGTATATTTTATTGTTACCCACTCTGGAATTGCTTTTTGAAAGACTTGAAAGGAAGCAGGTGGGACCAATAGGTGGATCCTGCATGGAAACAGATAATGCGCTAGATGGGAGTCCTGAAGGATTTGGCATCCATTTCAGGACATCTTGAAGCAAAGCTAATAGGCAAGCCAGCAGTTCAACAGAGGTTCTAATATTACTCGCCTCATGGCCTCAAAATACTAAGTTATGATTCAGAGTTCTCTGGGGCAGTGACAGGCCCATTCTAAGTGTAGCATCCTCCTGTATTCCTCGTCTTTTCCTATTCACTTTGGTTAAGTGCCTGTGGAATAATCACAGCACTGCACTCACTTTATCACCTTGGACAGTTATCTTGGCAGTTGGGATTTGGAAAAGCCTCATGCAGGGCCTAGAACCAGGAGCCGATTCTTGAACAGGTAGGGAGCTTAAGAACTCCTGGGGAGGTACAGAAGATAATGGCATAAGAAGTCCTAAAGCTGGATAAGGGGAAAAGGAGAAAGTAATTGGGGCTGAGAGGTAGAAGCCTTCAAAGAAGGATAGCAGGATGGAGGGATTTAAATCAAAGCAATTTAAAGTGGCAGTGGTAAAGACCAATTTAAATCAAATTTCCTCTTAATAACTGCATATGTTTGTTAAACAGTGGTGCAGAACTGACCATTTTAAACTGTCTTGATATGTAACTGAATAGACTCTTATTTACTTCCATCTGTTTGTTGCACTGAACACTTTTTGCATGTTCCCTTTATTTAAAACATTCCCATTTAGGGAATAAATAGAAATAAATAAATAAATAAATAAATGGAGTGAGATTGCTTCTGTCCCCCATTGGTGCTGAATCTTTCCATCCCAGTTTGGGTCTTTCTTCTGGATAAACTGCTGTTTGAAAATAAATGGTTATATCTTGCAGGTCTGTATGGCGACTCATGCAATTTAAGCTATTAAAGAGAGAAATGGCTAATTGAATGAGGATAAACACCCTTTAAATGCTTACTTTACAGTTTCAGTTTGTTTTGATTCTAGAACAGTAGCTTTAATGAGCTTGCAGTGGGTCAGTAGTTTGCACTAGCTTTCTTTTTCTATCAACAACTGCAAAAAATAGATCTGCCAACATTGGAAAATTGATCAAATTTAATTATTATTTTTAATCTCCTTAAATGTTTAGGAAGGCAGTGGAAGAACTTCTAACAGAGGCCAAGCGTGGGAAAACCAGAGCAGAAACTATGGGAGCCATGGGCTGGTAAGTTATTGAAGCTAAACCAATGTTGGTGTTTTTCTAAAATAGAATTTTTGGGGGGAAACGGACACTGTGTCTGCAATCGTAAATATGTTTATTAGACAGTAAGCCCCACTGGACATGGTGGGAAATATGTTATCTTGAACATGCATAGACAGCACTGTTAATCTTCCATAACTGAATTGGATGATAATCTTTTGCTGTTTAATGCACATGCAAGAAATTCCATTGAAATTAATGAGAATTAAGTCCACGTAATTCCTGTTAGAGCAAACATTCATTTTTCTGAAAGCAAACATAGTCTGTTATAGCCAGTGACCATGGATCATGCTAGGCAAACATTTTTACACTTTCTTGGCAAAATACTCCTATGTTTCTGTGCTGTTGAAAGTAGTAGAACACCCCAGTGCACAAGCATTCCATTAGTTGCTTCAAGAGGTGTCCAACTCTGCCACCATTCCTTTTTTTAAATTTTTTACCTTTTTCCTTATCCGTTGAGATGCCTCAAGAAACCAGCAGAGCTTGTTTCCTCCCTACGGATTATCCAAACCCAATGTGGAAGCAAGCTCTTCTAGAACTTCTTCCATCTCATTCCCTTTCTCTAAGATAAATAACAGGCCTTGAGGCAGGGGAAGAGAAAGGTGGTTATGTCCAAAGGTTCAAGGTGAGCTGGCTCTTAAAAAACAAAAACAAAAACTTTTTTAAAAAAGTTGTCAGAGATTCCTAACAGCAACAGTGTGATTTGATGCGCAGCATAAATTGGACTTAAATATCTAGCAACTGCTTAAAAGTGTAGAATACGCAGGGTTTCTTAATTTTGACATATTGAAATAATTGTTTCAATGAACCCTGCTGCTTAAAACTGCTTTAAAGCCTGTTCTTAATCAAGGTCCCAAGTTCATAGCATTCTTGAACTGCATTTCTGTATATGATGATTTTCTTATTAACTTGCTTTGATGGGCGGTGACTTTCTGCGGTCTCAAGCAAAAGTCCTTCCTAGCTTTGCTTTGTAGCTGAAGTTGCCAGGAAATTAACCCAAAACCATTTGCATGCAAATAATGTGTGCTACCACTGGCACACTTTTTTTTAATAAAGAGTGGACTTTCTACCATCTGCAGAGCACTCAAGCAAAAGGAGTATTCATGTAGCCTTTTACCAAAGAGGAGGAATGGAAAATGCCAACAAGGCACCACCAATACTCTCAACTCTTTAGCATTTTAAACTGTCTTGGGGCTATGGAAGACGACAATAGAATACAATTTGTAGCTCATGTGATGTTTTTCTCAGGTGTGTGGCTGTGAAATCTGTGTCATAAAATATTACTATGTTATCTTAATATATATCTCCTCTGTATAGAATCTGGCTGTTGCTTTGAAGCCAGTGTTAAAAGGCAAACATCTTGATTGTTTCTTTCTGTACTCCAAGTTTACACTAGGTGGCATGCAAGGAAAGCCAAAAGCGTGTTGAGCTACTTGATTTGGATATTCGCAGCATCTGTGTCTCTTGTGTGAGATATTTATGTTGTTCCTTTCTAATGCAGGATGAAGTGCCCTCTTGCCAGCACAAATAAAAGGTTTCTGATTAATACCATTAAGAACACATTGCACTCCCCGAAGGAGCAAGAGCAGGGACAAAACCATCAAGAAGACGATAAGGAATCTGAACCAAACCAGAGCAGGGAGGAAAGCAAGCCAAAGAGACACAGATCCCACCCATACAAACCTAGCTTTCGGTCCAGAAGAAGGGTAAGCTCTTCTCCTCCTAGGCACCACCGGAACAGGAACCAGCACTCAAAGGACAAGCATGAACAGCGATCAAGCAAATGAGGAGGAACCCGTGCCATTCCAAGAATGAAATTAAACACTGAACTGTTTGGGTGGGTGGGTGAGAATGTTTAACTATTTTGTAATAGAGGGCATTGTTCAGTACAGATGTCCATGTTGGCAACAGCTTTTTAGAGACAAGCAAATCCCGCTTCTCATGAACTTTCTTTGAGGAGTTCTTGTATTCTTTAAAGTTGTCAGTGTGTTCCTTCTGTTTCTCCTCCTGCCCTCCAGTCTTCAACCAATTAAAGTTGTTACTTTGTATAGTTGTAACATGTTTAGTGCTTTGCACAAACCGTTTGGAAACAATTTATTTAGACAAATATACACAGAGGTGTATTCGGTACATGGTAAGTTATTTTGCTTCCCAATTCCTTCAAGGAAGCTACTAAATCTTAGTTTGAAAAAGCAAAAAACAAAACAAAGATACTACAGGTACAGAAAATGTGATATTCTTCTTGGCCTGCACATAGATGAATTTGAATAAGTTTACTGTGCTTGTAACCTGAAATTGACTGATGTGGCACCTGGATATTACAGATAAGTAAATGCAGGTTAGGCTAAATGTATATTGGTAAACAAACTACCCAGACTGAGTGACTCTTGTGTCCATGTGGGAACTCCAGTGCCCACATGGAACTCTGCATGAACAATAGATCCTCATTCCCTTCAAACTTGGGGAGAAGGCATTGGACATGTTATTTGTTTATGTGCACAGAATATTTCCCAATACTGAAGTGAATGCTGGCACCCTTTTTTGACCTAGAGTTGTGTGTACACTTGGAACCTGTGAAATCACAGCTGTGGGCTGGATCTGAAATTGGCTTTCATTGTTTTGCATCCTTTGGTGTAAATGATGATTTGTGAAGGATCAATAATGAATGCAACTGCATGGGACATCTCTTGAATGGCAATGGAATGAAAAGTCTTGAGGGATACATTTTTCATCATAAATTGCTGAATGCTTTTGCAAAACAATACAGACAATTGCCACCTAAAGTCTGACTGCTGTTTAGTTACAGTTGTATTGGTCAAGTTCTCAGTGTTTCCTTACATGCAGATAATTGATCCTTGTCATTTCTCTATTATATGGAAACATTAACATTTAAATCCTTAGGCAAAGTTGTTTGTATGGTTAAGCTGTTTTCAACCTTGGGTAGTTTTCCTGAGTTAACATTAAACTTGAACTGTGTTACTAAAATGCATTGTGTACATTTCCTTTATATGTTAACAGATTCATCAGTCTTTGGGAATTAATACACATTCTGTTGCCAAAGATAAACAAAACACATATTCAGATTATTAAGAGTACTGCAAATGGTCATCCTAGAACTTGTTTCTTGGGGAGAAAAAAAGAGGTCTTAAGCTTTGAAATGTTAACTTTAAAATAGTTGTTTTAGTACAGTCTCAGTCCTTAATGTACTCAAAAGCACTTAATAGCATAAAACAAGCCTGCTGGCTCAAGCCAATGACACCTCTAGTGTCATTCTGCTCTCACAGTGACCAGATGCTGATGGGAAGCTCCAAACCAGACTAGAGAACACAGCATTCTTCCCACCTGTGAATCCCAGCAACAGTACTAACCATTCTGGCTGGGAGTCTCTGATAGCCCTCCCTTTTATGAATTTGTCTAATCCTCTTGTAAACAGGCCCCAATTAACTGATGATGGCAACAAATAAACAACAAGCTAGCAATCTTCTTAACCGAGTTAGTCAATGTTTTTATATTATATGGGCAGAAATAAAGTATTCCTGTTACTAGTACCTTAAAATTATAATCAGTAATAAAGCTCTGTACAGATATTTAAAAACAAGGCAGTCCCTTGGCCACAGGGTTAGGATCTAATAAGACTCAACACAGAAGGAAAAATGAATGGGGAGGGAAGCCAGCATGCTGACATGGGTATTTATTTATTTTAATCATTCTATCCTGCATTTCATCCACTAGAGCAGGCTAACCTGTGGCATTTTAGATGTGGATTACAGCTCCCGTCAGCCTCAACCATCTGGAATGGTGGGAGTTGTAGTCCAACAACAACTGGAAGGTTACATTGCAGGAGGTTGGACTATAGATTACCCTTGGGGTCCCTTCCAACTCTACAATTCTATGATTCTAGGTTGGCTACCCTTGCAGTAGGGGAACTAAAAAGTGTTAACCAAGAAGAAATAGAAAATAAGGTGGTTGTTTTTAAAATCACAACAACACTACAGTAATGGTTTATTGGTCCAGCCTTCTCTCTTAAAGAGTCAGATCTTCAGCAGGTGCCTGAAGACACATAGCAACATATCATTACACAGCATCTACTTGACAGCCAATAATACCCTGTTCCTTTTTTCTCCTGCTGAATCTCGGTCAAGGAGACCCAAAGCAGGACCTTGGATATTGAACGGAGAGTATGGGAAGATGTTATGAAAGGAAAGCTCAGATTTATCTCCAAGGGGAGGCACAAAAAAATGAGAAGAATTTTTTATAGTGTTGGAGAGACAATAGGGTCTTGAGGGCGAATCTTTCAGCACTAATGTTAAAATGAAAATATAAAAGAACAGGCAAGGAAAACCAACCTCTTTTTCACAAGGTGAAGATGATCTGGAAATATGAAGGTAGGAATCAGCACTGCATTCGTTTTAGGTGTTAAGAACGTAAGATACCTCTGGATCAGGCCAATGGCCTCTCTAGTCCAACATCCTATTCTCACAGTGGCCAACCTGATGCCTGTGAGAAACCAGCGAGCAGGATCTGAGCATGTCTCCTGTGGTCTGCAGCAACTGGTATCTGGAAAGGCTGAATGCCTGTATCCAGAGTTCCTTGTATTAAAATGAGAAAACCCTCCATATAGGTTTGTGCAGGCTTTGTGTATGTCTTTGTCTGCTAGTGCAGTTCCATATCCCATTAAAGCATAGGGAGAAACTGCTTGCAGGTGACAGAACTCCATGCATTTATGGGGGTCCTGGGCCAGATCACTGGGTCAATCAAAGCTTTCCAAAAATACTTAATAGGTTACCCTAGGAATGAGAGCCTCTGGCAATGACTTGAATATGCTGTTTACTTGCTGTCCCAGTATAACAGACTACTCTGTAGTTTAAGGCCGGCTTAATCTATTTTAACTAGTTGCTTTTATCAAGCTAATTCTGAAGCATGTGGATTACCTGCTTTCGAACACAAACTGTACTGTAGGAGAATGTGTTTGATTCAGCATGTTGCTTTGTGTTTTTCCCTGAGCTGATAGGAATTTCCAGGACCAGCTATTTGCAGGCCATTTCCCATCTACAAGACTAAATTCTGAAGTCCTATGGTGTTCGTAATAACTATTTAAAAATATAATGAATATGCAAGCAGGATATGTATGTACACAAAACAAGTATAATTACTAATACATAAGATGAGCATGAGACATCAGGCAAGCACCCAGACAAATAGAGCTAGACTTTAAAACCAGAGCAGGAAAACCTTTAATAACACGAGGGCCATGTTCCCTTCTCAGTAAGTGGTAGGTGGGGCAAACGTGAGCAGAGCAATGAATGTGAAATTAATGAATTGGTATACCACCAAATACTACAATATAAAATGGTGGTATTCAATATATACAATACAATATATTTTATAAGACAATATACAAGAGTGCATACAATAACACATAAAGCACCATACCAGAAGGCTGCAGTTGATGCAAAACAGTAGCTAAGCTGCTTGTGGGGCCAAACTACCACCAGCATGTGAGACCTTACTGATGAGATTTGCACTGGCTGCCAATCTTCTACCTGGGCAAGTTCAATATGTTGGCACTGACATAATAAGGCCCTATACAGCTCAGAACCAGGTTACTTGAGAGACCACCTTATCCCTTATATATCCAGGAGGTCGCTGGTCTAATCCATGATTGATGCACTCCAAAATGGGTTCAGTATGGTTCCACCAACACATATCAGTCACAGCAACTCGCTGATCATTGTTGTCCTCAGCAACTTCGGCATGTTTGGAGATGCCAGCTAAGCAGTGTTCGAATTCACAAAAGTGAACACGCCAGACTAAATGGCTTTTGTATGAAGCAGAAACACAGCTGCACTGTAAATGGAAGGGGCTATTAAAGGTAAAGTATCTCCATCAAGTTGCCATTTGCAGGTTTCTCTCCACCCCCACCCCCCAACTTATAAATATATCTCATGTATTTATCTTCCTGGGATTTGTCTTTAAAAGGAAAAAAGCAGGACGGAGGTGTCGGTAGAATGGAGGTCATAGAAATATAGTTCCTTTTTATTTCCTGCCTGTGATGTCAAATAGAATCTTCAGGCAGGTGGTTGAATTCACAGACTCTTTAAAAGGGAATATATCGGTCCGAGGAAGACATTGCTTAAGGAAGGGGGGCGGGTAGCTGTCAGCGAAACCCTGACAACATCAGCTGCTTGCTAGCAGAAAGGCAAGCTAATCATGGCAACTTTTTCCCCCTTTTTCTTTTTTTTTTTTTTTGCAGACATGCAGCTGTCCAAGCAATAAGGTAAATGAGACTTCGCCGCAGAACTCTAAATAGGAGAGCCTGAACTATAGAACCATCCTCCTCCGATTCCTTGGTAATGCACGGTTTGGGGCCTGACTGGGTGGTCTTAAGTCCATTGCCACAGTGGATACGGAGCGTTGATACCAATCAAGGCCTCTGCAGCTGAGACCCCGGGTGACCTGCACCAGCGGCTTCCACCCCCCGCCGCCCCTTCCTCACAGGCCCCCCAATTCGCTCATTTGTGTGCGGGATGCTTTTCCTGCTTTTATTTATGGGATTACATAAATGAGCCATTAAAAATGTAAATCTTCAGAACAGTTGAATCTGAAAGATTTAAGCAATCAAGGACAGGGCAGTACAGTAGAAGAAAGTGCCCCCACCCCCAAACTAGCCGCCCTGTGCCAGAGTATTCTGACTACACAAACAATAGGAGGTTAAGGGAGAGAATAACAGAAGAAGGCAAGGGGGTTGGGGGGGAGGAAGGAAACAAACTATCTCGCCATTGTAACCGTCACTGGCACCAAGGGGAAGATTAGGGTTTGGTGGGTTTCCCTACCCCCACCCCCACCCCCGTTCTTTTCTTTTTAAAAGCATGTTAGGACAATAATGATGAGCTATTATAAGTCACAAAGGAAGACCATCCCACTCTCCTCCTCACAGTGCAGGTGTCAATACAATCAAGCTTAAACACAGAACTGAGTTTGGGGTGGGGGGGAATGAAGATTATTCCATTTCCCCCCTGCAAGCCATTTTTTAACTCTTTAATATCTATTGCAAGCTACCAGAACCCCCCACCCTCACAGATATGAAAAGAAGCACAGCTATTTTTCAAACCAGCTATTCGGTCCCATGCTTGCCGCCACTACCAATAGCGATGGCTGGAAACTTCATTTGCTGAGCTTTGTCCAGTGTTACTTCTGGTCAGTGGTACAGACTTTCAAGTGCTTTGCTTAAGGTCAAAATTGTGGCCTAGGGCTTGCTGATCAGTAGGTCTGCGATTCAAATCCCCACGATAGGGTGAGCTCCCATTGCTCGGTCTCAGCTCCTGCCAACCTAGCAGTTCGAAAGCACGTCAAACTGCAAGTAGATAAATAGGTACCGCTCCAGTGGGAAGGTAAACGGCGTTTCCGTGCGCTGCTCTGGTTTGCCAGAAGCGGCTTAGTCACGCTGGCCACATGACCCAGAAGTTGTACGCCGGCTCCCTCAGCCAATAAAGCGAGATGAGCGCCGCAACCCCAGAGTCAGCCACAACAGGACCTAATGGTCAGGGGCCCCTTTACCTTTAACAAGGAAGAAGGCTCGCTTGATCACTTGTCAATATGATAAAAGGATAGCTGTGCTTGTCTGTCACCTGTGTTTGTCTGCCTGCCCCGCCCCGCCAGGTATCTCTAATGTGTAAAAGGCTACATTAAAAAATTGCATTGGTCCTTGCAATGGTCCCAGTTAGATGATGTTCTGCAGCAGTGCAACCGAACACCTTCATCTGCCCCAGATCTGCACATCAGAGTGCCTTTAACTGCCCCAGTTAACTGCAACAAAACACATATCTCCCGCTGTATCCTTCCAAGAGTTTGACTTCACCCCCAAAAGTGCACTCATCTATTGTCTCCCAAGATCATGGGTAGGCAAACTAAGGCCCGGGGGCCAGATCCGGCCCAATTGCCTTCTAAATCCGGCCCACGGACGGTCCGGGAATCAGTGTGTTTTTACATGAGTAGAATGTGTGCTTTTATTTAAAATGCATCTCCGGGCTATTTGTGGGGCATAGGAATTTGTTCATTTTTTTATTTTATTTTTAAATATAGTCTGCCCCCCCCACAAGGTCTGAGGGACAGTGGACCGGCCCCCTGCTGAAAAGGCTTGCTGACCCCTGCCCAAGATAGATGGATGCCAGCAACAGATGATAATAATAATATTAACAACACCAGTAACACACTGGAACCAAAATAGTATAAAAAATAAACAAGGATTCCCTAAACTTTCAGTCTCATTGAATAAAATGTCCACTTCCTTCAATGCTCTCATATTTTCCATTTGTTCCAGTGGAACATGCATAAGCAAACTTCTTTCTGCTTTGTGACCAGGAGAGTCGCCATGTTTGGATGGAGTTCACAGTTCTATGGTCAAATACAGTGACCTGTGAATGTCCCAAGCTAGTCCAGTGTAGAGGGTTGGAGAAATGATTTCCAGTTCTTTGTTTGTGTGGACAGGAGGGTTATTTTAGAATAACAGCACTTAGACCCTCTTCCAGTGGCCTCCTCATTAATGGAAGATATATTGCAAATGTTCCGATCTGAAGATCCTCTCTCACAACAGTGGGCTGTATACACATGAGGGTGTTCTCACCAAAACAGGTGAAAGGCATTCCCCAAATGAGGACAATAGAGAGCACTGATTAGCATAACATTTGCATATTATAATTTATGGGTGATATGGAAACAAATACACTCAAAGTAGACCTATTGAAATTAATGGACCTAACTTATTTGGGTTCAATAATTTCTCCGGGTCTACTCTGAATAAAACGGAGCTGACTCCCACCCTATGAGAGGGATTCACCTAACATCCACCATCAATGGAAACCCTGTGGCATGACTTCTGCTTGTGAAATGGGGCTTTCCCCCCACCCTCCCTCTCTTACAGAGTTCTCTCTAGCAACTTTACAGGAAAACTCGGTGAACCTCAGCTCCTATCACATGGGTAGGCAAACTAAGGCCCGGGGGCCATATCCGGCCCTATCACCTTCTAAATCCGGCCCGCGGATTGTCCGGGAATCAGCGTATTTTTACATGAGTAGAATATGTCCTTTTATTTAAAATGCATCTCTGGGTTATTTGTGGGGCCTGCCTGGTGTTTTTACATGAGTAGAATGTATGCTTTTATTTAAAATGCATCTCTGGGTTATTTGTGCGGCATAGGAATTCGTTCATCCCCCCCCCATATAGTCTGGCCCCCCACAAGGTCTGAGGGACAGTGGACCGGCCCCCTGCTGAAAACGTTTGCTGATCCCTGTCCTATATAGCACAGGGAC